AAATTAACAACATTTTCTGGTGAAAAAATAAAAATGACATGATGAAAACAGTGGAGATTAGGGCCTGAAATGGAGATTGTTGTAACAAAGGATATAAATGCAAACAGAGTGAAAATTCTAAAGGAGTGCTATATAAATGCAAAGTAAGAACAAGCTTTGTTCCAGTGACTTAATTTCAGCAAAAGCTATTTTCATTCACATTCATTCTCATATGCATATAAATCTTTTAAATACAAAAAAACAGGAACTTCCTTTAAAGCCTATGAGGAAATAGCAGATAGGAATGGCCTTGGACTGGTTTTGTTATAAAAGGAATCTTCAGTTCTTAAATGTTCTACCTTTAATGAGCCCACCTCAAAACCTCAGTGGGCCAATCAGGAAAAGGCAGCTGAGGTCCACAGGGAAGAATGCAGTCCAAAAGGAAATGCTGGTCCCACGGATTGCTGGGATGCATGGCAGGAGCAGGAGGATGGGGTGGGGAGCAGAGGAACGTTGTAGGACTGACAGGCTGAGGCAAAGATCTGCATGCCACAGAAACAGTGCAGTGTTGTGTATTTGCCATGCTAATGCTCCCAAGTCAATCAGTGATTGGGTACGGATATAAGAGATCTCTCAAGCAACCCCCTGAAAAATATTCCTAAAATTGTGTTCGAATGCAGCACAGGCCATGGTTCCTCCCAAAGTCTATCTGTTTACTTGAAAGTTTTGTGCCCTGCTTCTTCAGCCACTTGAGCTGGTTTCCACACATGAAAGCACCATTGGACATGATCTGAAACCTGCCAAAGCTGCATAAGCAAAATTTCCGCTAACTAGAAGATATGCATTCCCGTTACAGAGGCTCAACTGCACAGACAGGTAGAAGGTGATCTTAGGAGCTGGCTGGATGTTTGATGGACAAGTGGCTTGCAGGGAAAAAAGAGACCTGCCTGCAGAAGATCTTTGGATACAATAGCACACTAAGGAAAGCAGGGCTTCTGTGGAAGAAATGTCTTTGATCTAGGCTTAAAGCTCATTCCTTTCAACTGATATTAAAAGTCTGTTAGAAGTCCCCGTTTCAGGGATCTTACAGGGAGAGAGAAGAAGGGCAAAAAATAAAAATCCTCCAATTGCTTGTACCTTTTGTTCTTTACAACTCTTTCTTACTGCTCCACATTTAGACAGATGCCACAAAACCAATCACCTCTGTTGACATGGGTGCAGCATCGACAAGGTGATGTCATGGTTCATCCATTCTCAGCTCTCAGCTCAGCTTCCATCCAGTTTCTGGCCATAACTGTGGCTTCTGGTGCCTAATAGTGTAGCTATGCACTGTGTGAAAAACCCTTCCTTTTATCTGTCCTGGATCTCCCACCCATAAGCTTTATGGGGTGACCCCTTATGATATTGGGAGAAAAATGTCTCACTATCCATTTTTCTACACCATTTATAACTGTATCAGGTTGGAGAAGGCTGATGTAGCTAAAATTACAAAAATGCATGTGATAAGCTAGTGAATTTAACAGGGATTGCTGTTGAGTAAATATGTTTATGATTTACTCAAATATTCCCAGGATAAGTATTCTCTTTTGCATATCTTTAAGAAGGGTACCTTGTGCATGGCTGACAGCATAGTTAATTGAAGAGTCAGTATGGTTTAGAAGCTGAAGCTGGGACCCAGGAGATCCTTGTTCTAGTCCCACTCCATCATGAAGCTCACTCAATGAGTTTGGGCTAGTCACTGCTTCTCAGCCTAACTTATCACATAGGACTGTTCTGAATGGAGAGGAGAGAAGAAGATTGTGTAATTTCTCTTGATTCCCTTGCAAGATGGAAAAAGCCAGGACATAATGAAAGATTTAAAAAAGTTGTCCTTGAGGAGAAGGAATCAACTAAATTTCCATCTGCAATGGCTGCATTTAGCTGGTGCAGATTAGCCACCTGAACAATTGTGGTCATAATGGTAGATTTTCCTGAATATTTGATTAGGCACATGCTGCCAATGTCATTAGATCTTCAAAAGGCTGCAGTTAGACATCTTTTTGATCAAGAGAGACAGGTGTAAGTAAGTAGCACATCATCATTATATCAGTAAGATGATGCTGTTTCCTAGATAGCCAAGATGAATGCTAAATGACTTTTGAATTCATAAGGCAGCCTCTCCCTCTGTCATTTGCAAGGTTCTTCCTTTTCCCAGCACATCTTTGAAGAATTAAATTATTTAAGTGCCAGCTTTGCTTCCACTTTTAGGGGTCTTACCAATGACATGTTTCACAGATCAAGAAGGAGGATTCAACATTGCTTTGCCAGGATATATGTGTGATTTGCACCTGAGCTGCTTGTTTGATTTATAAATAAATGTATAGAAAGGCTGTCTTTACTGAAAAGGGCTATGTGTTTCTAACATTGTCTCCCCACTGTGGCCCAGAGCAGGAAGAAAAGCAACCATTGGGTGCAAAGGAAACTGATACTTGGTTGGATTGTGGGGTGGCCACTTATAATTCCCAAAGGGGAAAAATGCTTAACCAAAAGAGAGAATAAAAGAGGATGCTCATTGGCATAAACATTGCACAGGCTAATTTATATGTATAAGTGCACATTTTGAAATGGTTTTACCATGGTTTGGAAGCCTATAGCAGCCTTGCTTAGCCTGCTGGTCAGGTGCTGTGGGTGGGCAGCTTCGAACCCAAGCTCTTGCATTAGCACAAGACAGCATTGGTGCTAACACACATTCACTGATGTGGATTCAAATACATCCAGCCCTGCCCTGTCCCATTTCTCTGATTTGTAGAAATCCAACCTCATTTGAATTCACTGTGGATTTATCTGACACTCCAAACTGGATTATGTGTTCCTTGGGAATCCTGGGTCAATTTGAAAACATAAAGGCCCCTTTGTGGAGAGGAGAGATGCTCATAACAGTAGATCATGGGTGAGGAAGTGTTTAACCCTTTCTTCTGAAGCCATTTTCCCCACTAGAAATTGTCTGTCCACCTCCAAGCTGTAAACAGACTCACTCCATGGGAGATTCTACTGGAAAATAAAAGGGGGGGTCTTAAAACTCCATACATCCCTTTTGACAAATAGGGATGTCCTCAGGAAGCAGGACCCTTTAAAGACGCACAACACAGATTTAGAGAATATTAAAAGTATATGCAAATGTATGGTCCACCCCACCCCCGGGCTGAAACCTAGGTCTCTTTGGTACCAAGCACCACTCCTGATGCTGGTATTTTGGACACCTGCCCCATTTTCCCTTTGGCATTAAAGTTCTCACTGACTGCCTACTACTGGAAGGCAGTGAGAAGCAGCCTGCAAGCTTCTCTGAAATTAAATTTGGCCTTCAGGTGGAAAGATTAATTCCCCTGCATTTAATGAGGGATCGAGGTAACTAGGGCAGGAGACTTTAGCCTGAGGAGAGGAGCTTCTGCCTCCAACATTAGCTGACGAGCTTGAAGATTTCAGCATTCATCCATGGTAGGGTGAAAAGTGCTGTAGGTCTCCTGAGAGTTCATTTCTCATTGAGAAATTCTGGGATACTTTGGGCACCACATGGGAACGTGCCAAAGCCTTTCGAAGTGTTAGAAGATACTGCCACCTAAAGGTGTTCAGCTACCACACAGGGGCCCATTTTTGCAATGCATTTTACAAGAGATTCTCCATGAGCCGAGCAAGCGATGCAGGGAAAGAGACACAGCCACACGTGGCTGTCACCATCACCCAAGCCAGTTGGGAGCTGAGGGCTGTCTGACAGGCTTACCGGCACGTGTGGGGGAGGCTGTGCTTTGAGAATTCTTCAGCATGGAAGAGCTCTTGGCAAAGTTTTCTTGCTGAGGAAGAAAGGAGCTTGTTCTACTGCTCTCCCCAAATAAGTGCGGCTGGTCAAATTTGGGACTGTAAAAGTCAGTGGATAGCATGCTCTTACTGCGAGGAGGAGCCACTCTATACTCTGTGGGTCCCACGCTCCATTTCACCCAGGCAGTGGTCTTCCCCCTGGCCACCCTATGTCAGAAACTACCAGCTCCCAAAGTCCAACTCGGAAGTGCTTTGGGAGATAAAGGGAGTTCTCCTTAGTATAAAATGGAACCAGGAGATGGCTCTTAGTGAGATCTTGAGGATAGCTGCCATGAAAGGCCCCACCAAATCCTGGGACTTTGAGATCTCCTTTTTCTTATGCCTGGATTGTCTCCCCATGGTCATTCCCTGGACCTGATGAACTGGGACAGATATCATCATTAAAAGGTAGAATGGACAAGAGCCTGACTTGTGCTCGCAGGTTCACAACCAGGGAAAATGCGACTGCAAGGCCCGCTAAAAGAATCTTGAATTGCCATCTGGCTGGTGCAGCACCTGTCCTGGCCAGGTCCTTGGTCCATGCCTCCTGCCCATATGGTTTCCTCATTGCATCCCAGCTGTAGCGCTAGCCTTCTTTTCCAGCTGGACAAGAAAAGAACCTTCCCACCACCTCCATCTTGCTTGTAATCCTGTAACTTCAGACCCATCAGCTCTTGCACTGGCTGGAACAGAACACCCAGCAGGGACAGTGTTCTTCAGGATGTGCATGGAAGTGAAGGTGCCACCACCACTCCCTTCTACAAGAGCTAAGCCTGATCCTTGCTTTACTGCCTTATTTATTGTTTATTTAAAACATTTGTATGCTGCCCAATTGTGCCACAGCACCCCTGGGCAGCTCACAATCCCCAGATAAAAAACACAATAAAAACCAATTACAACATACTAAAAATAGAATTATCAGTAAAATACAGGCAGAAATACTGCCTTCCACCATATAGTGCACAGAGAAAAAGAAGGGTTACTTTTTAAGTTTAAATGCTTTGTGATTAAGCATCTGCTAGATGGGGAAGCCTGGATATTGGGCTTCAAACAACAACTTCCACAATAGACTCCCCAACCATTTTGCATTAGAACAGCAAAAAAAAAAAAAAAAACCTAGAAAATCCAATCTTACTTTTATTTAAGTGTTATAGTTTGTGAAACTATTTATATCACATGCATGAGGCAGGTACATCTGTGTGTTCACTTAGCAACATATATACATATGCACCATGTTGATGTAACTCCACTTCTTATATTAAAGCTAAGTGTGGATTTGAAACCAGTCTCTTAAGAGATATGCAATGCATTCTTGCATAGACACTATAACAATGATTCCCACATAATCATTACAAGAACAATTATATTATGTTCCTGTGTGAACATTTATCAGAGCCATGTTATGGCTTAATATGAGATGTTTAATACAAGCTCACCTGAATTCACAGGAAGGCTCCCCACACACACCAGTTGGATTGGCCAACTATGCCTAATCTTGCTACTGGTGCATCTTTAAGAAAGATTTGAAAGGCTTGGCTCCCAGCAGACCTTGCACTGGTGGCCTAAGGGAAGCCACACAGGGGTCTAGTCTGCATCACTAGCAAGCTCTCAACAGAAAAGTGAACAGGAGAGGAACCAGACCTGCCAGACCTGGTCAAGGGATAGACCTTGGTCCCTACAAAACCTTCCAGGTGAGGTCTGCTAGTTTGAACAATTAGGAGAACAGATTTTGCTAGCTGCTTATCTCCTTTATCTTACCCCCAGCTGCAAAGGAGTTAGAGCTAACTTTCTTGTTCTCAAGCTATACCAATAGTAACCAAAGGGCCCAGGCTAGGATGTTTGAGACATGCTAAAACCCATATGTTCATAAAGTTAAGTTCTCAAAAAAGTTCTCAAAAATATTTTCCCATTAATAATAATTGATGACTGTCTACTTCAATCTTTAGTCCTTTGTGAAGCTTTAAGAAGGATATGCAAGGTGTCAGAAAGCTGGGTTGTGAAACATTTTAGTAAACTGCAGTCGTCTATTTCCCGAAAAACCTTGGTGTGACAAGGAAATCAGTGAATGTCCTTATTGGGAATGCCATCAGTTGTACCTGTGACTTTACTATAAGGAGGAGGAATGCATGCAGAAGACTGGCTCAGGGACGTAATGGACAGGCTGTCTTCATTTTCACTCAGCCCAAACTCGGAGGCATTTTCCTCTTCAGGAAGGAGCACCAAGGAGCTATTCCCTACAGCCTCCTGGATGACTTTTCCCCCTGAGCATTGGAGATAATGCCTGAAAGCCCTCTGAATAACTATAGCGGCTTCAACTTGCTTCCGCATGGGAGTTGTTACTATAGGTTGACAGAAAATCTTCCCTGGATATTTTTCCTCGATCTCAGTTTCCAGTGAGTCCATTTCCCCAGCCTCTCCCAGCACCCTTTTGGTAAAAGCAAACAAAATATCCAAGCAGTGGATCTTGTTTCCATCAACCATCGGAAGGTCCATTGTCATCAACTGTTGTTTGTTTGGTTTGGGGATACGTAACGGTTCTGTCAGAGAATCGGCAAAGTCCGAAAGCGCTAAATAAGAAATAAACTGAGTTGCTTGGGGATCAAACTTTGCCCAGACATCGTAAAAAATGTCAAAATCATCCTCACCAAGAGGCTCAGTGCTTTCTTCCGTGGCCACATTCAAGTTCTCTATGATGACAGCAATGTACATGTTGACAACAATGAGGAAGGATATAACAATGTACGTAACAAAATAAGCAATTGCTACACCCCGGTTTACACAGGAACCACTGGGTGATCTGGCAGGTAAATTAGCAGCGCAGGTCTGATTCAGGCTTAGCATCGGATAGAGAAGCTCGTCCCAGCCGGCAGAGGTGGTGATCTGGAAGAGGCAGAGCATGCTGCTACCGAAGGTCTGGAAGTTGAACATGTCGTCAATACCGCTCTTCCAACTAGCACAGGCCAAGTTAGTCATGCCGAAAATAGCATAAATAAACATGATGAGAAAAAGGAGCAGCCCGATGTTGGTGAGGGCAGGGAGGGACATCAGCAGCGCAAACAGCAGGGTCCGGAGCCCTCGGGCCCCTCTGATGAGTCGCAGCAGGCGGCTGACCCGGGCCACTCGAATGATCCTCAGGATTGTAGGGGGCACATTGAAGATTCTTTGAAACTGTTCGGCAGCACAACCTGTTAAATCGTGTGAAAAATCCATGAACAATGCAACTTCCACTTTAAGCTAAAATTAGTTTGCACTTAACCACTATCATTGGAATAGTCTAAAGTAGCTCATATTTTAATAGTTATTAAGAACTACTACTACTCTTTATAAATGCAGTGAAGGGAAGAGGAGAAGGAATGGGCCAAGTGAAGAAAAGGAAACCAAAATGACAAATGGGCTAGAACAAGTCCCCTACAAAAGTTACATGCGGGGGGGGGGGGATCTTGAGCTTAGAAAAAAGGCAAGTAAGGGGAAACACCTGCTCACTAGGCAGAGGCAGCACTGGGATACATTGCATACCAGCTGAGCCTCACTTTCCTCCTCCACACCCGTGGGAAATCCACCCCTCAAATGCTGGCTTTGAGGTTCTCACTTTGCCGGCTATGTGGGAGGACACCCCAAAATTAGAATTCTAACTTCCACCTCAGAGCATTTCTCCAAAGTTGGAGCTGGGACTCCAAAATTTCCTATTATCTAGACAGTATGCAGAAGCTATAAGACTCAGCCCCCCGGCTGGTATGTTTAAATTCAGTATCTTTGCGCTGTATCAACACTCTTATGCTAGCAATGCCACTGATGGGTACCTTTCGCTACGGATAGCCAAAGCCTGGTCAAGCTTTGCCCAAAATTGTAAACACTGATTTACTTCATTCTTTGATATAGACGGTTTATGGGAATCGGGCCCTTGATTCCACTTCCCACCCTCATGATCAGTTCTACCAAAGCAGACTGCTCTAATGACTTGGCAGAGGCCAGGTGGAGCCTGGTGCAACCATGCTAGCGACTGCCAGGCTGCAGCAGAGGAAAGGAGGTGGCTTGTGGGTCCTGATATACTGCAGCTGAGCCTGGGTGGAGGTCAGCAGGCTCTGGCATTGAAAGCCATTAGTGTCTACCTATCTACTGGTGGAAACAATGCTGTTCTTCCTGCCCTAGTGTTTTCTACCTTCATTTTCCATGCAATAAACTTTCCTCCTAGGCTCTGCTCCTGGACTGTGATATCTAACCAACTGACCTGTGCCTTCTATCTCAACCACTTCTGCCTTAGCCTGATCCCATGGATCCGTGCGCTTGCCTGTACTTCACCTTTTGCTTATGATCTGGATTGTGCCTGCCTTAGCCTGAGCCACACTGGACTGAAACCTGTGTGCTCAGACATTGGACTGATTCCTGGTTAGCCTTTCACTAAGGGTCTGCTGCAGCCAGGACAATGGCACCTATAGCACTGAGTGCTCAGTTTCACAAAGACACAGCGTCCAATTCAAAAAGTGCATCTACAAGAAGAACCCCACCCCCATGGCAGATTCCCATTGCTGGACTTGGTTCCCTGCCTCTCAGGCCTATAATTCTACATTCTTGTGATCAGACAGATAGAATATAGGAAGGAAGGAAACTTCCAAGGCATGCAGGGCCCAACCTCACCTTGCACCTTTTAGCATTGACAAGAAATTACACAGTTGCATATGATCTATTTTTTTTTCTTTTACTTACTAACTATTGAAAGAATCACGACCGCAAAATCAAATATGTTCCAGTTGTCTTTTAAGTAATATAGCCTCAAAGCCAATATTTTCATGATGCATTCTCCAGTAAAGATACCGACAAAAGCAAAATTGATTTTTTCAAGAAGATGCTTGGCTTCCGGCCCTTGGCCTTCATATTCCACAGCCATGATCACCACATTTAACAAAATGAGAGCTATAATGAAAAGATCAAATGCTTGCTTGCTTATGATGTCGAAACAGAATCCTTGGTACTTGTTCTGTGATAAAGGAAAGAAAGAAAGAGTACAAGTACAAGAGTACGCCTTGTATTAATGTCTTTCAAATTCAGTATTTAATTCAGAACAATAATCAAGGAAAGGCAGTTCTGCCTGCAACTGTCTTACCAGTGGCCGTGGAATGGTCTTGTGTGGTTTTTTGGCACCAAGTTTCTTCAAGGCATTGTAATATTTCTTCTGTTCCTCTGACAAAAAAATGAGTTTGTCACCTAGGTATAACACAATGCAACTTCAATGAAATTTAAATGTATCTATCTGCCCAAAGATACTGGTTTGCATCCAGTGGGGATGCTCCATCAGTCAACAGCAGCATTTGGCAGATGCAGTTTCCTCTTCCCTCTGGAGCGTCAGGGGATCTGTTGTATAAGTGGACTTCCACTCATGCAAGGCACTGAGCACAAGCCACTGACTTCCTGTTTGGGACACTTGCATTGATTTATGCAAAACCAATGAAGTACTTTCCAACCATAAATGGGCACTAACAGGGAAAACTCTTAACAAAAGTCTTTGCTTTGAAAGTCACAGGGTTAGACTCTGTGTGCTGAGGACAGCTAGCCTTCTTTAGGTAAGTTTTCGTTGAAATAGAAACAATTTCATAATGTTTGTATGGCCAGATGGATTATTTCAGGGAACCAGACTGGTAGGGTACCATAATTGCAACAGAACAGAATGAACCAGAGTGTTTCCATTTCCAAGGTCGATACTCCGTAATTCCTTTCAGAATACGCTCCCTAAAGCCATTTCTGTTGGGGGGTTTTTTCCTTATACACACTCATACCAACAAGCTGCAAGTTCAGAAGTGTGTGGGGATCTCCAATTTTTTGTTTTTGCTGCAGCTCAAGGTTGCTATAGCTGAGGGCCCCACAGATCTGTCCCCCGCAAGGGCTGCATGGGCTGTGGATCTGGAAGATCCAAACCTGCCAGTGCCATGCTCCTGCAATGCCCTGCTTCAAGACCTTTTGCCAGCAGCTCTCCATCTGCTGAGTCTTCCATTGGCAGAACAGGGCTCTAGGGGCAGATGGAGCTCCCTTACTGGCAAACCTCCCATCCCCCCACTGAAGGGGTCCCTACACCCAATTCTACCCTCCTCCAGCAAGTTAGTTCTGGGGTTAGGCTTACACTTGGTGTACTTCATAAAATCAGGACAGAATTAAGTGAAGTGCTGATTGTCGCTTACTCTCTGCCTTATTCCTCCCTAGGAATGAAGCCAGCTGCAATCTGTGGCGGTTCTGAACCCAGAGACTGCACAAATCCCACCCAGATACCAGAAACAATTTGTGGAAGAGAAAGTGTAACTGATGTGTTTATGTCTATCCATGATGAGTACATATCTTTTTCCTTTGTTGGTTAAAATTGTCAATAACAACTCCAATGAAGAGATTCAGCATGAAGAATGATCCAAATATGATGAAGACCACAAAATAAATATATGCAGCTACATTATTTTCAAAACATGGCTCTAAACCGTCCTGGAGTAAAACACAAAAGAAAGAAAGACATCGTTAAAGAGGAACAGAGGACCTGCTGATTCGTAATTTCAAAGAATTCTCATGGCTCTGTTTTGGACCCTGTTTCTTTTGGTGGGGGGTGAGGCTGTGAATTGGGAAGGTGGGAAAGTATTATCCCTGGAAGTGCCCCTGGTCATCCCCACTGCCCTGGAAGCTCCAATGCAAAAGCTGCTAACATGGGGCACACGGTCAAGTGACCATCCTTCTCCAAGGATTCCAGCACAGCTGCACCCGTGCCTCTCTGCCAGCAGAATGAACAACTATGCAAGCAGGCAAGACTCTTCAGCCAAAGAGCAGAGCCAAACACTCCAGCGGAACAGCAACGCTATGTGTGGCTCTGCCCAAGCAGTGGTTGCTAATTCCATGGCTCCTTGGCCTCAGCTTCCTGGTTCCAGATGCTAACTGGCACTGCTTGGACTTCATCTGAATGCAACTGGACCACCCATTTGCCTGCCTGGTCTTTGTGGTCCTTTGCTGTGTTTGACATTTCCTCATTGAGCCCTGAAACTCGCTTGTCATGGCCTTCCTAACCCAGACTTAAAGGAAGATCATAAGAAGGGCCATGCAAAAGGTCCATCTGGTCCAGCATGTGACATGGCCAGATCGTTACTTCATCAAGACTCGAAAATGTGGCTGTCCCCAAAAGGGCAGCAGAGCTAGAATGAGTCGCCCCCATGGATGTGGCTGGAGCCCTTTGGCTCAGATTTCTCCCAAAGCATTTTAAAAACCTAAGCTGAAAAGTTACAAGGTGGGAGCCATTTGACATTTATTTGGGCAAAGAATGGAAAATCAGCGCAAAACATAGTACGAAGCCGTTTGTGCTCATCATATAGTTGCAACAGACACAACTTAGTGGCATAAACCCTCCCAAAATATGCAGCAAAACATCTCAAAGAGAAGTACCGGTAATTCATTTTCATAGCTTACGTTATGTTGAGCATCTACTGCAGCATACATAATACCCATCCAACCTTTAAATGTAGCCTGGATAAAAAATACATAGATAAATAAATAGTAAATCAAGTTATTAAAAGGTTCTTTAAATGATGTTTCTTATTTTGCTTGACAGAGGGAGATGCAGATGCCAAGCTGGAGGGAAGAAAAGGTCACAGGTGTAGCAGCAGGACTTGTGTTTTTCACAAGTCTGCCCCCTAGATGTATACAAATGGGGTAGATGTTTGATTTTCATGGCCAGAGCGGTTCAGAATAGCTTGGCTTAACCCTCCACATTATATCTCCAAATGCTCTGCCATCCCAAACACTTGTCTTCCCAGCCAGACTCACTCCATCATCTCTACCAGGCTGGGGTCCAGAGGGAACACTTAAAGTGAGAGAGCATGGGAAATTAAGTTGGGAGAGCATTCAGATCTGCCTATACGAAACAGATCTTGTATTTTTATATGGAAACTACACACAAACAATGAATATCATCTCTAGTTTGATTTATGGTACTTCACATGCTTAAAGAACAAATTCAGAGAGAGAGAGACCCTTTGGCCTTAATTATACCAGCATTTATGCAAGGCAACTAGGCTATCTTTTAATTTAGGATCAGGGCATCTAAGATGCAAGCATGAATTTCATGCTGCCATTCAAGTTCACCACAACAAATGCTGGCATATTTGGATCAGCATAATGTAAATATTTTCTTTCAGGCTTTCCTCCACGAGGCGATTCATTCACCGCATCTACCTTTTATTTTGTTGCAGAACTGAGATGCACTACATAAGGAGCTTTGGTTTCCTGCCTTTCCGCTACATAAACTCTAGCTGGCACCATACTCTTCTGACCCAATAGCCTTGATGGCTGATGTTCCATGAGAGGGGACACTTGGAAGAATGGAGAATCCCCGTGTCACACCTATTCCATACAGGCAATGTGGTCCTGGATTGCGATACCCGAAACATGGGTTTGCTTCAAACTGCCAGGGCCTAGATGCCACTGAACTAGGAATGTGTGAGGAATCTGCCTGGCGGTGGGAATCCATCAGCAGCGTTCCCGACAAGCACCAGGACTTGTGGGGGGCTTACCAAGAATCGTGCAAGCAGTGCTCTTCTCGCACACCAGGAGGAGCACCCTTGAGTAGCTGCAACGGGAAGGTGGGTCACAAGGGGCTAACCAGGAAATCGCCAGGAGCACCCACCACTGCAGTGACTGCAACGGGCAGTGAAGCAGAACGGTAGCAAGAGACTCGCCAGGAGAGCAGCCCCCTGGGCAAGCAGTGTCCCTCTTCCACGCCTTTTGGGTGGCTGCGGCTAATGCAGAAGAATGCCGGCGGCTATGCAACCGGCAGTCTGCGAGTGGATACAGAGTTCCTCTCAGCTCGGCTCACTTTGGCAGACTGGGCTGAACACAAGAGGGAGCCCATGGTTGCTTGGAAGGACAGGTTTCAATACAGTTCATCCCCACCACCACTGCTAAACTGCACACTTTTCAAATAGCTTTAATATATCAAAATATTTCAGCTACAGCTCAAGTTCATATATAAATATTCAGTTTTGTTTTCTAATTTCATTTTTCTTTCAATATTCTCGATAATGGGTAATGCTGGGTTTAGGAACTTTAGAAAAGTCAAGGTGTAAGATAATGAACTCAGAAAGCTGTCGCTTAATACACATGAAGTTTAAGGCTACTTTGGTACTTGCTTTTAAACTCTCCCTGGAAACTTAATTCACAAAGCAAATGCTGCCTCTCCTTTCAGCTTTGCACATGAAATGCTGCACCATTTTCCTTCCAAAGAACTGATGTGTAACTGGACTTACCACCTGTAAGAGAGCTAAATACCCCATCCAAACATTATCAAAGTTGACATTAATCGTTTCCCATTCAGTGCAATTGGTACCCGGAGCAGGTGTGGAGCAGCTCCTAAATTTGCCTCCAAACATGTGCATTCCTAGGATGCTAAATGGAAGCCAAAGGACAATGCAGACAAGCAGCACATTCCCGATGGAAGGGACAGCACCGGTGAGGGCATTTACCACGACCTTAAATAACAACATGAAAGGCGAGATCAGCGATTCAGTGTACGGAACAGACTGACCAACAGCTATGAGGAATGGTAACTCCCCAGACATGCAGCATGACAAGCAAGCAATTTGGTAAACGTGTGGTGATTTCAGAATTTCACTATGGATGGATCTCAGAGCTGGGCAGGGAAGGAAGTGGACAGGAGGAAATGGATGCATTTGAAATATGGTGCTGCAGGAAAGCTTTGCGAATACTCTGAACTGACAGAAAGACAAGCAAGGGGGTCCTGACTGGGTTTTGCCAGCATTTTTTCCTGCAGGTCTAGCAGTATGGAGGGGTTTTATTGTTTAATTGTAAAAATAAGGTTGAAAATTGTGTTTTATGGTTTAAATCAATATTGTATGTTATTAGTTATTGTTCACTGTTCAGAGAGCTTCAGTTATTGGTAGTATAGAAATTAAATAAATAGCTGGATCAAACCAAACCAGAACTTGATTTGAGCCAGTGTGGTGTAGTGGTTCAGAGCATGGATTTGGGACTCAGGCAAACTGGGTTCTAGTCCCTGCTCAGCCAAGGAGCCCACTGGTTGTCTTTGGCCCATCATGGACTCCCAGCCCAACCTACCTCACAGGGCTGTTGTTGTGGGGATAAGACTGAGAGCAGCAGGAGGAGAATGATAGAAGCTGCTATTGCTGGGTTGGCAGAGGACCCAATAAAAGGGGAGACAGTCTCACAGAGAAACTGCTGACAAACATTATGACCAGATTTCACTCGCCATAGAAAGGCCCCCTGTGACCTGGCTCTTTTATTCCGGCCAGAGGTCAGGCTATGTGTGTGCCAAAACAGGACCTTGCAGATCGCCAGAACCATGTAGAACAGCATCGGTGAGAAAAGAAGCAGAAAAGTGGGGAGGGCGTAGAGAACCTAACAGATAGTCCTAACAGAGGTCTCATTCACAGAGAATTCTCTAAACTCTATGTATTCAGTAAATGTGTTTGTATTAAGTTATATGTGTTTCTATGTCTAGACAGAATCCAGAGCAGTAAACAAGCAAAAGATAAAATAATAACACTTCATTTAAAAACATGATAACCTTAGAACGATGGCTAGTCACCAGGGAAGGCATCCCAAAACAAAGATGGAATAAACACAAAAATGGAAACAGGAAAGGGAGGCCTGAGCAAAATATTTGGGCCCAATGTCGTCTTGCCCTGAGGCTTAGCGGTGAGTTTTTGTGTAGTGATATAATCTGCATATAAAATTAATTTTACCTTTGGGCTTAATCATTGGGATTATTGTTATAAAGCTAAAGAGGCAGAAAACCTGGTACCTTTATTCCTTTAAATCTAGACAATGCTCGAAGGGGTCTTAGGGCCCTTAGAGTTCTGAGAGATTTTGTGGAGATATTACTGTTACACAGATCTCTTTCCTTTGGTGTAACTGCTTCCACAGGAAAGGAAATCTGTAAAATGGAAGAAAAATACTGGCTGTTGACTTATAAACATACACTTGGAGCCATGAATTTCAAAGATTATCTTCCAGAAAACCTTTCCATGCAAACGTGTTTGCTAAGGAACGTCCTGCTGTGGAAGCACTGAAAGTTATTGATGATTCCCCCTGCCCCCCCCCCTTCAACCCTCCATCTATTACCTTCTTTGCGTCAGAGGTCAATGATACTGGCTTTGATTTTTATTATATGGATCACTGAGGAGGAAATCACTTTGCAGAATTCTACACCATAGCAGAATGCAGTACAAGAAGATTGTGCATGATACTTACACATACTATAAAGAAATCCAGCCAACACCAGCCACTGGTGAAATACTTCTTGAAGCCATAAGCTACCCATTTCAGAAGCATTTCCAGGAAAAAGATGAAGAAAAAGAATTTATCTGCATACTGCAGTATGGCTTTTATGGTTTTTTTCTTCTCTAGATGAATATCTTCAAAGATCTAGAATTTCAGAAATCAGATATAATTTAGCATTCTGTAATAGCACCCTATAAATATGTAGCAGGTGGTAAGGATCTGACCCCATTTATTAAGTATCCCTGGGGATTCCCTCCATCTGACTAACATTTAGGAAGGAAGCCCTTTATGGTCCTGCTCCTGGAATATGTGGCAGAACTAATCCATTAAGTGTTAACGGTCCAGATACACACAGACACATATCTATTTGATGCTGAAGTGCAGTCCACAGGGTCGATGGAAAGCGGTCCCCTGACCACCCAAAGCCCACCTTCCCTGCATTAAGCTATAGTCTACATTTATAACACTTTGATTTGAATTATTTAGCAAGGCATAAGGAAGATTCCTAAACTTATGGCAGGGGCATGACTACTCCTTGTCTGTGCTGCTTATACCTGGGTTTGTGATTCTAGCTGTAGTCATCCCCTGCTAGGAGCCCACCTGTCATGGGCCAGCCCATTCCTCCTTATTCTGAGAACTAAAGTCTTTATTGTGTTAGAAATCTTTTGCATCTTCTTGGTGATACAACAAAAGACATTAGAAGAGTTAGAAGAATGGACATTAAGGAAATACAGCTTAATGACCATTCTAAACGAAATGCCTCTCTTCTCTTTCAAACTGAAAGTTGTTAGCCTGCTTTCAAGATGGGCTGCTGAGCTAATTGCTGGGAACAGCTGGCATTTCTTAATTAGTCCAGCCCCTTAATCTGACAATGCATGATTGGCTTGATGAGGTTAAATCTGCCCCTCCCAGTCTCAGTTCACTCCCGAGAATTTCCTCCCAGCTAGAAATTGTCTGGTTCTCAGTAACTTCTTGTCTTATCTCTGGGTCCAATTGCCTGGACATTTCAGCTGTAGATTCCAACCCCCACTGCTTTTTCTCATTCTAAATCAGAATATACCTTCAACAAACTTTGAAAACTACAATATTTCAGGAATGGGCCCAATCCCAACAGCACCTGAAAGCCTGCAGGAAGGAAAACCCTAGTGATGAATTTAGGGATGTCAGAGAAACCAGCAATTAGAATGCACTCAGATATTTCAAAGCCACATGGCCTTGTGGACAGATTTTAATCAATACATGGATGGCAAAAGGAAAGAGACCTGACAGTCTGTGAAATACAAATGGAACAGATTTAACAAAATCCTTTTATCCCAAGATGATTAACCCAAATGCATTAGCCTAGTGAGGTACTCTCTGGAAATAACTAACATAAGAGACATCTTTGTTACCTAAACAATAAATTGACTAGATTATGTATTGAAGAATGAACTTGCTAGGAGAAAGCAACAGGGAGTTTACACCGGCCTGATTGTATCATGCAACATGTTCTATGAAACTTGATGGAAACCATGCTAAATGGACGTTCCAAAGGAGAAAGCTGTGCGTGATATGATTCCCATACATGGGGTTGTTTACCAGAAGGATCCTTCTTTCAGAATAGCAGATGTCAATGAGGACAGCTAGAATTTGGCTAGTAACTGTAAAATCACTAAACACTCACTCCTTGCTTTCCATGATCACAGACTTGCTTTTCATTGATCACAGCTTGTAACTGGAGTTCTGGCCATCTCTGTGGCAACAGACGTTAAAGGCTAGATTTGCTTGGGTTCACAGGTCAGGGCCATATAGATGAACTTCCTGTGAGTTTGTTTGCTTTTGCTGTGTTTGTATGAAGTGGAATCGAAATAAACTAACCACTTTCCAAATTTGTTTCTTAAGATCAGAATGAAAGTGCTTTATTGTTTTACCACTTGAGTTTCTGCATCATTAGGGGGGTTTTCATTCATGGGGTTGCCATTAGTCAGAGATGACTTGATGGCACAGAATGATAAAAACAGTTCTTAATCAGCAGCACTATAATGATAAAAACAGTTCTTAATCAGCAGCACTACCTGATGTGCAAGTCCAAAGACTATCCTCAGAGTGGATTAACTGTTCTTTCTACTTTGTAAAGTATACAAAAATACATGTTAAAAAAGATGACATCTTTGCTATTCATACTTAAATTTTATTGGTTGATATCAAAAGAACTAGTTAAGAGATACCCAAAGGCGTGTCCAGTGTCATTTCTGAAAGGCCCGTCTGTTTCAAAAGCGGTTTGCAGTGTGATGTGAAAGCCGTTTCTTCGGAAAGCATAAGCCTGAAGTGAAGACTCCTTGTGCATCGTGCCAAACTAGCTGCATGGTTCTTTGGGTCCTTGCTCTAACCAAGACACTTCTACTATTACTAATTTGCCAATAAAAATAAAGATTTTCAAAGTACAATTAAATATTATCAAAGAATACGCATACAAAACTTCCACTTACCAGTTTATCAAGCACATTTCAGCAATGACAGGAGTCAAAGAAAAAGACCGTGGCAGCCATGCTTTTACATAACTTACAATATTCTTAGCTTGCAAGGTAATTATAGCCAACTTACCAGTGCACAACTGCTCAGTAGTATCATGAATATGATAAAAAATTCAAACCAGCTGTGTTTTATAATTTTGTAGCAGGTTTTTCTACACCTCCACCACATGTTGCCCAGAAATGTATCAGTTTTCACTGTGCAACACGGGAATAATGTGACCAAAACTGAAATGAAGAGAAACTGAATGAAGAACTTATTATCATGAAAAGTTAGGAAACCTAAGAAATATTTCTACCACCTTTTCAGGAGCTGGGTGGCAAGCTATTTCCTCCTTGTCTTCCTGCTCCTGGAACATGGTGGGCATTCAGATTAAACCAGTTAATGTCCAGGAGAAGATATTTGTAGGAAGCCAGACACTGGGGTGCTCATGGGAAAACCTGCCAGCGCACAAGCCAATTCCAGTATAAATAGCATAGAAGCTGACCTAAAGGAAGAGCTGCTTCTTCAAGTCCGCTCCAAGCTGAACCTACCAGAGCCAGACAGCATTAGAGCGTCGCATGGCAAGTCATCTGGACTGGGCTTTGGCTGAGCTGACTCACAGTGTGGGCCCCTGAGCAAAATAGCCTTCCAAGCTGGGCAAGTGTTCTGGTAAAGCACTCCATCCATAATAGGATCTGGAATATGACCTGGTCATATGCTTGACAAAAGACTGCTGGTAATGCAATGCTGCCCTGGAAGCTATATAGCTACCCACCTGCTCCTCAATACAATATCATGCTGGGGAACGTTCTAGATGGATTTCTCTTCTCCAGCCTAAATCAGTTGCAATCCAAGTATCTAATCCAGTTCCTATTCTTTGCTGTATTGTTGCATTATCATTTTTGACATTGATGTATTATTTTGATATTGTTGACATTTGATATTACTATTTAGTATACTGTTATATAGTTATGTACTTTTCTGATTCCTTGTATTTTGGATTTTTTTCTATACTATTTGAGCATGCATTTTATATCACCCCGAATGGGCTATGGGGTGGGTTAGAAATATAAATTGAAATGAAAATGAAATGAAGTTACTGTGTGGTCTGAATTCAGTCGCAGAGTCAGAAAATTGGCCTCTGTTCTGTGCAAAAGCATCTTGGGTGCTCTGCATTCCTCTGGAAGACCTGAAGTGGAAGCAGTGGATTTCCTGCATCTCTCCTGTCCGGGGCTTTGGAAGGTGGCATGTGGAGCTGCCCTGAGAGTGCTGATGCCAGGAGAGTGGGCTCTGTTGTCCCCTGGGGTGCGTTCTGCTGGGCCTCCTTCCAAGAAGACCCGGCAGAACATCACTTCCCCCCTGCCCCCAGTCTGGGTGGCCTTCCTGGGGCATCCTGTCTAAACATGCATGGGATTGCACCCTGATTTATTTAAATTAACAGTTGAGCTGAGAAAGCTGACCTTGTGGAAAACAGTCCTCGGGCTCTTTCTTGATGAGAAGCAAAGGGCAGGGAAGAGACCTCTGATCTACCGTGCTGGCCTCAGAGCAGCTGACTTCATGATCTGCCGCCTGAACAAGAGGACGAACGTTACAAGGAAAACCACTCTGCTTTTCAGGAAATGGATTCATCCCTTCAGCGTGTGTGTGGGTGAGGGGTCAGCCAGGTACTACGGAGGGAGCGTTAAAGCTCAGTGTCAGAGCACCTGCCTTGCATACTCCAGGTTCTCCACACAGGGCTGGAAAACCTGGAGAAGTGCTGCCTGCACATGTGGGCAAGATGGAGAGCCAGACCAATAAGCACACCGCTTAAGGGACATTCAGGAAAGGCAGCCCAGAAGACAAATGCGCTTGCTCACTCCAGCCTGGAACTGAGAGCCTGCTGACACCGCCCCACCCCAGCACTTCGCCTGCCTCCTTCTTGGCACACGATGGTGCTTTGCTTCCTTCTTCCCTCTCCACCTGCTCCCGAGTAGTCCTCAGCTGGCTGGGGTACGCAGACACACAGAGCACGGCTGGCTAGCACATGTGATGCAGTCTTGGCAAGGTTCCTGAGCTCCACTTGAGTCACAGGTTTTGGTAGTGCGCTAGCTTCTCCCAAGCAGGAATGGTGGGGGGGGGGTCCCTTCCTTTCTTTGGGGAAGGAGAGGCTTGGGTAGGCTATCCCAGTCTCATATCCACTTTCCAAATCTCCTCACCACCTGCACTTTCTTTCTCTCTCTCTACCAAGGACCCAGAAGAAACTGAGACCTTTGCTACATCCTGCCAAACCCCCACAAAGGCAAAAGGTTGGCTAATGGTCCGGGACCAAACTCCATTCTTCTCCAACCACAAAATAAATCTTGCTTTGCTGGCCCTGTTTATCACTAGCTGCTCTCCTCCCATCTAGGAGAGAAAGAAAAAGTATTTCCTACATTACAGTCAAACACACAGAGGTGAGGCAGTAACTCATGAAACGCAGGAGTTGAGCAGGACACTCTCCATAGCCGTACGCCTCAGGAGAGTACAAAATTGCAGGTAGCAGCATCATTCAGTTTATCGGAAGGACGTCTGAAGGAGCAAAACACTCCCAAAAACTTTGCGTTACAAAGAGACACTGTGGCTCAGGAGATTCACTACCACCACAGCTCTGGTTAGGACTTCAGCCCAGCCCAGAGAGGACTGTGAGGTCATCAGTAACTGACCGAATCAAGAAGCACTAGGTTGTGTCCCTGCGAGCGCATTGCCACTACCGCACTGGGAAGACAGTACACCACTTGTTCCACACTCGGTAACACTACACTGACCATTCTGGATTGCCTTACCTTGGGGACATCCAAAGACGAAGCACTTGTACTGTCAAAAATCTGAGAAGAGAGTCTCTGCCTTGACTTTTTGGATACCTCTCTCCTGTTTCTCATGATGTTCTCCTAGGAAGAAGTATCCAATGAACAGTAACATTTCTGTGCTAAGGTGTTTAGCTTCTTACCTTCCCATACAGAACACACAAGACACTAGCCTACCAAATTTTCTGGGTCTTCTTTTAGAAACAAAACTCAGTTCAGGAAATTAAAGAAAAAACATATACATGTATTTCTTTTGGAGGTATATTTTGGCATTCCTTGGAAAGTTATGCATTTTGGAAAATTATTCATCACTGCGGATGCTCACTGTAAATGTTCAGCGATGCGCATATGGTGCTACTTTCTTAGTATAAGTGGTACATGGACACATTTGATGTTGGAATGCGCTCACGTATCACAAGCATGTAAAAGCAGCCCTGCTGTATCAGGCCAAGGGTCCACTGAACCCAGGATTCCGTTTGCAGCAGTGGCTATTAGGGACGTGTGAAGAATCCGCTTGGCGGGGTGGGAAGCCGTCAGACTCGTTCCGGGAGAATGGTGACTCGACAGCAGCAGCAATGTCCACTGCTCCGTACCTTATCTCATTTAAATGTTTATAAATTGTCTTTGAGAAAGTCTTTGCCTCTCTAAATGGCAGGTGGGCTTGAAGGCTTACAGCCAATAGCTCTGATTACATCGAGATGGTAAATTGAAACACGTTATAGAGTCTACCCCCATATATACTTTTTTCCTTTCTCCTTCTAGTGTCTTCATCTTTTTTGTACTGTTCTTTTTTTACTTTATTCTACTTTTTGAGTCAAGAGAATAATACTCTAACTTGTAGCAACTTGGACTCTTAAGGCATTTTAGTTCGGATATTTGGAAAAGACGCAGATTCTTTTGGCTTGGTTCCCTGCACTCCAGCCCGCTTTCTCGTGGCCTCAAGTCTGAATTGGCTCCAAGGGGGTGTGCAGGCACTCACTGGGAACAGAGCCCACACGGGAGCTACGCAAGTGGCATCCCTCTTCCATGCATGTGACTTGTGGCTTTTTTGCACTGCACATGCCGGGGGAGGAGGTTGTCAGGTTACGTATCAAGAGTTCTGCACGCATTGGTGGACTTTGTTTCAGCTCAGCTTGCTTCCTAAACCAGGGCTGAGCACAAGTAGAAATGTGACTAACAGAAATGAGCAGGATTTTGGGAGGACCACTGCAACCATAGTGGCTATATCCATTCTTGGGGTGCTCAGGAGAAAAGCATGGATAAAGGAAGACCAACACCTTGTTTGGCCCCACCATACAGTCTCTTGTGTAATTATGGCTGTTGATGAACTGTTGATAAACCTAATTCATCTAATCTTTTAATCTAGTTTGTCACAACTTAGTGGCTAACCCTCCCTGTGTGGTGAGTGCCGAGGAATGGAGGTGAAGTGGGGCCATTGAGAAACAAGGAGGAGGAATGCAAGCCAGGGAAGTGTAGTGGTTAGAGTGCCAGATAGGTGCCGGGGAGATTTGGGTTCTAGTCCCCACTCAGCCTTGAAGCTCTCTAGGTGACTTAGGATAAAATGGAGAGGAAGATTATATAAGCCTCCTTCGGTTACTTGCAAGTGGGATATAAATATAATCAGTCAATCAGTCAATGCATGCAGGGGGGAACTCCAAAGTTTGCAGAAGAAAAAAACACACATGCACTCACTCTTTTATAAAACCCTAAGTGAGCAAAACTCAACCCCAAACAGCTCAGTGGGCACTGAACATGCTCAGTCACCACAGAACATCAGAAATGGTTCTGGTCCCAAGCCCTTAAGTTCCATACCTGCTTATTCCTACCTGTATATCAGAGCTCGTATATTCTTCATCTTCACTTAAACTTTCTAAGTGAGCAAGGGGAACCCAGACAGGCACAACATCTTCTTGCTTTTCACCTGTTGCCAGGTTCTTCCAATTCCGCTGGTTCTCACAAGTGTCTTCTCGGATGTCGGCAGGTTCCATGGTGCTGGCCTTCTGGACAGCAGCTGCCTCCCCCTTGTTTTTCGTCCCTGCTCTTTTCAACTTCTGCATGCATCTGTTGCAACATCGGTCCCATAACAGATGTTTGACAAACTGGAACCCCCTGTGAATGTAAACAAAGACTACCCGAGGGTCCTCTTCATTTGGCTCCATTTTTAGATTGCTGCTACTGAAGGAACTGAGCAACAAAGCAATGAACAGGTTGAGGACCTGAGTGAAAAAGAAACAGATGAAGCAAAACGTAAGGGGATGGGGGAGGAAGCCCATATTGGAAAGCAATATGTTTAAGGTGCAATCCTATGAGCCTTTAAATGAAAAAAGGTCCAGCTGGCCTAGGAGATGGCTGGGAAATTCTGGGTATTTCCTTCCATGCATAATAGAATTGTGCCCTTTGGCCTCAGTGCGATGCTCATATACCGTAAACAAATCTCACTGAACGCAAGAGAGCTTACTTGGAGTAGACATTGATAAGACTGCACCATTAAGCAACCTTTCCTTGGCATACGGAGAAAACTGTCCCTGTTAGAGAGCAGGCAAACAGACAAAAGCCAGCCCCTGTGAGCTAAGCCACCGGCCTCCTGTATGTGAGGAATGTGTTGCTGCACTGTGCTGCATCTGAAGAGTGGCAAATCCGTGCCCTTTACGGGAGCTTTAAGGATCAGGGACACTGCCGTGTGCTGGTCACGTCCCTTTTGTTTTGTCAGACTCAGAAGAAACCCTTTGAAGTTGGTTTGTTGTTGTTTTTAATTTGAAACTTAACTGGTTAGAGAATAGTATCCTCTCTAAATAGCCTTGTATCAGATTTGTGGGTGAAGCATCGGCCCAAATGAAGAACTGAATCCAATCTGAAGTGTTCCCTCTTTCCCCACTTTCAGAAAAGCTTCTGACGCTACCCTTGAGGTGGACCTTGCACTGTGAAAGCGAGAGGGCAGAAATGTTGGACCTTTTGTAACTGATCTGCTCAGTTCCCCTGCTGTTGCCCCAGCTGGGTCAAGGGGTGCTTCTTGTACCTGCTCAGGCCCTGTACCCTGAAAAACCTTCCTCTCTTTCCAAGGTGGGCAGATTCCCACACTGTGCCTGAGAAACCTCACTAGGAAACCTCGAAATTGTCCAGCGGTGGCTGTCCCTGGTGTCAAAGAAGGCTGGTCACACCGTACATGGCTGTGAGGCAGTGTCTCTCTTTCCCACCAGCTGAAGCTGCCGTTAGGCTGCTGCACCTGACATGGGAGGAGGTTGCTAGTGGAGCAGCTGGGGCGCCACAAGCACTCACAGACTTGCTTTCTGCTCAGCTCACTTTGGAAGACCAGGCCGGGCACAAGGGGAAGGCCACAGGTGCTTGGAGGAATGGGCTCTGGCAGCATTCTTCCCAACCCTATCCATCTATACTTCAGCATCAGGACCGGTATCGTTACACAAGCATCGCTTTCACATTGGTACCCATTCTATAAAACATTTGATCTGGAGTGAGACTTTTCAGTCCTCATTTGATTTTTTTTTCCAGTTCTCACTGTAGCTCTGTTAAGATCTTCTACAGCCTGACAATTCCAGTGCATGGCCCTCTGCCTATCTGGATGGGCAATTCAGCAATATCCCAACTCATCAACGACTCTGTATCTGTGAGTCCGATGAAGCTGAGGCTATTGAACACTATTTATTCTGTTGCCCATTGTATGAGTAAACAAGGTATAGATTTCTCCTTCACATGCTCAATTCTTTATCAAACGGACCTTTCTTGGACCAGATTTGTATACTGCTTGTGGGCAATGATGTATACGTTATGACCCAGGGTGCAAAATTTGCCCTGACTGCTAGAAAATTAAGAGCAACATCCCATAATTCTAAACTGACTTATGGGAAACAACTATTTTGCTATTTTTCCCCATGGAATGGACATGTGATTTTAATTGTATCAATTTAATTATAACACTATTTCCTCTCAAAAAACACTCAAAATGTTTACTATATTTTGTATGGTATTTAACTAACATAGAAACATAGAAGCAAAGCGAGTCAGAAGGGGTCTCCCGGGCCATCTAGTCTGACCCACGGCATACAGTTATACAGTAACTAGTTTGTAACTGTTACTGTATTCCAAACTGGATTGTACTTTAATTGTACCTTATTGTCTGTTGCTTTGGATTTGTGGTGGCCAATGGCTATGAATAATAAAAAATGACTGACCAACCGGATATTGGTATTTCATTTTATATTTTCCACTCTTTGATCACATTTTAGTTTTTTAACTGTTTGCAACCTTCACAGAGAACATTAGACACTGGGCAGATTAGCAATGCAGTAAGCCCATAAATAAAGTTAAATAAAGTGCATTAAGTTATGGAATGCGCTCCCCAGAGAGGTCTGCCTGGCGCCGTCGTTATTTGTTTTTCGACGCCAGGCGAAGACCTTTTTATTTAAGCGGCATTTTAAATGTTAATATTATTGAATTTTATCTGGCCAGGGCGGCTTATTTTATATTGTATTTTTGTATTTTAATCTAGTGTCTGTATTTTTAATTTAAGATCATAATTATTTTAATTTATTGCTGTAAGCCGCCCCGAGGCTTCGGCGAATGGGGCGGCACAAAAATGTTTAAATAAATAAATAAATAAATATTGTGGGGAAAAGGTCCTTAGAGAAACGGATTAAAATATGTCCAATAAAATCAGGAAGGCCCTTGGAAACTTACCACTAGGTTTCCTAACACCAGGACCAGCATGAACAGTGCAATGCACCACCCAGCTCCCGCGGCCTGCATACAGCCCCACATGGTCTCAATCCATTCTCCGCACAGAATTCGGAATATAATAAGGAACGAATGGAAGAAGTCTTTCATATGCCATCGCAATCTACATTTGGTGTCGTCACCTTCACATCTTTTCACATGGTCAGTGAAACACATGCTACAGTTCTGAGAAAGCCCTTCGTAACTTTTCCCAAAGGCCTGTTTGCCAACCACAGCAAAAATGAACACGGTGAAAACCAAAACAAGGGTGAGGTTACTCAGTGGGCCCACAGACTTCATCATGATTTTCATGAGCTTATTTAAAGCAGGCCAAAACTTTGACAGTTTGAAGATTCTCAGCTGCAGAAGGGGAGGGAAAGAAGAACATCAGAAAAAAGATAAGGTTACATTCTGGTTTTCCAATGGTGCGTTAGCATAAAACACCAAGACTGGTATGCAAATTAAACCCCTATGACCTCACCAAGAACCATTCATATGTAGCCATACCTGGACTGTAGCATCAACCGAACAGTGAGATTTCAGTGGTTGTTTTAATGATGGAAAGCCGTCCCGAGATGCCATGCAAAAGTGACAGCGTACAAAAGTTTTAAATAAAAAAATTTGCAGCTGAGGCAGCATCCACCCAGGCGAGCCCGACCAGGCTTTTTTGGGAGGCCTTGGCCTTGCTCCTGCCACCACTGGGCCACACGTGGTGGTATGGAAGAGTTTCTTGTTTTCACTTATTGTGCCCACCTGTTTGCCTATATGAAAGGTTTGAGCATTGCTAGCATCCTGGAGATACTAATGAGTGATGCTGATGGGCCTTCAAGCAAAGTACTTAAAGCACCTGTTTAGCTGAGCGCAGGCAAGAAAGAGGCTTGGGTGTCGATTGCAGCGTCATGATTGTGACACTCCTGTTTTCAGAAATATCCTGTCAGCATTGACCTGTATCACTTCAGCGTTGGTAAAATTCCTAGGCATTTGTATGTTACCATATAAAAAGCTTGTTTGTATTCAAGCACGAGAGACACCCCCATCAGGTTCAGCCAGAGGGACCTTTCTCTACAGTGCTACACTATTTTTATGAATAAAGATTGGATGGATTGCCTCTGATTGCATTGGCCTGAAGAGATGTCTTGGGTTTGGAGAAAATGAATTTCCTTCCACAGTGGGAAAACGAGGGAGGGCTTCTTGGTGGTGGCTCCCAAATTCTGCACTCAAAAGAACCCTGACTCAACAGGAAGTATCTTTCATTGTGCACCTGACCATGTTTCATTTCCTTGCACCTTGTGCTTTCCTGGAACTGCTACTCTCATAAATCACATAGTAGCAAACTGAAAAAATGCATTGAATGATACAAAATATGGTTAAATGGAACTTGTCATAAAGAAGTCTGCACTTAAGTGGTTAGTTTGTTTCCTGATTTTCTATCTTGCCTTTCTATTACAAATGGTGCTCAGAATGATGCTTTATGATTGAAAAAGCCCAGCGACTTGATTAAAAGATAGAAAACAGAAATAAACAGCATCCAGCCAGTTAAAAGCCCCCTCAATAACAGACCAGGTTAAGATACAATCCTGTTGCGTGTTTAAATAGAGAAAAGGCCTACAACTCCCAGCATGCTTCAGGCTGCCTGAATAAAGGCATGCTTGCCTAACGGTGGAAGAGCAATGAAGTGGCAGCCACCTGTGCCTCCCAGAGTAGGGAATTCTAATGCTCGGGAGCCACCACTGAAAAGGCCCTCATTCTTTTCTTCACCAAGTGTGCCAAAAAGGCCCTTCCAAAAAATGAAAACCCAGCATGGGCATGTCTGGGAGAATACCATCTCAGTTGCAAATATTTTGATTGATTTAATGTCCCTTTTATTTTTTGATCTTATATTATGATATTTACTTTATTTACTTGATTGTATTTTTATTAATTGTCTTTTTTATTTTAGCGGTTATTATGTTGATTGTCTTACTGGTTTTATTGTAAATTGTAGATTTTATTATACTGTTGTACTCATCTGTTGTATGCCACCCAGAGAGCCTATTGCTAATAGGGTGGCATATAAATTGAATCAATAAATAAATGCTGCTGAAAATTGTAGCCATTTTATGCAGAGTTTTTCTTCTTTTTCTAACAAGCCTACAGGAGAAGTGTGCCATCAGCTCGTGCTACATGTAGGTACTTTCCCACCAAATAAATAAAGATGTCAAGGAAAAGAAGCTCAAGATTTCATAACCTCTATGGAAGATGTTACCAATGGAAACAAAAGTGGATTCACCATTACCATTCTGAGAAAAGATATGTGGAATTGAGTGATCAGATTTATTATGCCCATGACAACCACAACAAAGTCAAAAATGTTCCAAGCATCTTGAAAATAGTAATATGGATCAAGGACAATCATTTTGAGGACCATTTCCGTGGCAAAAATTGCAGTGAAAACCTGCAAGAGGAAAATGATGTCAGTGCAGAACAACGGATGTGTCAATAAAGTCAGTACAAGCTCTTCTAAGCTATACTGCTTTCTCAAAGACAGCAGCAAATTTCCTTGCTGATAACAGTGAATTAATATGATCCCTTGCCTTGTCAGAGCCTGTAGTCCTTTCTAGGCATAGGAGGGAAATGCCCCGTACAAGCAGCCATGCATGGGCATGTGGCTCATTTCTGATAGAATATGCCAGGCAATCTTTTTGGGCTCTGAGCTTATCTGGCAATTTGAGAAACTGCTTTGGGTACCACTGCAAAATGGCTGCCACAAGAGGTGTAGCAAAGGACAAGTAATCTGTCCAAAAAGGTAAAGACAAGGCAGTCTAGGATCCAACACACTTAAAGACTCCTTTCAACCCAGAGTTTGCAGCAACTTCAGTAACTTGTTGCACTGTGATCCCAGTTCCCAGTAAGAACATGTTAACTGGAAAAAGTGGAAGAGGTAGGGTGCCAGGAACTGGTGACTGGAGGCTCACGGAAGTGCATGGCGCATGCTCATGGTGTTGACTAGACCTGACACACCAGATAAAAGACACATCTGTTTGTGCACCTGTAAGCCCCTGGGTTGTTCAGGGTTAGGGTTAGGGTTAGGACCAATGGGACAAAACAGCAAAGCCTACACATTTTCACATTTTTAAAACAATTAAAGAGATAAGGCTTTTGATTCACCAGCAAAACAATATAAAACTCAAGCCTGTCTAACCATGATTTTTGATCCCCAAACCTTTTCCCTTAAAGCCTGAGTATCTGGGAAGTTCATGTGCACTGATCCCTAATTTATGTAATCTCTTTGGCTTATAAAAATGGGGAGACAAATCCGTCCACCCCTCATTTAGGCCTCTGCAAGAAGAGCTGGGGTAAAGACTGACAAATCTCTGTTTCCGATTTGTCCATTCTTAAGTTCAGTTTGTCCTTAACTTTGCATTTGCTGTATAAAGTAAGCATGAAAACCCCTAAGCCCTTCTGTGCACATTTCTTTCAACACATGGATTTTTGTATGCCTTTTTGCAAACGGTTTTCCTTATAATGGATTTTAATGTTATTTTCCTATATGACTACAAATTCTTGAATTATGGAACTCCATTGCAAAAACTGAAGTATGAATTTCGAAGGATAATTGAGTTTTGTTTCACATATTGGTTCAAAAGATCAAAATTACATAAATTGACATTAAAACACAGGCTGAACTATTTTCTCTCCCAACAACAGTGACAAGCTGTTTTCAATGCAGAGTGGAAAGTGTGCCCATCTGCTGCTGATGAACGTGTTTAGACTGGAGCCCAAATGTAGGAAGTATGAATTTGTAGGGTACAGCCCTCTGATTGGTAGGTGCTGCCTGGCCAGCCACAGAAAAAGATGGAGTGCTCACCATGACACTGGGAAAACCTCCTGAGGTCTCCATAGCGACTTCACTTAGGGTCGTGCAACTACTGGAATCTTTCTGCGTTGGCAGTGGCCCCAAAGATGGATGGCCATCTCATGCCAGAGCCAAGTGGTGTTGCAGCCTTTCCTCTTGCAAGGCCAGAGAAAATGTTTAGATGGCTAAAATCAGCTATAAAAATATCTTTGCGGGTGAGGTAATCCTAGGCTCCACCATCCTGCCACCCTCCACTGGCTGACCGCAACCTTTTGGGTTTGGAGGCTTATAAGTAGCCATGCAGAATGGTGGCACTATCCCAGGTTTGCAACATCCTCCTGTTACCACTTTCACTATGCAATGGCTTCATTTCACACAGAACTGCAGAAACAAATAATTAAATCTGTGATTTCTAGCTGAAAAGTTTAGTCCAAACATATGACCAAATTCTTCCAAATCAAAACAGCGAAAGCATAATTGCCAGCATTCAGCTTAAGAAGGATTTGGTTTACTTACAATATTTCCTTGAGAAACCACTTCCTTTGAAAGGGGGCAATTTTCTAAGGCCATTAACAGGGTGTTCACTAGGATACACAACGTAATAAATAGTTCCATAAAATGATTTATCATGATTTGCTTCATCCTTGCCTTTATTTGCAACCAGAATGGGCAGCATTGCCAAATGAGATATTTTTTGAAAGCTTTTTTCAAGCCGGGAGGAAATTCGAATTTGGGTTCTTCCCATTCTAAACAAGAAAAGGAACACAAGCGTTGGCGTACACACTAAGTTATGACTCACAAGAGCAATTACAGGAGCAATCTCTGGTTTACACTTTCAGTGAAGCATCACATACATACACAGTTTGATAGGCAAATAGAAAGTCTCACAGAAAGGACAACTAGGAAACCTTTCAGTCTCACAGAAAGGACAACTTTCAAACATCATCCTGGCAAAATATTGAAAAATAGCTGAGGAAAAGGAATGAAGGCCTCCAGTTCTCTGTAGGTCTTTTTAGGTTTTAGGTCTATAGGTCAAAAAGGCAGGCTACTTACTGTAAATGTCATTTCTCAAGTGGCCATCTGTCCGTTAACACAGATGGGCTCTGCACCTGCATGCAACCTGTTGCCAGGAAGATTCTAGATGTGACAGTGGCTTGCTGGGAACCCCTCCCCCACCCCCAGCATCGGTAGATACAGGAGAGGGCCTAGGGACGGAGGGAGAATCCGTGAGACTGCCCTCAACACCGGTCAAAATCTATCCCTACATCACAAGTGTGCCTCTCAGAATATGACACCAAGGATGGAAAGGTGGGTGGGTGGCCTGAATGCACAGGTGAATACCTGAGGAAGAACAGTTACAGGTAAGCAACCTGCCTTTCTTCTCCCTGGTCTCTGTGCATCCCACATAAGCAAGTTTGCCTGTCTGGAGGTGGGTCAGTGCCATCACCGTCGAGCTGGACTGAGCTCCCAAAGACACAATCTGCTCCGGCGTGGACAGTGAAGAGGCAGTGCCTCACAGAGGCTGATGGGCCAGAGCAGGCGTCTGCTCTGCAGAGGACTGGCAGAGGAATCCCTGCAGGTATGGGAGTGGAAGTCACTGTTGCCTGAGCAGAGTGAGCCTTGAAAGGCCCCGGAATTTGTAGACCAGCAGACTCATAAGCCAGGGAGGCTGTCTGCACCCCCCAGACCACTAGCCTTTGAGAAGCCATAGCAAATAAACAGTTTCTGAGACGGCTGAAAAGACTCATTGCTGGAATGGTAGAAGAGAGATCCATCCTAAGAGCATATATCTCACGGGAGTGGTCAGTTGAAGTAATCCCCACCAGGAAAGCAACTTTCCATAAGAGTAGGCATGGATCGACAGTCACCATGGGTTTAGACCGTTTCCTTGTAAGGGCTAGCAGAATGATTGAGACTCCAGTTAGACGTTAAAGAATGAGTTGGTGGAACAACATTCATGAGCCCTCAGAGAAAATGCCAAGATAAGGGAGAAAGAAAACCAGTGAACCCTGAATTGGTACATGGAAGGCTAAAATTGCTGCCAGGTGGATGCAGACAGACCATGTCTTTCGCCCCACTGAAACAGAGTTGAAGAAGAGGAGGATTCGCTCTGCTGGACACTGATGTGTGATGCAAAGGCCCACTTGTGATGCAAAAAAGGGTTTCCATTTCGCGGCACAGACCTCCTGACAGAAGGCTTCAGCGCCACGTCCAGTATTGAGTGCAGTCCTTCAGGAAGGGTGGCGAGTCCCTCATCTGGGCTTGAGGTGCAAGGTGTGTACATCCAGGTGTAATACCTTCCCCTAATCTTAAGAAATTTGGTCCAGCCTGCTATCAAGCTACTGGCAGTGATGGCTGCTCCTTGCTGCCACAGGTGGGGAAGGCTTTTGCCAGCAGCTGTCTGCAGCACACTGTCTGCGTTCAGAAGACATCACATGGGTAACAACAACCACAGAACAGTCCATGGTGGGTTGTTTGGGGAAATTATGCTGAATTAATATTAATTTTAAATTGCTTATTGATTAATTAATTAATTATTCAATTAGCATGTGTTGAAAATTATGCTAAAAGGGGAAAGGTCAACTTTTCATTGCAGAGCCAACTACTTCCTACTACCAGACAGACTTTCCCAGCATTAGCTACAATACATAATCTTTTTTTTTTTTTTTTTTTAAGAATACTGATTTGGATCATTCTCAAATGCCATACAACAATAAAACTTACTGAAAAACATACTCGTGGTGTTTTTTTTAACTTACCCATAGTTCTGCTGATGACTCTGGCAGCACTTGTTAACTTTTGTCTTTGAAGTACATCAGTATTACTATCAACTGGTAGGTGATAGGACATTAGCAACTCTTTCTTCAGATGCAAGGGAAAAAAGCAGATATTGATGCTACACAATCACACAGACTTTCCCAACCTGATATCCTCCAGATGGTTTGGACTACAATCCTATCAGCTCAACCAGCAGGCCAATGATCAGGGAAAGTGACAGTTATAAACAGAAACATCTGGGGGCACCAAGTTTGGAAAAACAGCCAGCAACATATCTCCATTTGGGGGGTGGGGGAAGTCCCCCTGTGATGAATGTAGGAACAGAGAAAATAATGTGTTGATGACATCACTGGTTTCACCATATGACACATTTATTGAGCATTTGTGAATCCTCACTAACAGTCGCGTGTGGGTGATTTACACGACACTGTCATCCCCTAGGGTCTCTCCCATGCTTGCGACCATTTCCATGGTTTTTTTCAGGTTGAGAAAAATGTGATATTATTTGAAAACTGTCCTGCAAAAGGCTTGCATGGGTTTGCAGTTCTGCAGTTCCACCTTGTGGTTGTGCAATGGAATTTACAGAAAAACAAAGACAGAAAACCCCAGGTAAATAATACATGTAAAGGAACCAAGTTTATTATTCAAAGAATCGGCAAGCCGATGCCTCAGTAAAATTACAGCGAAGCCCCAAAGAAGAATGATGGTTAAAAGCATGAAGTACACCTTAGAATAATTTACGTCAGTGGTTGGTAGATTATTTCTGATGCAGCAGGATTGCTATGAGATGGGGGCATGGATCCAAAGTTCTGCTTCTATAAAGGGGGGGGGGCATTTCTGGTTTATTGATTGATTATACAGAGGGGTGCAAAAGTAGGTATACAGTTTTTATTATGAAAAACAATAGCTTTATTAAGTCACAATAAGGATGACATACAAATCATTCTTTTATGAATTGACTCATGACATCAACAGTGGGTGGTTTTCTTGAAAACACTTTATCTTTGATAACGCCCCAAAAGCAGAAGTCATTGGGGTGAGGAACTCTGTATAACTCTTACAACTGTATAGCTACTTTTGCACCCCTCTCTATTTATATCCCACCTTTTTCCTGCAAGAAACCCAAGGCAATTTCCACAGTCCCAAGGCAATTTCCACAGCCTCACAACAACTCGGTGATTGCAGGGGGCTGCAGATTCTTCCTCTCAGTCTGCTGTAACCAAAGAAGTAATTCCTGTGGGTTGGGGAACCATCCTGAGCTCTGTGTGTGTGGATTTGTGAGGGATTGCAGCTGGAGGAGGGGGAGATTTTGTGCATACATGAGTATGATTATCATGTATAAATGCAGATCTTTTAATTTAAGGTAGGATCTTGGGTGGGTAATGATTTTATACACAGCAAAACTTCAACTATTTTGGTATGTCCAATGGAGTGTGGCAGTCAAATTACAGCAGGGGAGCTGGGAGCCTTGACCAATCTAACATATTCCAATAAAACACAAACAAAACCCCTGCAGACCAAGGTACATGGAAACTGCAAGGCAGTACAGGTATTCCTATATCCTTACGGATCCCTTCTGCTACAGCAGAGGTGTGCAGTTAGCGACCGTTCAGATATTGGATTCCAAATCCCATTAGCCCTTACTGGATGACCACAAGCTGGCTAGGCCTGTGCAAGAAAGATCCTTTCCAAAAAGCAGAACTTTCTAAAGGCACAATCCCATGTGTACTAAGACAGGGAAAAAGCCTACAATTCCCTGGGAGCTGAAGGTCTTTTTTCTGTCTAAACATACATCAGATTGCAGCCTGCTCCTCCCTGCAGTTAGAAGTATCAAGAGTATCATGCAGCAGACCATCTCAGTGCTGGGGTGCTGCACTCACAATACACAAACACAGCATAGCCACAGGGAGGGTTTTTCCACATGAGGCTGTGGATCTGCTGTATCTACTTTTGGGTCTGTCCCAGAATCAAGATCTGAGCACCCAAGGAAGAAAGACTTCTTTCCTGCTGTATAAAATCTAGCTGGCACCATGGGGGTGGCAGAATAGCACAAATGCACCCATGAGAAAACAAGCGAGTTGGCAGGAAGCAGCTATGTCCAAATTTATTCTCATTCAACTAAGCAACATTTTAAGTGGAATTCAAAAGCACGGAATGCTATGTCTCACTTCTGCCAAAGTTCTATTTTTCTCTTTGTGCATTCATAGAATATTTCTATTCTAATATTACCATTTGACTCTGGTAATATTGAACATTATGCCAAAATGCTTCCATTATTTGGCCGTATTTGGTTCAGTGTTTCGAATCTGATGCCATTTGACAACATGGGGCAACAATAATTTTCAGTATTCAGCAAGAGACATACAGTGTCTTTCAAATACTTTGTATCAATGGATTGAGCAAATGCCGACTTAATTAAGCAAAGGAGTAAATTTAGGTACCAATGATGAAACATTTCCAAAGCCAGGTAAGAATAGCAAAACAATTTGGAATTCCTGGATAAAATGTAGTGGCTGAAGTTTGAGATCTGACGCTATGTTGAACTATTTGGAATTTCTTATCAGCTCTGAAAGTAAAACACAGCATTCCCTTGGTTGCTCCATTAAGCATTTTCTACATTCAACTTGGTCCTTAGCTAATTCTTAGTGTTCCATCTTGAACTCGCTTCCCAGTTTTGCAAATAAAGAGGCTGCTGCTAAAAGCAATTGCCATTAAAACTTACCAGCTTTTGTTGACTTTTATCAGGCGGTGAGTAAAATGATGCTTCATCTTCTCCATAGAGTTTGGACTTTGTGCCTCTGCGCTTCTCCCTCCTGCTTTCCATTTCTTTTTCATCTGCAGATGCTGCACTTGATATTTCAATGTTTCCATCTGAGGAAGCAACGTGACTTTGGACAGACATCTCCTGAAATAGACATTTTTCAAGTAAGGATTTTAAGCACACTCTTGCTGGGAGAAAGAAATAGATATCCTGTGAAGACCCTTTGTGCTTGAAGATAGGAGGGGCCTTCTCTGCATCTGAATAGACTGACTTCACAAGAAGCAATATCCAGTAGAAAACCGCCTCCCCACACACACAGTTCTTACAGGTAGCTTTGCTATTGGGGAGACAAGAGCTACACTTAGGATTTGTTAAGAGTGCTGCATCTTTCCTTTGCTTTTCAGTGTGTCTTCTGTCTGTTGAGATGTCTGCATTTTATCGTATGTTCATTTACAGGCTTCTGATGATGATTTCTTTGAAACAAATTTGGATGTGGTTACCCCATCAAACAAATGTTATGTCCACTACACTTTGTATCTTGAATGTAAAGTTTCTGTCCTTAAATTCCTGATGGTACTTTGAGTCTTCAAGAGTCTTCTTTCTTAGAGATTGCATTTTATTCGGTGTCTGTTCAGTCCTTTTAAAAATAATTTTGGTATTATGTTAGTTTGCCATATATAAAAGACATTTCTATCTTTTGTTAACAGTACCATTTCCAAGAGTTCTGTTTTATATGTGGAGTGTGCTTAACCCATCTATTTTCTTCTAGGAGGGAAGTCTGACTCTGCTGAGACTAGAAGGTCCGAGACAGTGTCTAGACAGCTATTTTTATTTATTTATTTATTTAGAATTTTGGTATGCCGTCCCATCGCATAACGTCAGGACAGCTTACATAAAATAAACAAACACAATACAAATAAAATCCAGATTCACTCTGGCTGCAAATTAAAACCTATAGACGATATTAAAAGTAATTAAAATATTGTTTAAATAAAAAGATCTTAACCTGGCACCGAAAAACAAATAACAACAGCGCCAGGCAGACCTCTTTGGGGAGCGCATTCCATAGGTGGGGTGCCACCGCAGAGAAGGCCCTCCTCTGGGTACTTTGCCTCCTACAGATACTGGAAACTCACTCTATGATCAAAGCTGGGGCAACTACCTGCAAGCCAGAACTGTGGAAAGAACAGCACTTGCTGCTTCTCCAAGGTCATAAACTGGCTTTGGAGAAAGGCGTTTGGGGGCATTCCTGGGATGTGGAGGGAAGGAGGCAAGCTGCAGCAGCATACCAGGTATTCTGGTGGCAGCTTGGCTTCCTTCCTCCTGCCCCAAGGCGCCACAGTTAGCAAAAATCAGCCATCTAAGCATTGTGCAGGGCAGGAGGAATGCAGAGGCAACCTTCACCTCCACACCTCGACCACCCTGCATGAGATGCCTGCCATCCATGCGGCTCAGAGCATGACAGGCATCTGTGATTGGATGGCACCGCAGGAAACATGTCCACAAGCCATCGTCTCCTTTTATTTGGTTGAAAAATGGTAAATGGATATTCTAAAGGGATGGATAAAGGGCACCTAGAATGCTGCACTGAGCCAGGAGTTGGACCGAATGACTTTATTGGCCCCTTCCAACTCTCCTACTCTTTACTTTATTTCTGGAGAGAAAACATTTGCAGCAATTCAGTCTTAACACAATTTCTGCACTCAGAAAAAAGATGGAAGAGGTGAAAAACATATGTGGGATCGTTATGAGTGAAGAGGATGGCATCCATGCCCCCTCTAAAATTCTGTAAATGAGGCAGAGAGGTAGTGCTAGAAAAGCCTCTTCTGGGAGCACCCACAGTGAGCCTTGAGAGTCTAAAAGTAAAAGAAGTGCATGGGGAAGCATCACATCCCAGGAGACCACATCAACCAATAGCAGTCGGACATTTCATCATGGATACAGGTGCCACAAACAAATCCATTCACATATTTTATTTTTTTCATAGGCTAGCATTGCAGTGTTTTTCTTTTTCACTTAAAATGGGTTATGGCTGCCTTTTAAACAATGGAACTATGGTTTGGGGATGTGCTGCCATCAGTATGCTGAAGACTCACAGCTGTATCTCTTCTCTCCATCTTCAGCAGATGAGCTAAGCCAGTGTCTGGCTACAATAACGGACTGGATGAGGGCTAACAAACTCAGTCCAGACCAGAATGAGATGCTTTTGGTGGGTGATTCCTTTGGCCAGACGAGGGGTATTCGGCCTGTGCTGGATGGAGTGACTCTCCCTGAAGGAGCTGGTTCATAGCCTGGGGTTGCTCCTTGAGCCAACTTTGTCATCTGAGGCTCAGGTGGCTTCAGTTCTCTTATGTTCTGATAGTCTCTAAATTAGACTGGGACCTGGAGGTCCAGATATAGAAGACCAGTCCTGGCTTGTCTGCATTGGCTGCCTCTATGCCTCTGGTCCCAATTCAAGGTGCTGGTCTTAAACATGGCTTATTATTGCAATATGCCTAACCATGGTCTACTCAGACACTATGCTCAACTTCTGGGGCCTTCCTCCAAGTACCAACCCCTCGAAAGGCTTGGAGATTGGCAACTAGGAAAGTCTTTTCTGTGGTGGCCCCCATTTTGGAACAACCTCCCTGACGTGGCCTGCCTGATGCCAAATTTGCCATTTTTTCAGTGCCAGGTTAAGACAGTCCTCTACAAGAATGCTTTTCAAAACCTTGGTCAATTCAGGGGCCTAACACAATCATCCAGGTGCCTTTATTTTATTCTTGGCTGGATCTTTTTAATGTCTTTTGATATATTTTATATTATTTTAAATTATGTTTAAATTGTGGTTAATATTTTATCTATATTTTATTGTTTTTATACTTTGTTGTAAACCTCCCAAAGAGCTTTGGCTATAGGAGGCATAAAAATGAAATAATGATTATAAAAACAACAACAACTTTAAAAAATTGGTGTACTGAGTATGGAGACTTTTTTTTTTACAAACCTTTTCCATCTTTAGTATTTTCTTTGCTTCTTGAAGTAACCTCTCCCTTGCCTTTGTCTGTGCCACTGTGGCTCTGTTTTGCTCCTCGTATGCCATGGTCACAACAGCCAGGATTAAATTAAAGAGATAAAATGAGCACAAAAAGATGATGATCACAAAGAAGATGACGTAGGATTTCCCAGATGTTCTGATAACCTAAAAGCACAAAGTTACTGATTTTGAGAATCCAAAATATATAGCAGCATTCAAACAGGATTTTTTTATTCCATGTTCACATGGTGGTGATTTCAGAGAGATAGCCAAGTTCAGCCAGCCCAGCAGAAACAAGAAAGAGTTTTGTGACACCATGAACACTAATAAAGGTATTGCGGAATAAGCATTGGTTGATCATGGTTCACTTCATCAGGGACAACACTGAGGTAGAAATGGCAAGCTACTGTGTAAAGGCAGAGCAAAGGCCTCATCTTGAATAATATGGCCAGTTCAGGAACCATAGTAATAGATTAGGAAAGATGCAGACAAACTGTTCAAGGTTCAGAGGAGGGCAATCGAGATGAACAGGGGACTGGGAATGAAGCACTATGAGGAGATTTTCGAAGAACTGAGCCCAATTCGCCCATGGAAGACCGAGGGAAGATAGGATAGCGCTCTTTGAGTAGCTGAAAGGTTGTCACAGAGAGGAAGGCTGGTATCTCTTCTTGATTATCCCAGAGTGCAGGACATGGAATAAAGGGCTCAAGCTTCAGGAAGCCAGATTCCAGCAGAACATCAGAAAGAACTTCCAGATGGCTGTGTCTGGAATGGAATCCAGGACCTAGGGAAATCATGGACTCTCTCCCATGATGGAGGCATTCAGGATGCAGCTGGACAGCCATGTCAGAGGGATGCTTAAAGCTGAAGTCCTGCACTGACCAGGGAATTAGACCCAACAGCCTTCTTGGTCCCTTCCAACTCTACTATTCTGTGATTCTGTGCAAAATCTTTTCTTCCCACAGATATTCCTGTGTGTAAGAGGTGGGTGTGGTGCTACAGGGAACATGCAGTGATAAAAGGAAACAAGGTATGTATAGTGTTAAACACATCTAAGCCATATTCTGGGGGTGCTGATGAGCTGAATGTGGGCAAATGAACTGCAGCTTTAGGCACAGAAAAGTGTTCTCTCTCAGAATAAAGGAACTGTGTCATTTGGATGGGATAGCCTGGGGTTTCTCTTTGATTCCGCTTTTGTGTGCCCAGAAAGTGGCTGTGGCTAAGCAAGGCTTTGCCAAGCTTCAGCTGGTGTGCCAACCATCACCATCCCTTGAGAGATCTGATGCAACCATGGCAACAGACGCCTTACTCAGAGCAGAGGTGATATGGCCACCCTGCTGAAGTTAGCAGGTTTGGTCTGGCAGGTGCTGGCTGGCAGCCTGGGTCAAAACCTCCTGTTTGCCTTCTTGGTTCCTCAGTAAAAGAAAATTAGGGTATAAGGTAAATAAATAATCTGGATTGGATTGTTGTAATGTAAGTGTGAAAACAAAGCACACTCGAAAGAGGAGGAAAAGGAGTAGAAATTAAATAGAAAAGACGTTGAAGTGCAAACAGAAAGGAAGAGTTGATCAGAACCAGCCTGCTTGGGAAATCTCCACAATTCGTCTGCAGAAGACCTGAGCAGGAAGCCATGGTGCCTGTTCCTTTGAACATGTGTGCTACTTCAAAAGGGAATGCACATCACCACTAGCACTGGGTTTAAGCCCCAGAAGATTCTGAATTACGCTCTTCACAGGCATAGAAACACATATTTGTGCCTGTATAAGACTATGAAGAAAAATCATGAAGAAATGCCAATGTTGCTTTCTAATTGGTCAAGAAATCCTTTTAATGAGGCCACTTAAATCAAATTCTGATTTTTAAACACCCATTATTTCTTAAATATGTATTTAAGAAATACATATGTATAAATATGTATTTAAGAAATAATCCTACTTCTGTATTTGAATGTTCAAGGTTCTAATGAGACGAAAACTGCAGAAAGCAGTTACGACGAATCAGTACAATAGTGATAAAAAGGAATCAACATAATTCCATGGAAAAATAAAGAATTGGCTTTGACTCTTCCCACTGACTCACCTGAAATGTTTTAGACTACTGTTTTTGTTCTAGCTGCAGTGAAGAGATTGTAACTGAAATATATTTATGGCATTGGAATTCCATAAGTATCTATTTCGGCAGCAACTAAGTAGACAAATAAAGAGCTTTTTTTTATTTTATTGATTGATTGATTGATTGATTGATTTATATCCTGCCTTTTTCCTACAAAGGGCTCAAGGCAGCTTACATCATTCTCCTCCTCCATCTTATCCCCACAACAACAACCCTGTGAGGTAGGCTGGGCTGAGAGTCTGTGACTGGCCCAAGGTCACCCAGTTGGCTCCATGGCCGAGCAGGGACTAGAACCCAGATCACCTGAGTCCCAGTCCCACGCTCTTAACCACTGCACCACACTGGTTTTCCCATATTAGGGCATCAATACACCATTCATGCTAATACTTTTGGCTGTAAGAGAAACCATTCCAATCCATAGGGTGGGGGATTAAATCAGCATAATTTTAACATATATGAATAATGTGTCTCTCGTACACACACACACACACACACACACAGAGGAAAATGCAATTTTTTTCAACTGGCAAACCAGGAAGAAGTTGGTAAGAGCACAGATTACCAGATTTGACAGTGTATTCATTTTAAACTAGTGAAAATGAGAATCCAAGAGCAAGAAATCAAGGCAATATGTAAAATGCTTACCTTGTCCCAGGTTTAAAGAGACATGCGCACACACACAAGTACAGTCTTCAGCAAAATACATGAAAAACATTTCTGTAAAACATTTAATGCACTATCATATTGAGCTGGAATGCCCCTGCAGCCAGCTGCCTCCCCCATGTGCCTTGGAAAGGAGAAAATGAGGCGTGTTCTGGGGCGGGGCAGGGCAGGGCTGAGGACTTCCTGTCGGCATCCCAGCTTCCGAACATGTTTAGATAAAAATCATGGTGTGTGGTGCGGCACTGGCAGAAATGATCACCCCCGCACCTCTTTGGAGGTATAGGATGCATGTAAATTCTGGGTTCAGAGGCTTACATGCATTGTGTCAGGGGCAATGAAAAGTAATAGTTTACCTGCCGATAGAGACGTTCCCAACTATCCTGCGTCATCAGCCGAAACAATGATAAAAAGGCCCATCCAAAATGATCAAAGCTTGTGTATCCGTAGTCAGGATTTTTTCCATGTTTTGTACAAAAATAGTTTGTTCCACATTCAGTGCCGCTAATAACAGATCAGACAACAAGCAAAAGAATTTTCACTTAGTTTTTTTCCCCTCACAGACTACAGCTTTACCAAATCTGGACATTCACCTTGTTATGAGCTCACACCACAAATCTCTGAGTGGGGAGAACTGCAGGGGAGCAAGCGTCTTTACCCAAGCTAAGTGAGATCACTGGAGACTTAGGGCGAGATTCTCTTTACTGACACAGGTAGAGCAAAATGTGGTTTGCAGCAGGGGGACTACCAGCAGAAGGTTCCTGTAGTGAGAGTTCAGCTCTCCCTGTAGCCCAGTTTGCATGCAACAAGGAGCCACGATGGGAGGATTTTCTCATGGGAGGGGGCACATTGTTGCCAGGGCTTGATGAGAAGCCACCCACAACCCTAGAACAGCCTACGGGTTCTGGGTGGCTGATCAACACCCCAGCACCCCACCCTTGCACCTGATGGCAAGCTGCAGCATCCCCCTGTGCAGTTCAAATGTTCAAAGGGGCCACCTGTCACATGCAAACCAGTCTTTGTCCCTTTGGAAGGCATTCCAAACACTCTCCTTAGCCTCTTGCTTGCTCACAATTCTGGCTCACAGGTTTAACCAGGCCACAGGGTCTCCCTATCTAGCACGTGGAAATGCCAAGGGGTGCCTCCAGCCCCATGCCCTGGAAGAGCCTTCCACTGTTATCTCTGACGAGTGACCCGAGCAGTGAGTGTGGCTTTGTGTGAGGCTTGTCGCCTCGAGGAGCATGCAAACAGAAGACGCTGGGGTGTCTGCTGCCATCCGAAGAGGCAGAAGGAAATGGAGGGTTCTCTTCCAGGGGTCTTTATGTGCCATGCCTGAGAGTGAGGAAAAGGAAGTCACCCATCCTGGGTACTTTCTGCAAAGAGAAGACAGCAGCAGGAGGGCTGGGGATCTTCTCTAGGGGGCAGCAGAGAGTCTAAGGGTTAATGCACCCATGGTATGGCTCTGACTTCGATTGTTCAGCCTGCCTCAGAGGCCATGTAAACTTTAAAAATGAAGTGTGTGAAATACTTACTTGGGGTTTTTGCTGAATCCACACAGCAGTATCTCAGAAGAGTTATCTTTCATCTGGTACATGCTGACATTTTCTTGGACAGGAACTAATAGAAAAGAAACATCCATCATTTAAAGTACCTTCCCACAATGAGGCTCAGGGGCCACCACAAGCTGTTCTTAACTACAAGGAGCACAATTGTACAAAAGCTGTACAGGAAGGATAATATTTGTGCCACACCTAAGGTCTCATGTCAAAGTCTTGCTCTGAGCTGAGGCAGAAAAACACAAGAGGAGCATGAAAGAAACCAGGACCTCTCTCCTTCAGCTGTTGCCACCAGAAGCCATTCTAGCTGGTCCAGAGCTCATTTTCAGCTGTCTTCCATGAGAAATAAAATATGTTGTTCATAGGCTAATTTTGCTGAAGTAATGAAGTGAAATAAAATCCAGGGAGTTCTTCAGCTGTCAGGAGCTGAGGTTCCTTCTTTGCGCATTCAGAAAGCCAAAGGCCATTTTCTGTGCAAAGCATTCTTTATTGACAAAAAGCGCAAAACACCCAGAATGTATCTCTGAGCATGCACAGAGCGGTTTGTTGAACCTCATCTGCTAGTCAGAAACCCCAGAAACTCTCCTTACGAGCATGCCTGGGACCCATCCCTGCGGAAGGGGCTTCTGGTCCTGGAATTGGGCTGCCCTCCTCTGCTGGCAACACGTCATGGGACCTAGAGCGGAGGCCGCCTGGTCTTTGTCTGCTAAACTTCCCTGCTCCGAGCCCCCTCCCGTCTGCTGTACATCCTGGTTGTTCCCAGAGAGTGCCTGCCCCTCTGGGGAGCCTGCCTGGCCCTGAGAGAAGTCAGTCCTGCACCTGCGTGTGGCGGGATGGCCCGCGTACCCAGCCCCGTCCTCTCCTCCTTCCTCTTCCCCTTCTGTTTCTTCTAACTCCCAGCCAGCAGCCCTTGCAAAAGTGCATCCAAAGCAGCCATCCTTTTCACTCCCAACAGCAGCAACAATTTTTGGGTGCCATCATCTCAGATTCAGCTTTCTACTTGGATATATATTCGGCCCATAGAGTGGGTTTGGGCTATGATGTGTGACATTTGCACTTGTGTTTCTCATGTCTCATTCTTACTGGAGCATTTCTTTTGCTATCTGTTCGATGAGGCTGCTTGCAGTGGGACGGTCATAGAAACACAGAAGAGTAGAGCTGGAAGGGGCCAGAGGGCCATCGGGTCCACACACTGCTCAGTGCAGGGCTCCAAGGTAATCCATCCCTCTCAGGGGGCTGCCCAGCTGCATCCTGAATGCCTCTAGTGTGGGAGAGCCCACAGTCTCCATAAGTAATTGGTTCCATTGGTTCTCCCATGCTTCTTTCCTCACCTGCTGAATCTCTTCTTATGTTTCGCTGAATGTAAAAACACCACTAGTGTCGCCAGATGTTCTTCTACAGGCCAGTACAAGTGCTTCCTGTCCAGGATTTGTTGGACTACTCTTGGAGTTCACAAGCTGACTGATTGCATACTGCCATTTTTAATGTTTCTATTGTATGTTATCATGCTGTGTTCTGTGGTTATAATCGCTATAAATTGCTCAGCGAGCTTCAGCTATTGGGTGGTACTAAAATATAAACTAGTGTACATCTGACGAAAGGAGCAACAGTACTGACTTTTTAAAAGAAAGTTTAACACTGTTGGAAAACTCTTGTAAAGCAGGGGCAGGAGTGGGGAGAGACAGTTTACCTGGATCATTTAACACACACTGCTGATTTTTCTGGTTGAAGGTTACGTTCACAAAATCACGGTGGACACATTTATTTCTTAAGTTGCCCATGAAAAGCTGGAGGCCAACCAAGGCAAAGACAGCCAAGCAGAAAATGGTCAGCAACATCACATTGGCAAGTTTCTTCACAGATAGAAGGAGTGAGGTTATTATTACTTTCAGACCTATGGGGGGGGAAAGGCAGAATTATAGAGAGTTGGCTATCAGAAAATAAACATTGCAGCACACTTTGATTGTATTTCTCATGCATAGTCGTTGTCGTCTCCTTCTCCTACTCCTTCTCCTTCTGGAAAGCAGACCCCAAGCCCAACTACTGCTAATTTACTCAGCTGGGGTGGGGGGCTAGTACAGTTACTCAGTTTCTCACAGAGGCTGCTTTGAGAGAAGGATTTTTATTCTGCAGCCAGCCTGCAGAATAAAAATCCATGGAGAGGAAAATATGAAATAGCTGCACAGCACATTCTGATGACAGTACGAGTAGACCATCACCTGCAGTTACACAGACACTACCACCTTGTAGGAGGAGATGATGTTCAGGCCCTGAATATTTTTTCTGGCCAATTGGGCCTTGTGGGAAAGAAAACAATCTGTGTGTGTGAAGAAAATTAGTACATGTTCTTGAGAAGATGCAAGGATGGAGTCAATCACACCTACCAGTGATACTATAGGATGGATGGATAGATGGACTGATTGATTTATTTAAAACTTTTGTATGCCGTCCCTTATGCATGGCATAAGGATTCTGTGCCTATGGTAGCTCACATCTTGTTTCAGCATAAGACAGAATCTGCACCTGTTGCGAATCAACTGCAGAGCAAGCAGGAGAGATACGTGCTTGTGAATGGGTGCCTCAGTGGTTGTAATTAACATACACAGTAACTGGATGGGTCTCTATTTCCTTCTGCATCCTGAAAGGATGCTATCTAACCAAGGGCCATTTCTTTGCAGTAGAGACACCTGTTGCTTCCAGGGGACATCCTTTCAGTTTCAACTCTCCTTCTGCAACTGCTGATGTGCAGGCTTTGTTAAATCTGCTTTCTTGCATGTAGCTAAATGCAAAATGAAGTTCCTTTTCTTCCATGACCAGGATCAACTTTCCAAAGTGCTCCAGAGTATGAAGGAGCCCCCTAGGGCTTTCTAGTGCTGTTTAATGTTCAATGCTGACCTATAAGGCTTCCATCTGCCTTCCCCAACCTGCCATGCATTCCCAAGCCAGATGTGCTAGATTGCAGCTGCCGATATTCCCAAGCCAGAACCCATTTAGGGAAGGCTGCCTTACATCTGTCACCACAGGCCACTGAGGACATGGCAGCTGCCAAGGTTTCCCTTGTCTCACAGTTCCAGCCTTCTAGTCTCTTGGGAATGACAGATTTCAGGAGATACAGATAATCTGGGCTTGCTTCATTCAGAAACAACCTACCCCAGGGAATGAATGGCAGACATTTTACAGCCTTAGAATCACAGTTTTGACACATTAGTAGTTGCAGCTCATGCCTCTCCACAGCCTAATTGGTATGCAGCAAGGGTACAGAACCTTTTTCAGCCTGAGGGCCACATTCCATTTCCGAAACACTTTTGAAGGCCTCAGTCTGGTGCAGAGGGGCAAGGCCAAATGCAAAGGAAGCAGGGCCAGAGGCAAAACAGTTATGGCCAAAGCTACTATGTATTTTATTTGCAAGTTCATACTAGCAGTAAGCAAGCCTTACGGGGGCATTTCAGCCTTCTAGAGCATGCAGAGTGGAGTGCATGAAAGCCAGCCGGGAAACCACAGGACAATGATGGCTTATGCTGAGCAGGCACGGCCATCTAGATGGCTGGTCAGACAGGCAAAGAGGCTGGGATTTGGTGCCCATGCCGGGGGTCCTGGTCCACAGGATTGCTTTTTCTTTCGATAGGTTCTGAATTCTTGCTTTTGCTTGATTGAGGTTGCTGTTCTATGTTGTGCCTGACCTGGGGGTTTACTGCCCTTTCATAAGGGATTATTTTTAACAGGTTGATTGTGACTTTATTTTCCTGAAAATTGCCTTGGATTCCTTGCGTGAAAGGCAACATGCGCTTGTAGCAAGTACCCAAGCAGACAAAGAAATAAGGAGGATGGGGGGAAACCCATCTTCTCACCTGGGATTACAGATACGGCTTTTAAAGTCCTCAGAACCCTGAATATCCGGAGAGCTGAAATACTACCAAATTCACAAGTAAGAGAAACGTACCTGAAAATTACAAAAAGTGGGAAAGTGTTGGAACAAAAGTGACAGGCTTATTATTTTACAAGGCTACAGGTAACTGCAGTTTGCAATTCAGTGCATTCCTCCTGCTCCTGCAAATCCAACTGCTCCTATACTTGTTAAGATTGTTAACCTGTGGTATGTGAACCACAACCATCTGTATTCCAAAAGTCCTCATTTCTATTCCCAGTACCTCCAGTTAAACAGGGGTCTCAGGCAGCCTAGTCTGGAAACATTCTGGAGGGTTAGTTTCTACCAGTCAGAGCAGATGGTGGCCCAGTTTATACAAACATGGCTGGGAAAATAAGCCAGAGTGGTTTATTTCTCCCCTCTGCACATGCCAGGGAGATTAGCTTAATTACCCTCACAGCAGCACAGTTGGCCATGTCATGAAAACTGGGCAAGGTCAGCTTGTTGCTATGGCTAGCAACCTATGGTCCTTACATGGGTTAGGCTGGCTTGTTAACCAGAGCAACAAGCCACCTGGCCCACAAACTCCACTGCTGAATGTTATCACGCTAATACCAACGGACTACCATGGCACATAGAGGGTGGTTAAGTGTCCACTGTAGCTGGTCAACCATCCTGTGGCCATTTGAACTTGGCTGGAGCAGATGGGCTCGCAATCTGACTTAGGGTAAGGAAGCTTCCCATGCACGTACCATTCTGGGGAAGGGTCAGAGGTCATTGCGAGAGCCCATATTTTGCATGCATGAGGACTGAGGTTCAACTGCCAGGCAAGGCTTAGAAAGGAGACTCCTGTTCGGAGCCCTGGAGAGTCACTCCAGTGCAGACCCTCCCAAAGCGGACGGACCAGGGGTTCAAAGTGGTACAAAGTAGTTTCTGATGTGAACCCTATATGACAGGAGACATTTCTTGCTTCTCCTTAATAGTATAGGTCTGATTTTAAAGCCTGCATTCCCGGCTGCCATTCCAGAGTTAGACTCCCACAGCCACTAAAGCAAGTAGGGGCAGAAAGTGTGAAGCTTCTTATCTGTTCATTAACTATCGCTGTACTTAACAGCAGCTAGAATACTAGCAGATAATAAATCAACCTACATCTGTGTGTTTAAATGTTTTCCAAGCCAGGAATTCATATGGAAAGCTAGCAGAAGAGCAGTCCAACTTTCCACTTCGATAGAAATTCTGGCAAAGAAAGAATATAAAAACTTACGTCACAATCAAAACGAAGAAATCCAGAATATTCCAAGGATCTCGCATGTAGGTAAATTCCTGCAAAATAAATCCTCTTGCCACAACTTTTACTACAAATTCAGTGGTATAAACAGCAGTGAAAACAGCCCTGGAAAGAAAAGTGAAATTGTGAGGACAGAGGAGGAAATAGAGGACTGAGCTCACGTCCTGCATCCTGCGCCTTCTCCCAAATGATGCCTAAGGAACAGAGAAGCACTGAGATCACATTACGTGGAAAGCTGGGGTTACACTTCGTTCTGTGATTCATTTCCCTCTCTGAGCCAGCGGCAATCCCAGGTTTCTGCAAGAGCATCGCCCTACTACAGTTCTGGACAAGGCAGCATAAGCGGGAGACTTACAGAGCCCCTCTAGCGCTGGTGAGCCACACCTGGCTTACAAGGTCTGCGTCGCTGAGGTACAGGTTTGCTCTGGCTCTTTGGGTTGTAAATACGTGGCCTTGGGAGTAAGCCCCACCGGGTTTAATGGGCTCATCATTGCCCATTAAACCGGGACCACTGAATAGTACGGTGGTCTATGAATAGACCCTATGAATAGACCACTGTACTATTCAGAACCACTGAATAGCAGAGTTGGAAGGGGCCAGAAGGCCACTGGGTCCAACCCCATGCTTAGTGCACGACTCCAGGTTGAACCATCTCCCTCAGATGACTGCCCACCTTGAACGCCTCCACTGCAGGAAAGCCCCCTACCTCCCTAGGTCAGGAGCTCCACTGTTGTACTGCTCCAAATTAGTTTTCTGGCTCAGTGCATGGCTACCCCAGGCACCACTGTTGCCCTGGGCACGTTTCCGGAGTGCCCTGGCAGCTGAGACTGCTTCAGGACAACGGGGGCCTCCAGCCACTGCCACCAGCAAGGCCCATTGATGCCCTTGGGCTATATATGCAGATCAGAGACCCTGAGCTGATCTATGAGAGGGTGTTACTCTGTTCACCTGCCTCAGGTTTCATTGAAGAATTGAGACCCGAGCACCCCACCAAGTGCCTCGTTTCCTGCTCTGCTGCTATAAAACCTGTGGTACAGTACAAAAGCACAGTATACAAGTAAAGAAGAATATTTTCTTTGGCCTTTATGAGTTGCTCTAAATTCTTGCTCTAAAAATAATTTGCAGAAAGCGCTCTTTAGACAAAGAAGTGAAACTGGAGAGTTACGATGTCATCTAAAGAACCTGCCAACAACTCTGAGTGGGGAATGACAACTACAAAATAAACGCTTTGTGTAAAAAAGCTCATTCTAAGGGAATGAAACTCGGGAGTGGCTGCAGCCCAGTGCATCTCTCCGCACCATGCACAGTAATCAAAAAACAAAGGGAACATGAAGGGATTGCTGTGAATATGAGAGAGAAAATGTGATAAAGGGAAAGGGTTTGGCTGGCAGATACAGGAGAGGGGAGAGGTTTGCCTTCCAGTTTCTGCTGGCACTGAAAAGTGTCAGTTCAAGAAAGCTGAACCCTACCTACCTCTGGCACTTCGGTTGTCCTTTGTGATTAGCACTGCCTCCCTAGGCAGCCATTTTGTGGTTGTGCCAACCCTCTTCATCAGACTGTCAGATATGTCCATAGGCCCAAAATGGTTGCCTACCCAGCAGCATCATAAAGAAGTCACAAGGTTGAGGGAGGAGGGGTGGTAAAGCAATATGTCCACCTCAAATATGAGGAAAGAAGCCGTGGACCAATCTGATTGGCTTTCTCAGAATTTTAAACACAGAACTTTACCATAGGGACACCATAAAATGAGGGTGCAGCTTTGGTGGCCAGCCACTCCTGCTGCTTAGCAGTTGCCCAGTAGCACCACAGGGTGCAGACAGACTTTTAAAGCTAGTTTCCTCATATGTTATGAATGCAAGAATAAATCAGCAGGAATCTCCGCCATGACCATTCGCTGATCCTTTCTTGAAAGAGGTGGCAGATATGCTCCTGGATTTCTATCGGCGCTTTATAGGGACTGCCTGCCTCCAGAGAGAATACCAGAAACCACTGAGCTACAATTCTTTTTCACAAACTCTCCACTCCCACATCACCCACCAGTACACTGCGTTTACTTCCAAAAATTTAATCTTGCAATGCTGTTTTTCCAGTCCAGATTGCATTATTTTGTTGGAGAATAGTACAGAACGGCAGGCAGGGATACTTACTCAGTGATATTGTAATTTTTGGGGGGGCTTTTTAAAGTCATAAAGACACAGTTGACGAGAACAACACATGTAATGAATGCAATGAACAAAGTAATTACTGAGTTAAGGAAATGAAGGGAAAGTTTGCTAATAAGGTCGATGTGCATTCATGTGAAAAACTAAAGCACATGTGATTTGGGCTCCTTGGTAGTGCATTCTTAAGGGAAGCATTTCTAAAATGTATGCATTCTCCTAACCTTTCAGCCATTTCTTGTTTCTACTGTGTAATCATGACTTGGTTCCAGTCAGCACCAGGGAAGTTCCCTAGGACCCCAACCCGGGGCAGCTGAGTTGGAAGCAATCTTCTCCTGGGCTTTTAACAGGGTTCTCTTTGCTCCCTGAGTCACAACATCCATGTCTAACCCAAATCCAGAACGCTTGAGGAGGAGAGTGCGCAAGACGATTGGAAGGAAATATGTCAGCCTCCTTAAGTCGCACTCAGAGTGGCCGGCTCACCACAGCACTCAGACCAGTACCAACCTTTCATCTGACTCGGGTCTTCTGCTCAAATGTGCAAACGCCTGAGAATGGGACGTGGGGCTCCTCCGCAGCCCACACGCCTTTTGAAGATCTAAACGATGCTTGCGCAACCCCTTATATAATACCCCAAGGCACCATTAAGGATCGTTAAGCGCTCTTTGCAGCGGAGAAGGGAACCAAGCTGCACAACAAACCCAAAGCCACACACAGTTTTCGCCTACAGTTACACTGCTGGAGAAAAGTTTGGGTCAGGGGATTGTGGCTTGTTTTGAAGAGGTGCCACCACGAGGCCAAGGATTCTGGTGCACTGGGCTGGCAGACCTTGCAGTTGCTTCTTTTGCACTCACTGTGTGGGGCACCACACTAGAGCAGAATGGCAGGTCCTCTGTTCTGCTGAAGGTTAAGTCTGTGTCAGCTAATCTGCGTTCCATCTCCCACTGAAGCTATCATGGGAAGCTGTTTCAATCTGCACCTGATTCCATTTTCTACCAGTCTTCTATCAGCCCTTCCCAAACTGGTGCTCCAGCATGGCTGTGCATGATGGGAACTGTAGTCCAAACATCTAGACAGCGCCAGGTTGGGAAAAGCTGATCTGAATAACGCATTCTACTTTTTCACAGTTAATTTTTTCCTTTTAAATATAATGTTTGGGCTATCGAATCATAATTCAAGTCAAGCTGCAGACTTTAGGGAAGTTTCTCCATAAACCTAGTCCACATAATTAGAATTACCATACCAAAGCTAGCTGCAGAACTCAAATTTTTTAAATAAATCAAACATATGAGTCTGGCCAAATGTTGCAAAATGTGAGAAAGTTAACCCCATCATCACTAACCCACCCAACATTGCAGAAAATTGACCTCTGATTCCCAAACAGAGTAATTAGTTAGAGCATAAAGAACAACTGCTTGATTTAATAACTTCCCTAGTTGCGGTAAACCTAGGAAATAGGTGCCAATGTGTGTATCTTATAAATACACATTTTTCATAAAAACAGTATAAGAAGTAGATTAAGGAACTAGAAGGATATGAATGTATCAAGATTTTGATGGCAAATCTTCTCAGTGGATGAAAAGGACTAAATAAAAACAAGGCTCTGGAAGCGGTAAATCGATAAATTCTTCTCCTGGAGGACAGCACCATAAATGTCTGCAAAAGAACATGTCAAAACTTTTAAAAATGTAACACATAAAATTGAACAGACATTAAGAAAATAAGAAATCTTGTGCATTTACTGCCCAGAGACATAGACCCAGTGCCTATGCACCCCTTCGAATACAGTCTTGGGGAAATACCAGCTCTGCCAGGACTGTGGATCGCAGCCCTCACCGAGGCTCTGAGCAGTCATAGCCAGATCTCCCGGAGAGAGAGGGGCATATCAGGCAGGGACTCTTGGGGTAACTCTGGCCCTATAGTTGATGTCCACGGTAGTCTGGGTGACAGGCAAACCAGAGCCTGGATCACCTGCGGGAATTTTTCATAGCAAAAAGCAATCCTTTTGGGGTTCCAGTTTGGATCAGGGCCGCAGCACGGAACACTCTCTCAAGTGTTACAGCTGCAGCGTGCTCCCCAGTGGCTGCACACCCCTGGATTTACTGGCTGCTGAAGGGCCGGTCCCAGGTAACCCAGCCACAAGTTCTCCTTCAGTTCATAGCTCCATTCCCTTCGATGAGACAAGGGAATGCTGCGCTCTTGGGGCTGCCACTGCCCAGGCTTTTGTGGTGGGAGTGAGAGGAGGCTGGAGCGAGCCTGTATGTTGCAGGAATCTTGCAGGAGGGCCAGCGATGAAGCCGTGTTGGCAGACTGCTGTTTCCCATTTTCAAAAGTGTTCGTGGCAGGGCTGCAGAAACAAGGGCAAATGCATGTCTGCGCCCACCAGGCCACCCTGTCTTCTGCACCAGCAAAGACCTTTTGCACAGTGAGCCCAGCCGCCAGTAAGGAAATACGTTACTTAAATGAAACAGTGGGAAGGGTAGCACACACTGGCAGGCCCCAGGAAAAGTGTCTGGAATGCACTGCTGCCCACAGGTACCGTGTTGCCCACCCCTGACTCAATGCATTCAGCCCTGTTCTGAAACACCTAGAACGAAGACATGGGTCTTTTTATCTGGACTGCCAACAGATGATACTGCAGCTCTTTAGTCTTACGCTCACCAGAACATTTTACCACAAAAAATAATCTGATAACGTATGTATGTCTCATAGTACAACCTTACAATCCCTGTAGTAGGGGTCAACATCCTCCAGGGGTTCACCAATGAGCCAGGGAGGTGGTTTGCCATAAATAAGAGGCAGCTTTTTAAAAGTTTTCAGGTCCAGCTGTGGTTGAATATTTTCTTCTTCATGCTGTTCGTTTTTGCCCTCCTCTAAGGCCTTGGCCTGCTTTGCTCTCTTGTCAGCAATTCTTTTTTCAATTTCATCCAGGCTTTCCGGTGTGAAACGGAGGAACTTATTAGCCATTGAAAAAGAAAAGTTCGGCATCTTTTTGCACTGCTACTGCAGATGGGAACAAACATTTGAGTTATAACAGAAATCGAGTTCATAGTAAAAGTCTCATAATCCAGATGACCTTGGAGACCATCTTAACACAATGGTAAAAGCAAATGCAGATGCAGATGACAGCTCTAATGACTTCTGCTGGAGGTATTAGAGCTGTGTGCATTATTTATTTAGGGTGCAGTCCTATGGGGAAGACTGCAAGCCCCCAAACTTACAGCATCCCATGCAGAACAGGCAGTTCACCTCCCCCACTCCACATTTTCCTTAGATACCTAGTGACAAGTGTTTCGGAGAACAAGGCTGGAGCAGCTTCAGGACAGCTTGTACCCTGGCTGCTCCTGTCTCTTGCCTTCCTCCTCAGGTGCGCCCTGAAAACCCTGCAAGGTAACTTTCCTGACCTTGGAGATCAGCTGCTGTGGGTTCTTTTCACACTGGCTGTTAGGAAGAGTCCCGATGCCCAGATCCAAGGTCAGAGTGCTGCCCGACTTCAGAGTTTGGAATCTAATTTATCCTATGAAACTCAAACAATGTCTTTTCAACAAAAAGATCTCAAACAGCTGTCATAGCAAATGCGGCCTCAGATAAGAACCAAAGAAATTGTAATTGGGATACTTCAGAAATAGGACTAGAAATGGTCGGCAAAACAGGTGTGTGAACTGCAAATGCTGCGATGCATTGTACAAAATATCACTCGTGGGTCGTTGCTGCTGTCCTTGAGAAATGCTTGCCAAGTTCCTAAGAACCCTGGAATCCCCCAGAATACTGTGAACAATAGAGCCTGAAAAAGCACTCTGTGGAGCACTACCACCACTGTTCAACGGTCAGATTCGATGTGGTGGCAGCTTTTGCCTCTCTCTTACAAAAGCAGAGTAAATCTGTGGCTGAGAAGGCCGAATCCTCCCCAGCCTGCCTTCCGAGCAGCTGAATACTCTAGGGCAGCCCAGTGCACTGCAGATGTCTTGGACTACAAGTCCCAGCTTCACCAGCCAGGGAGTTGTAGTCTAATGAACACCTGCAGGCAGCAGATTGGAGAAGGCTGCCATGGGTATTCTTTTCTTACATGGTCCAGATATCAAATGGAGAGTTCGACAGGGAGCTCTCTGCATGGAGTGGGAAAAGTTCATTTCCCTCAACTGCATGCCTCATATGATGTTAAAAGCAGTGATGCGGGGGCGGGGGGATTTAAACTCCCTTTAATAGGAGGGAATCCACTTGGACCACCCTCAGGCCTGGTCTAAATTCCCTGGACCAGCCTCAGGCCTGGTCTAAATTCTTCCCAGGCAGAAGTGATTAGAGGCTGAGAGGACTTCTTCAGTTGCATGGCCACTCCCTCCTCACCCACCATCATGCCCCTCTGTTCCTCTCCCACTTCCGTCAGGGTTTCAACTTCATCGATGAGCCACTATGAAAACCTTCATGTTTTCTGAGAGACCATGGATTGGGGGGTGGGGGGGGGCAAAAATGGAAAATAACATGTCCCAGGTGCACCTACATCCTTGGAGGTTTTTTTCTCATCAATCCACTGGCGCCAGGGAGGCATCCCCAGGACTACAGGGTTGCTTTCTGAGTGTGCTTTAAGGGTGATATCCAAACAAATCCCAAAGTGGATTTTGCAACTATTTTTATTAGACTATTTTAGATTAGAGCAATTTTCTACATCATTTAGGGTGCAGTCCTATGCTTGTTCAGACATTCCCACCTCTCCCATCTGGTTGGGGAATGCTGAGTTATAGGACATTTTCTCTCTAAACAGGCATACAACCCCACCCTAATTTTAGCATGCCTGCTGTGCAAAGAAATGTATCTGCTTCTTAAGGAACAGTCACCTGAAAAATAATTAGTAATTTTTACACTTACCAAATGATTAATTTGATTTTAGGTTCGACAACATTGTATCCGTTCCAGTTGCCAATTTAATTTGTTATGTTCCCTGACTATGTGCACAATCCAATCAGGATGCCTGTTATATGCAGAGCAGGAGAAACAGAGAAGCAATGGATGCTCCTGCCCCCTCTTGCTCTCCAAAGCAGCTGAGTTACCACTAGGGCAAGTTGCATCCTGGGGGTGCGCGTCTTCTCCTTTCCCACCCCCTAAAAAACTCACTAAATGCTTTCTCTGAGATCACTTTTGTGGGAACAATATGGAGGAAACATAATAAAGTTCCACAGGGGCCATGTTGGGAACCCCTTCACGGGCACCGCTGAAAGCGCTGCACTGGGAGCCCCTGGCCGGTTCTATTCATCAAGGAATCAAAAACCTCCGTGTAGCATTTACAGTAGACTGGAAAGGCTGCTCTGGATACAACTAGACCAGGAAGTTCACTTCTGCCAATCCAGTTACACCTGCATAAATTAGGATCCAGTCAAATGTATTTTGCTCCTGAAAGATCTCCTGCTGCATGCCGAGGACAACTTAGAAGCAAGGGGCATGCTTCATAGTAAATGCACACAGTGGAATACAACAGAAGAGCTCCACTGCAGTGTACCCTTAGAGAAGGCGCTGCTTCAGCCATAATAAATACTTGATTCTCAAAACATACAAGTCAGAGTAAAAATTAAGACTGAGACGTCTTATAGTTATCAAGATGACAGAGGTGCATCTGTGAGTCCATGACACAGAGAATTCAACTGTAATCCTGGAGCATACAATGGAACATAGAGGGTGATGCCAAACACTGTCAGTCTACCAGTTGAACAAATGCTCTTGGTGGAACCGCTTTCCCTCCCTGCCACTGCAGCAACCGTTGCTCCAAAATTTGCTCAGGAAGCTTGGGGAAGCCCATGGAGCAGACATGGGGTATGGGGAGAAAAGGAAGGGGACCTAAGGGGACCTAAACATTTTAAGTGTCTATTAAATATGTTGTTTTTTAGAACTCTAAATTCTAATACACAACCACCAAAACTAGATTGATCATCATCGGTATCTCACAATCTGTTTTCATCCTGACTGCAAGCTTGTGTAACGTTCCTGGAAGATATACAGGGCACTTCATACTGCATCTTAAGAATTCTACATCAACTATTGTACTTAAGAACATACTTCTTAAAGAGCCACCATCCCAAAAAAAATTTAAATTATTGCATACATTCTTATGAAACCTATTTTGACTTAGAAGCAGATGAATTCAAATATGAAGGCATTCCCCCCCCACCCCGCCAGTGTTTCACATATATTCCCCACACTTTGCAGCCACTTTTAACTTACATTTTTCTGGATAACAGCATCCAGGTTCACGTCCTCTTAGCAGAGTGTAGCAGACTTTCCCTAGCTAAATCTTTTCCAGATTAGTCAAGAGTTCACTTTGCATTACCAAATTCCTGTTATTCTTAAAACATGCTTTCTCCTCACTTGCTATCTCCGGCAGCGGAAAGTGCAACTTGTGTGGACGTGCTAGAATGGGGATGTGAAGAAGAAGAGAAGAAGGATTTGTCTTAGCTTGAGATAAATAAATGAGATCTCATGAGTTATACAGGAAACAAAATAATGTGAGGAAGTCAGTGGAGATTGTGATCATTCGACATTATTAGCTTTTAAATAGGGATGAGTTATTTCACCACTGCAGAAACACTGTGAAGCTAATTGCATAAAAAGGTTTTTCTCATCAGAATGAAGGAGAAAAGGCAATTAGACAACATTCGGTCTTACAGTCTCTTAAAAAATGTACTTAGGGAACCAAGGCTATTATGTATCATTCATTTTCAGTGCAATTCCAAGTACTCTGGTATTTACTGTGAATATGTTTCCTCCCTTTCCTGTGAATATGTTTCCTCCCTTTTAAACATCCTTTCAGTATATAGCCACACTATAGAAATGGAATGCTACAGAAAAGCTGTTGTAGAACCAGTCTTAAAAGTGTGGCCTTGATCCAATCCTATTTGCATGTGCAGTTCTGAAAGTGTGGTAGAGGAGACCCTGTAAGAACTTGTATGCTCCTTGGGTTGGACCTGGGTCTGCATTTGGTGGAGCATACTGGCTCCTGGCCATTACTTGCCATAGGCAGAGTAAATAAACTGCATAGGATTTTTAAAAAAGCCAGTTTGGTATAGTGGTTAGAGTGCTGATTTGGAATTCAGAAGATCTAGGTTCTGGGCCCCACTCAGCCCTGAAACTCGATGCATGACTGCTTAAGCCACCTCACGGGGTTTTGTTGTAGGGTAAATCAAAGATCATGTAAGCTGTCATGGGCCCCTTTTGGTTTACTCACCTGGTTGAATCAAGAACTCACCTTTAACTTCAGATTTCATGAAAAGTTTTTAGAATATTTGGCCACTTTGAAAAGAAAGAAGAGTAAAGGCACTTGAAGAAAATTTCTGATTTTTTAAAAGAGAATATAACATGCTTCCCCGTATTTACATATTGTATAACCAAAAAGGTACAATTCTTCCTAGACAGACTAGAGCAGCTTGTTGTAAGACATTTGAATCCAACTGCACAAGTCTCTCAGATATAGACCCCAGGCAAACAAAGAATACTGAAACGTTTGCAAGAAAGGAAAACTTCTAGATCAATTAGGCGCTAACCTAGAAGACAATTCACACTGTTTATACATTCTTTTCTTCTTTTTAGGGATTTTAATCTCCCAGCTTTCCAAACTTCCTCTCTTGATATCCATTTAACAGCACAGCAACTGATGAGGTTGGAATCCAAAACGTTTAGTGAAAAATTGTGTGACCACTCTGTTGTTAGGCTAGTGTTCTTATATGTTGTCTAAGTATATAACTGTTGTACACTCCCACACACTCCATGGAAAAAGTTTTACATATGTCTTCCTTGGGAAAATGACTACAGGGACAGTCAGGATGACCTCCTGCACTTAAAATGTAACACTACACCACCAAATATCAACATTTAATAGAAATACACTACCAAATACCATGCACAACAGAAATTAGGTGTTTATCTGTACCTGAAAAATGGACCTTCCTCTGTTTGGTACAGCACCTGAAGCTTGGATGAGAAAAAGGAAATAGTTCTGAATGTGAAAGTTTTCAAGCTTTTATTGTTGCCTATTACTGTTTGATCAAGCATAATTTTGTGTATTGATCTGACTTCATAACAGTAACAGTAGTTTACTGACTATCTATATTGAGCAGAAGCTTTAGGACCACGTCCCATGAAAGGAAGAGTTTGTGCATTATATTTTTAATCTGCCCAACAAAGGACAATCTCTGGGTGGATTGCAAAAAATGTATGTCTAAAATGTGTGCAGAAAAGAGCAGGTAGCCCCAACAGTTTTGCACCCATGAGCACATTTGTGAATTTTATTGCTGTAGGCACCATGACAAAATGCCTACCCAGCAGGCATCTCTCTCATACCTATGGATCTTAGGGTGTACATTATTCAGCAAAAACCTTGGTTTCATGTCCACTGATGCTATGGAACTTCATTAACAAGTGATTGTCTAATCTGGGCTAGTTGCTGGATCTGTGATACAGCTAATGCTTCTTTTTAACATGTGTTTTGGCAATGTCCAATAGTTGCACAGGTAAGTACACAGGTAAAGGATTGTGCTAGAACAGTCTTCAATATTCACTGATGTACATGCTATTCTAAATTATTTACCTGCTGCATGGAAATTAATACATGTGAAAGGAGAAATGGATTCTTTGCACCTCTTTGATAGCTAGACTAATATTACAAAACTGGAAGGAAAAACTCTCACCACGATAATGCAATGGCTTGAGTGCCTTATTGCGCTTTCCATATTTGAACAGATGGGATGGATACCACCTGCGGATGGGTGCAACTTTGGATACATTTTGTTGAAGCCTATAGATAATGGGACATGACTGGACTTAACGTCAAGGGGAAACCTTTACATTTACCTTTTTATAGATTATTGCTGGCAAGTTGTGTGCATTTCATACAAATATACAAATCTGTATATTAAAAATAAGTATTTTTTTTTTAAATAAAACTTCAGGACTCTGTGGGCATCATATTGAGGACCCCCTTCATGGGAGTCATTGGAGGAGCCCACAGGTGGCACTTTGGAAACCCATGAAAGAGAGGATATAAAAGTGTTACATTTTTCCTGCATTGCTCACAATTCTAAATGATAACGTATTTACTTCTTCTCTGTTTTAAGTTCCTGCTTCTTTCCATTGAAAGATAGGAGCTGCACCTATAAGTCTTTTAACTGCCTAACAGATTTTACAGAATAACAGGATATGAACAGCTTTTAAGGGAAGCACACATAAAAGCTATTGTTGCCCAAAGCACTTAAATGGCCAAAGAAGTAATGAATGAATGGGAAGCTTTGTGCATCATTTCTGGTTTCCTTTGTGCCCATTTGGAGCACAGTGATTTTTCAGAATATCACATCTTTGTAGCGCTGCAGAAATGCAAACATAGCTACCCCAGTCAACTAACAATGGGGTAGCATTACAACTGGCAAAATTTGGAATTAATTTGTCGCTATGTATTGGTCAAGCTGTCTCTGATGGCAACTCTATGAATGAAAGCACTCCAATATACCTTATCCATGACCCTGTTCAGCCCTTCCAAATTCAATGCTGTGGCTTCCATTATGGAGTCATCTCATCTCTAACTTTGTAATCCTTTTTTTGTCTTCTCCAGTGCATCTTGCCTTCTCATGATGACCCCAAAGTAGGAGAACCTCAGTTTCATCATTTCGCCTGCTTGATATGATCCCTGCTCTTCTCTGTTCATTTTATAGTAAACCGCCCAGAGAGCCCACAGGCTATAAGGTGTAATCATAAATAAAATAAATAAATAATCAAGGATCCACTTGTCTTTCTGCCAGTCGAAGGTATTTGCAAAGATCTCCAGCACCAGGTTCTGAATATGCCCATTTCTCCTATCATCTTTCTTCACTGTACAGCTTTCACACCCCTTCATAGTAATTAGAAATACAATAGTGTAGCTGATCTTGGCCTTTGACTCCAAGGAAACAGCCTTTTTAACTTGATGACTTTTTAGAGTTCCTTCATTGCTGCACTTCCAAGTCTCAGTGTTCTTCTAATTTCTTGGCTACAGTGTCTATTTGAATTGATGCTTGAGCAAAGTTATGCAAAATCGTTTGCAATTTCAATTTCTTCATTGTTAAAAGCAAAGAGCTGTAAATCATCTAGAATCATCAGCATATTTAATTATTGTTGTGTCTTTTTTCAATTTTTACTCCTTCCTCTGATTCTAATCCAGCTTTACTTATATTTTTCCATACAGACTTGACAGAAAGGGAGATGAAATGCACCATTATCTGACATCTTGTCTATGGGAAACCATGATGTTTTCCTATATTTTGTCCTAATGGTAGTTTATTGTGCACCATACAGATTACACATTGGGACAGTCAAGTACTATGGCACCACCATTTCTTTCAGGATGACTCATAGCTGATCCACATAACCAAAGGCTTTGTTGTAGTCCATAAAGCAGAGTGATCTTTTTCTTAAATTCCTAATGCAAATCTGTTATGTGCTCCTTCATTCATAGGGTTACTGTAAGTCAGAAATGACAGCACAGAACCATCCCTTCTTTTGGACTTTTTTTGCTTGTAAACTGCCTGGAGCACATCTGCCATTTGGACACAGGGGCAGTTTAATAAAGAAAACCATGTTCGTGAAGAAACTTTACAAGTGAGGTTAACTGAAGCCTGGCAGTGCATTCAGGCAGGGCATCGGAAAGGCTGGGAAATGACTAAGGTGGGATGTTCTGACTGAGGTCTCACACCGGCTGAAAAATGAACAACTTCAAAGAGGCTGCTTCAACCTTCCCTGCTACAACAAACGAGAAACTGGTACTTGTCTTTTGTTTTCCTCTTCCTTCCCAATCCAATTTCCTTTTGTGCTGTGCCTGTCAGTTCTAAGCCTGAGAGCAAAGACTGCCTCTTAATTTAGTCTTTATAAGCAGGTATTAGAGCCTTTTTTTTTTTTTTTTGGTTGAAGAGAGGTAAAATTGCTGCCAAAAAATAAGCATATTATCGACAGCGACAGCTGCCAATTCTGCCGCTTGACCTCCCTCTACTTTATCTCAGAAAACTTCGCCCCGCTCACTCTCAACTCTCGCGAGCAAAATGAAAATCTCGCCTCACCACCGCCCGCGCTCTCCTGGGAGCCTCGCCTGATCATAGCCGTTCCCATAGCAACCGAGCAAGCCCCGCCCCTCGCTCTTAACGTGCAGTCTTCTCGCCCCTACAGTTGGGGTGCGCGCGCGGCGGTATCAACAGCCCCGGCCTGAGGCGGGACTTCCGGGCCGGTTTCGGGCTCCCTCTCGGACATGACGACAGAGTGTCAACATGCAAGATGGCGGCTCATCACCGACAGAACACGGCGGGGCGGCGGAAAGTGCAGGTGAATGGCGCGAGAGCGGGGGAGCCGTTCGCCGGGGAAGGCCGAGCCGGGGAAGGCCGAGCCGGAGGGCGTGGGACGTCGCGGCCTGGCGGTGTGAGGGGGCGGAGGCGAGAGGGAGAGGCGGTTATGGGGCGTTGTGAGGAAGGAGGCGGGTTGGCGGGAAGAGCAGGGGGCAAAGGGCGGGGTGGGCTCGGCTCGGAGGGAAATTTCTACCCGGCGCTTTCAGCCTTTCTCCTCCCGCTTCCCCGGGAAAGCCCTTCGTGACTCATCCGCCTCTGGCCCTTTTAAAACGGGAGGAGGGGGAAATGTCGGCGGCTTCTTCAGGGAAAATCTTGGCTCGGTATTTATGACCATGGTTGTGTTTGAGCGACGAGTCGGATGGAGCGATTTGGGCGCCGCCTTCTGCCGCTTCAGGTGCTGGCTGAGGAGGGGCTTTTGTGTTTCTAGCTATGATTCCTCCAGCCTTCACGTCTGCAAACCAGCCACAGCCACCTCCCCGGCATCCTCCTACAGTATCATATCACAGAAAAATAGCTTAACATGAAGTGCGTGAGAGCCAAAGGTGGTACAGTGATTAGAGTGCTGGGAAGGGCAGATTCAATTCCTCACCCGTCCATGAAGCCCAGTGGCTGATCTTGGGATGCTTCTTGTCACCTGCCCAACCTACCTCGTGGGATTGTTGTGCAAAGAGAAACAGAATGCTGCTTCCAACAGCTTGGAAGAAAGGTGTAATTACATGTAAGAAAGGAAATAAAATAAATACCGCATTAAAGAAGTATTGTATTTTAGATTTTAAAAAATGAAAACCTGTAACCTTTCTCACCTCATTCTGGTGTTGTGTTTGAATTCCTTTTATACTCTGCTTTACACCTAGGATTGGTTCCCAAAAGTGGCTTACAGTTAGAATTCACATAGAGAAATAGTGTGATTTATAACCATGGTGTAGTTGTGGCAATCTGTTTTGATCCCTGGCCATTGGTGATATAGTCTGCATTTTCCTTTCAGAAAGGAAGATGCCATTGCACAGTAGGCTGGATTGATTGCTTGTTTCCTCCACTTGTTATGTGAAGGTGCTTTGCCTGTTGAGAATTTTGCAAGTTCCCCAGTGACAGGCCAGGGAACCTTGTAGGTGAAGAATGAAAGATGTGCTTACACTTACATGTGCTGGAAAGCTTCCTCCTGCTTTTACCTCTCGGTTGCATTTCTGTTTTTCCCAGTAAACTTGGTCATGTTTGTGACCAAATGACCGGATCTAAAGCATTTGCTACAGTCTTATTTATTTCATTTAAAGCATTTCTATACTCTTTTATTAGCTAATGCTTTCAGAATGGTTTACAAAATGTAATTAAAATATACTAAATGTAACATTTAAAACAGACTCGCCTGCCATAAGATATCTCTATAGAATAAAATTTGTGAGACATATATAGCAACAATAACCAAGCAATTACAGTAACACTACAAAATAATTACAATACATAACAACAGCTATTCCACATGTACTGAACAATTTAAAAGCCAATATAAAACCAGATAATCAACAATTAAAATTGCAGGGAAATAAAGGATTTAACTTGGCACTGGAATATTGGCATCAGACATATTTCCCTGGAGAGCTGATTTCACAGGCAGGGTGCCACAGCCAAGAAGGCCCTTCCCCTCCTTTCCATCCAAGCAACCCAAACCTGAGTACATGAACATTCTCCTCCCCATTTTATCCTCACAACAATCCAGTGAGGTAGGACTTCGATTAGCCCAAAGTCATTTGGTGAGTTTCATGGCCAAGTGGAACTCCTTGGCCCCACTCTGTCATTCTAACCACTATACTGTGACTCTCATATTTCTGTAGTCCATGACAGTTGTACTTTAAAGATTACAAATTAATTATGGCACAACAGATTGCATCAGACTAATTTCCAACCCTGCATGAAAGGCATTGCTGATTCAGAAGGCCTGTAACTCAAAATGTCGATTTTTCTGGCTAAGATATGTTGAAAATCCTATTTGCTTTAAAATGTAATAGTTTTCTGATGTACAGGTAAGGATAAAGAAGGGGAATCAGATGGCTTAGTAAGGAATTCTCTGTTCCCACGATCCTCAAACATTTATCTTGTGAAGCAATCCCATTGGCTCCAGATTAAGCAGAAGACTAGGGAAGGACAGTGCTTAACCACTAGCTCACTCCAGATTACATATCGTACAGTTGCTTTTTCTGCCTGTGAGGTTTAAGACTTTCATCCTGTTCTCTGCTGTTACGGCTTGATTTGTTTCATATGCCAAAATGAGAAGAAAAATGTCTTTAAAGTGACATATAAATGGAATAAATTTTAGTAAGCTGGACCTCTTGCAGCTGCTTAATAAGAAAGCTGGGGTGGCACAGTCATTGAAGAACGTGAAATATGCAATTTTGCTACAAGATGTACTTGAGCTACATAAACTGCCTAGCTTTCTAAGGTTTAGAGGAGGTAGAAGAGGTGAGATCATATAGGTTACCATTCTTTATTACAGCGACTAAAAATGCATGCCCAAATCTGCTGTTAATATACAACATTTGAGGCAGGAGTCTTTTGTTTAGCTCCCACATGATCCCTTTAATTTTTAAAATTAGGTGATAATGCTGAAAGAAATTGAAGCAAAACAGGGACACCAAGATACAAGAAGGTGTTGGCATGTTTTTGGTAAATTTTTAGCTTTGCAGAAGTGGAACATGCTTTTAAAAAATTATAGTAATGAGGAGTGAATAGAAGTGACAGTTGCATTGAGAAAACTGGTGAAGGGGTTTAACTGGCATGTCAGGGATGGGCAAAGGTAAATGAGAACACTTCTAGTCTGAGGTGAGAAAACACTGCAAAGACAAAAAAAAAAAAAAAGGGAGTGGAAAATTAATGTTTTTGACATCTTTTAGACTGGGATGCTGTAATGCGCTGTGTTTGGAACTGCTCTTGAAATGTTTCCTGAAACTTCAGTTAGTTTGAAATGCATCTACCAGACTATTGTCCAGATTGGATAGAGCATATTATTCCAATTTTGCTGTCTTGTTGGAACATGCAAAACCCTCTGCAGGGAAGCTGCTGAGGCTATGTGAATCCGCTGCTCCACTGAAACCTGCCCTTTTTTGCAGGTGCTTAGTTGTTTTCTGCTGATACTGTTACTACCTGCTGGTTGCTTTCATATTTTGTGTAACTATATCATAATTTCTAGCTTTTATTATATTGTTAGCTCCACTTTGAATCCTGGTGGAAAGATGGGAAAGGGCTGCCCTTCAGGTTGTGGAGGACTCCCAGCAGCTTCTCAGATCTTTTAAACTTTAGTGAATGGAAGCAGCAACTGTAGCTTCTCCAAAGTCCAATGCAAATGAAAGCTGTCTGTCTTCTAAGACCTGTGCATTTTTGATAGGGCTCAAGAGAATAAGTTCTTTTCCTACATGCCCAGAATTTTGGAGAAGAACAGAAGCTACCAGATTTTCTCCTCCTGTTTCCTCCCTCCTCTAAGATTGTGTATATGAATGAAGACACATGAGCTAATATGCCCAGGGGGTGTTCACACAACAGAAGGTTTGAAAAATATAAAAAATTGAAGAAGAGATCTGAGGTGAGGGCTGGGACTCTGATTTAGAGTGCTTTTCCTCTACCCTCACACCAGGTGCCTTTCTCTTGGAGCTGGTGTTGTGGGGGATGGCAGCCAGGGAAAGAGTAAAGCTCTTCCAGGTTATGAGAAATCTCACTGGTGCTTCAGCCCCTCCTCATCATGAGCAGAGGCAACATTTTGTGATAGTCTTAGGGTTTTAGAGGGCCTCTGAATTCCTTCTTTCCGTGGGATGCCCATCATCCTGAGGGTGTCAAGCAACCACATTGAATGGCATCCCAGTATTAGGTAAAGAGCACTAAATTACGTATTTTATAATTTACTGCTTTCCCACAAAGTTCAGTTTTTTCCATAGTATCAACATTTCTGGAAATCTTACATCTCTATTGCTGACCAAAGCTAGCTTTTAAAAATGCATTTAAAACTTTCTACTCATAATCCTTAAATGAGCAGGTGCTTACTTGAAGTCTTTACCCAATAGTTATAAAATTTCACATTTCTTATGCTTATTCTCATTAGCAGGCAATTTGTTGCAATTCTCAATAGAGGCTTCAATAAATGGGGCTAATAGCCTATTTTTATATTATGCAACACACTTTTGTAGTGGTAATTGTGTCGGTAAAACTTAAAAGCCAGATCCATCAGCACATCTCTGATAGATTTAGCTGGTAAATTCTGTGAAACGGCAAGATTTAGATCATTTTTAAAGTTCCTTCTGTCATATAAGCCAGGGCGGCTTATTTTATATTGGATTTTTTGGATTTTTAATGTTTATATTTATTGTAATTTATATTATAATGACTTTTATTTATTGTTGTAAGCCACCCCGAGGCTTTGGCGAATGGGGCGGCATAAAAATGTTTAAATAAATAAATAAATTGTAATGGACATAGAATGCTTACTCTTGGCAGGGAGGGCAGGAACAGAAACACGAGAGAGGGAGTACGAACTGGCAGCATGTATAATTTGGCACCTTTCTCCCCAGAGTATATAGATCAGAGAGGAACATCTCTTTGAAAGTTGTGTGATTTCTACCACTCTTGAAAAAAGTTTATGAAGTGGTGTCCAAAACGCCATGGGACTTCTTGTTCATTGCTTGGAGACATCCCTGTAGAGACATCCATGCCTTATGTTGTCTCCCATAGAAGGAAGCCTCTGCCCCCAGTTCTATGCAGAAAAGCCTTTGGGGTCCAGACTCCACAACCTTGGCTGTATTGCATGTGATGGTCATAGTATTCAGCATGAGAGAGCTATTGATGCAGCTGCTGTCATGTAATTCTTGGTCTGTTATTTTTCATCCTTAGTTTGGCTCTGAATTCTCAAGGCTTTGTTGTACTTGTGAGTGGCAAAGAGCTCTTTATATTTTTTGCCTTCTCTTTGTGACTTTCTAGTGTCAGTGGCTCTCAGTACAGATGGTATGGTTGGACTAGAATTAACACAATTTTGCTGTACTTAATTAAGTACTGATAGTTCACCGTCTTTTCAGTTAGTAGGATGTAGCAAATTCACCTCAATGAAATGAACTAGCACAATTGGTTGTTACAGGAAAAACTGCTGAGTGTTTTCTTTAGTGATGAAATGAACATGGCCATGCTTCAGTTAATCAAAAACTTTGCACCCACCTCTCTACAACATGCCTGGATGGTTTCTTGAAGTGAATAAAATTTTTAGGAAAATGTTCACTTATCAGTCCATGGGGGGAAAACAGGAGATGTTTATGAGATCATACCTCTTGATCATATGTGCTATATGGAGTAAAGTTGCCACATCAATGAAACATTAGCTTTTGTAGTGTGCAGCTACATGTGCAGGGCAGAACAATAAGCCACAGTGGCTTATTCCTTTCCCAATCATGCAAACCCAGCAGAGGAGAAAGAAGACTGGAGCTTCTGCATTGATAGTAGGATGGAAATGGACAGATTTGGAGGGTACAGGCCAGAGAACCGAGAGAACTTAGGGCTACTGATCTAGAATCTCTTTCATGTCTGAGAAATGCTGCTAACTGTGATTTCAGCTTTTGCTACAACACAGCCGACAATCCTGAGGGGCAACAGCAACAAAATACAAGTGGATAGTTGTAGTGAATCTGAATTTCACACACTTTCAACATAACCAGCTGCCTGTTCGGCTGCCAACTTCTAGTGTGTGTTCTACGTAGCAATATTACTGCAGAGAACAACTATAGTATGCAACTTTTGTCCTAGACCAGCCCAGCATCCATACACAGCATCCTTCAGATCTGGTAATAGCCAACAGCAATATTGGACTTGGGTCCCCTTTTACACCCCCCCCTCCCCCCGTGGCTAGAGCTTTAAATAAGCAGCAGATGCTGCCATTTCAGTTTTACCCAGTGATTTCAACATGGTATTGTTCCATTACCTTGTGGTAAATTTAAATTCACCCATATATATTCAGAATGGTTTTCCTGTCTGTTGCTGTCACTGCTGGAGTCTATCAAAGTAAGAAGAGTCTGGGTCCCAAGAGAGAGCCTGTTGCAGAAGCTCTCTCTCAAACCTGGAGCCAGCCCTCATCCAATAAAATATATAATGAGCAAATGTCCTAATTACTGGCTTCTGGGTAGCATCAGGAGTTCCATTTGGTGAAGTGAGTGGATCTGAGAGCTTTCTGTTGGAACCCAGACCCCTCTTACTCTGGCTTTTAAAATAACCCCTTAAGAGAATGAATCTGAAAGCATACTTGTCTGTGTGCTCTTATGCCAGAATAAACATGTTTGCTTCATTTTTGTAATGTTTGTATGGTCAGTATAAACTCAGTGAAACAAATTAAAGTGAGGAAGAATTGGGTAACCCATTTATGTATGGTATAAAACCAAAAAAACTGGGAAAAAGTCCTTACGTTAACCATGTCTTACTGACTTGGGAGAAAGGTTTTACTCTTTTTAAAAATACAGTTACTCTGTTTTTATAAGATGCTCAGGATATTGAGGCATTAGTGAAGTTTTTAAAAAGTAATGGAAATATTTGAGGGAATGGCTAGTGTGAAATACTTTTATGTATGTCCATTTAATGCTTTAATTGGATTTCATTCAACTCCTGTTAGGTCTCCTATGTAATTAGAGATGAGGTGGAGAAGTACAATCGGAATGGGGTAAATGCACTGCAGCTGGACCCAGCGTTAAACAGACTTTTTACAGCAGGGCGAGACTCCATCATCCGGATATGGAGTGTCAATCAGCACAAGGTAAGCCAGGAAGTTGCACTAGCCCATGAAGATTCATTTAACTCATTAAAGATTGTTCTTTGCATTGTCTTTAGCTTTGTTTCTTCTTGGGTTTTACATTGCATACTCTTGAAATTAAAGTAAACTTTTTAAAATAGGGTTGGATTCAGACTCTAATTGCCATGCTTTACTGCCATTGGTCCTGGCAAATAGATGGGGAAGAAATGGAGGTAGTGACAGATTTCATTTTCCTGGACTCCAAGATCACCGTAGATGGGGACTGCAGCCAAGAAATTAAAAGATGCTTGCTCCTTGGGAGGAAAGCTATGGCAAATCTAGACAGCATACTAAAAAGCAGAGACATCACCCTGCCAACAAAAGTGCATATAGTCAAGGCTATGGCTTTCCCAGTTGCAACGTATGGCTGTGAAAGCTGGACCATAAGGAAGGCTGAGCGCTGAAGGATTGAGGCCTTTGAATTGTGCTGCTGGAGGAGACTCCTGCGAGTCCCTTGGACCACGAGGTGATCAAACCAGTCAGTCCTAAAGGAGATCAACCCTGACCGCTCTTTAGAAGGCCAGATCCTGAAGATGAAACTCAAATACTTTGGCCACCTAATGAGAAGGAAGGTCTCCCTGGAGAAGAGCCTAATGCTGGGAACAATAGATGGCAGAAGAAGACGGGGACGGCAGAGGATGAGGTGGCTAGATGGTCAGACACGACTTCGCGACTAACAACTACAACTGCCATTGGAAGTTGTGGGTTTTGTATTTGTCATGACAAATTTGATCCATTAATTTCATTCTGGCTAAGCATGACTAACCTAGAAAATTGGCCTCGCTTGATATGAAACTAAGTTTTACTGCTTGTTATATTTATATACCCATTTTCAAGGCTAGGAACTAAAATCTTCAAAAATATTGTGGATTCATGGGCCAGGTGTGCACATCATGAGAAGCCATGGTGATTTCTTACCCAAGTTGTTCTGTTGCATCGTCTGGATTGAATTGTAGCATTTCTACATGGTACCTGTAGTTTCCTCGATGCGATGGAGAGAATAATTGATTTGCTCTATAGTTTCCATACCTCACTGCAGTTTCTTTGGTTACCCTGCCCCAGGATCTCCATTTTACCATTGTTGGTATGGAAATGCCATTGAGTCTTGTGGAAAGAATAGCTGCAGAAGTGGCCACTCAGCATACATTCTGTGTTATTCTCAGCTTCCTAACAACACCTGTCACTACCTGCTTTATTCCTGTTGACTGAGCAGTGTGTCTGTCTCCCTGTTTACTTTGACAGACAGTAAAGCAAGTGTGTAAGTGCTTGGAGAAAGAAGGGGGGATTGTACCAAAACTGTTTAGTGTGATTTAATAAAAATTATCCTGGCAGCTGGGGAGGCTAGGAAGCATTGCAGAGATGCAGGTATGCTTGAGAGGGAGAATCCACCTCAAAACCTCAACAGCCCAGTTAGGATGAGGCTGCTGAGATCCATAAGGAGCAATAGAGTAAGGAAGGAGATTTGCTTATGGGGGTTGCTGGGATGCATAACAAAAGCAGGAGGACAGAGAAGGGAACATGGAAACTGTGACAATCACATGGTTCCCCAGGCAAGTTTGAAAAAATCCACACAAACCAGGATTGATTGCTGTGACATGTGAACCCAACCATGGCGATATTTAAAACAATCTTTTCTGGTGCTGGCCAGTTGGTTAGTTAGTCTAGGTCCTTTTGCCCAAAGAGGGAATGGGATGAGCTGCAAATAGATTCAGTAGGTGATTGATAGTAAAGGTGCCAACTCCCAGAAATAACCCTTCAGATCTGCAGAGTGTTATGAATCCTGATGATTCATAAATAGCTTTTTAAAAATACTTAAAGTAGTGAAGCAGGACTAGATCTTGAACTTGGTGAGCAAGGTTCGGTTGACGGTTTAAAGACATGTTCTGAAAGATGTGTGAAGTTTTCTTAGCTCACAAATATTCTTTTGATTCCAGCAAGACCCTTACATAGCATCTATGGAGCATCATACAGACTGGGTGAATGACATTGTACTCTGCTGCAATGGCAAAACGTGTAAGTAGCATTTTAACAGTATATGAGATGCTTACCACATGCCAGTATAACCAAATGTCAAGTATTTACATAATACTTGCCCACTATCACAGAACCATTCACATGCAGTCTCACAGTAATCCTTCCAACAGGTAAAGCAGATTAGCAGTATTTCCTGGAAGATTAATAGACCACTACTTCACAAAAATATTAAAAGACATTTGCAGATGACATTAAAATACAGTTAAATAAAATGTCTAAGATAAAACCATTATAAAACAATGAAATCTCCTAGCAATATCAGAAAAAATGTAGTTATCAAATTAACATTAATTGGCAGTTGAAATTAAGAGTGCGTAACACAATAAACGGTTTACCTGCATTAGTGACTAGGAAGAGAAAGACTGTTGTATCCCTCCAGAAGAAAAGTTTTGTAGCTATGATCTTACTAGCCCTTGTGTATTCATGGGTGTGGCCTAGAATATAAAGATTCAGTATAAATTATTTGCAAGAAAATAAACACATTTTTTTAAGAATAAACAGACTTGGCTTGTTACTTGCCACAAAGTCATAACTTGTTACTTTTTCCTTGTAGTGATATCTGCTTCATCTGATACTACTGTTAAAGTATGGAATGCCCATAAGGGATTCTGCATGTCAACACTAAGAACCCATAAGGTAACAGGAAGTGAAAATGCTGTGGCAAAAAGTAATGACTGCAGTTGTTACATCTGTAATGCCTGTTGACTAGGTTTGCATGACACAACAAGCCATCATGTGTTGTGTGAACTGCAGGGACTGTGCCATTTATCCCAAAATGCAGCATTCCAAGGTGGATATTTTGAACTCTGAATGTTAATTGGAAGAAGAGGTGAGGTCAGAATGCTTAGCCAGAACACCAGGGTTAACAAGCTTCAAGAAAAGCCAGGTGGCTAGTGTGAACAAGACCACCTTTGGTTCAGGAGTTGATACTGGAACAGAGAGAATCAGCTCATGGGGATTGTAACTTTATCAGCTCAGTGGTCTGACTTAAACTCAGATGAGCAGACCAATTAAGTAACATCCTGTGGTCCCACAGTCTGGCCCATTAGCAGTACAAACCTCTCTGAGGGTGGAGCCATCTTTTGTGGAGAAGGGAAGAGGAGGGAGATCAGTTTGGAATTAACTTTTGGTATAGGCAAAAACTAACTCCACTGTTAGAGGGCCTTTCTTGACAGATGCAGCTTGCTAATGAGCTTTATGTTACTCTTTGGATCACAAAGCCAGTCCGGGCTGGCCAGGCTTAGCATAATAAAGATTGTAGTGAGACGCCTCTCCTTATGGAAGAAACATATTGGCACACAACATGAGCCCAGACTGATTCCTGCAGGGAGGCTTGTTTGAGGGCAACAAGCCTCCCTGCCAGTCCGTAGGTTGTTGTAGAAGTGGCTGTACACTCAGTCCATTCTCAGGTCATTTGAACCTGGTCATCCAATTTCATTGTACATACTGGGAATTAGCTAGCAGCTCGCCTGGGCAAAAGCTGCTGGCCTCAGGTCCTACCAGTGCCAGCCACCTGCCAAGAGCCCAAGTGGCACTCTGGGGTGACTGGCACTGGCTGGCTGTTTCTCTAGCATAATTTTTTCCTTTTACCCTTTTTTTCAGAGATTGTGAAAGATGGCAAGGTGCCTAAGTGGCAGCTTGGGAAAGCTGTGAGTGGCCTGCAGATTCTTTAAATGCTTGCACCAAAACTGTGTACAAATAAGATCATTATTGTTTTTAGCCACATGTGTTCAATTGTCAAGGTTCACAGTTGTGTGAGTGTGGGAATTGGAAGCCTCAGCCAGGGCAACATCCTGGGGTATACCTGCTTCAGCTGTTACCAACCCAGGACATTGCCCCAAAAAGGCTCCAAATTCTTCCTTTTCCCCAACAGCTGTCAAAAGGTTAGCAGTCAAGGGAAGCAAACGTGCAAGCGATCTTTGGTTGCAAAAACAGTTTGGTGGATTAACCCCTCCTTTGTGGCAAGAACCTCCAAATTATTTATTCATTTATTTATTTTGCTCTGACAGTTCTCACAGTGCAACACATTTTGCACTTTTTTCCCCTGAGACTGGATGTTTCAGAAAGTACAAAAGTGTATCCTTCCTGCTTTTCACTGGGAAGAATTTTGCTGCCTTGCAAACATCCAAAATTGCACATGTGCAGCTTAATTTTTAAAAGTGACCCTACTTGCACACTTTTTGTATGGAAATTTTAAAAAATCTGAGAGCCTCTCCATGTTAGCACTTGTGCACTTGAATAGAGTGATCAGTCGCTGCTAAAACAGATCGCGACAACTGCACTTGAAGCTGGCTTTTGCAATCTGTGTTAAAAGAAAAAAAAAACTCTGGGGGAAAGTATAGTGCAAGAAAGTCACAGTGAGCTGAAAATGGCTTGGAATTGCAGTAGAGTGTGAGAAGACATGCTGGTCCTGTCACATGGCCTCCTGGGATACCTGTGGGATGACCAAGGTTGAGGAAAGAGGCCAAGAACCTACAGTGAGACCAACTGGCTTATTTCCAGGGTGGCTTGGAATGACATGTGAATGCTCGCAACATCTTAAAAACTGTGCCTTGTGCTGTTTCCAGTTTGTCACATTTGTTCTACATATTTTAGGATTATGTGAAAGCTCTGGCATATGCAAAAGATAAAGAGTTGGTAGCGTCTGCTGGGCTAGACAGACAGATATTCCTCTGGGATGTAAATACGCTAACAGCACTGACTGCCTCAAATAACACGGTCACAAGTAAGTATCTAGGAGAAGAATGGCATGGACTGATCTGCAGAATGAACTTAGTGTGATATGGACAAGGTTGTCTGTAACCACACATCAGTTTTTTATCCGTACCAGCTGCACAGTGTACTGGAATTTGGAGAGATAATGTAGTAAGTAGAGAAGGGCCACACAACTGCTGGGCTGTGTGTGGCCCTTGGTGACTCACAGCACAGCCCCGTGTGGATCCCACCACCCTGCAAGTAGGTCATCTCTGCCTGCTGATCGGAGATACCTATGCCAGGGAAGCTCTATTGCAAACTCCCGGTAAGGCAACCCTGTAACTCCCGCATCGTTGCTGCAAGATTGCTGGGATAGTGGAGGTCACTTATGTACGTGTATAGCTCTTGCCCTGTACACACTCAATATGGCCTTTCCCCTGCATTAGAGCAATAATCTCTTGCTAAATATATTCTAATTGTTCATAGGTCTTTGGAAATGACTTTAAGAAGCTCTTAATAGAAGTGATACAACCATTTAAAATGATAACTAATTGACATAAAAAGAGATGTAGTAATTTGCAGAAATTCATATTGTTAAGATGGGGCAGAGTAGAGCCTCTGTTTCTGGCACCTGAACAGAAGCTAGGTGCAATGTTTCATTTTCTCCATGGGGCTTTTCTTGCGTGGGTGCCAGGCCAACCTGTGTGTGTGTGTGGCATGGGTGGAGAAGTGAGTTGCTGCAGCCGAAACAACGTCAGTTGCAGTGCTTCAGCCTGTTGTGTTGACCAGCAGCCATTTTTTCATATGAGAATTAAAAGGAAAGAAATTGGTACTATTGGACTTAAATCAAAAAAGTGTTCTTTGAAGAAGAGAAAACCTAAAAACTGCAGAGCTACCATGTGGTTCTTCAAGTGTGTTAACCTGGCCTATCAGAAGGAATGGCACCTATATTTACGGGGCAGCATATACAGGACTTGTGCAGAGGTGATAGAAATAAACTGCAGAGCATATTACACTAGTGGGTTTTTTCAAATTATAGCAAATAAAGAATCCATCAATCAGTATACAGTTTCCCTATTGCTGACTCTCCAGGCCATGAAAGTCTCATCTGTCAGCCATAGTGAAACTATTTATTTAAATTTCTTTCCCACACATTAGGCAAGATGACTCTTTAGGCAGGTTACAACAAAATACATAATAATAACAGCATGCACAATAAAAAGAATAATGTTAAATAACATATACTATAACAGTAAAATAACAAAAACACAGAAAAATCCCACAATGAAACTGCACAATCACATCAATTCATTTAAACCAACGGCAAAGACACAGCATCAAAATGCTATAAATACCATAAAATCTCTTACTTTAACAATTAAGGTAAATCTTAGAGGGGTGAAATCTTGACTGTTGCTGTAGGTTACTTGATTGTCATGAATTACATACCTCAAGTTCTTGTTCTCCCAGGGTGAATTGAATGACTTTATTCAAGCAATATTTTGTTTTGCTTTTAATAGCTTCTTCCCTTAGTGGGAACAAAGACTCTATCTACAGTCTTGCTATGAATCAGATGGGAACAGTCATTGTATCTGGGTCCACTGAAAAGGTAAACCAGTTACAATACAGTTTTTGTCCTGCTATATATGTCTTTATCTACTTTTTGTCTTGCCAGCCAGAGAAGTACTCCATTATTACGTATGTGGAGGGGATTGGATTGCAATTACGGAGCATACAAAGATGTACACAAAGCCTTTTATTTAGGTTCATGACAACATTTCTTCAGGAGGAATCAAAATCGCTGTTTTAAAAAAGAAGGCAGATTATCATTGGAATTTTTTTTTTTGTTCCATTTGGATAAATAGTGGCCAGGGTCATTTTAAGAGTCCTAGATAGAATTATTAGTAATCTTGGAAAGGGATGCAAGAGGAATCTATGTGGGGGTGAGAATCTATTCGATTCCCTGGACTTGGCTCCCCTGACTCCAGTCCAGGGCAAAAGAAGGCACGGGGAATGGCACCTGTGCTGCCCCTAGCAGTGCCCTTCTCCTGTGTGCAGCGCTGTCACTGCCAGCTGCACTGGGTGGGGAAGAAGGTTGGTCAGCAGGAATGGTGCCTGGCATGACCACTACCAACATCTTGCCCATGCACCTGACAGGGAAGGTTGCTGGTTGTGCAGTGGGGGCCTACAAGCATTCTCACGCTGCTTCTTGACTCAGCTCGTTTTGCAGGTCTGGGGTGAGCATGAGAAGAAATCTGCAGCTGCTAGAGGGATAGATTCTGAAAAGATTCATCCCGCCTGTAGTCTGTAGAGGTCTTTAAAGTATGTAATTTCTTCAGGGAAGAGAAGGAAGTTTTAGGTTAGCTAACTATTATTTTGGAAGTGAATTTGATTTCAAGGAAATTTCTTTTCTTCGTTTAAGGTTTTAAGGGTTTGGGACCCAAGATCTTGTGCAAAGCTTATGAAACTGAAGGGGCACACAGACAACGTAAAAGCTTTGCTGTTGAACAGAGATGGCACACAGGTATGCATTTGATATGCTTCCATGAAGTGTCCTAGTTATACAAGTGTTCTTTATTATGCAGGATTATTTCTTCCCCACTCTTAATCCACAACACAGGATTTGGTTTCCAATTTTAAAAATATGTTTAAATAAAGCACATACCCTCGATCTTGACTTTTAAAGATCCCACTTCGTACTCATCAACAGTTAACTGCTTTACTTTGTATAGAGCCAATAAGCAAACTCTTTAAACTCATGGCTTAAATGAATTGTAGGATATGGATAAGAACTTTCTATCTGAATTACATAACAAAATTGATAAGCTTAAAACAGCTTGCACAGCCTATTTGGAAAACAGATAGAATGGTTTAAGAGACTATTCGTGGGAAAATTGAAGTTGCGCAGTGGCTTTAGAGAGCTAAAGATGATTCTACAATGGCTCGAATTTCAACTTCCACTCTTGTTGCAGTGTCTCTCTGGCAGCTCTGATGGCACCATCCGGCTTTGGTCACTTGGTCAGCAGAGGTGCATAGCAACATACAGAGTCCACGACGAAGGTGTGTGGGCACTGCAGGTCAATGAAGCCTTCACTCACGTCTATTCAGGTGGACGAGACAGAAAGATATATTGTACAGATTTACGAAATCCTGATATCCGGGTGCTTATCTGTGAAGAAAAGGCACCAGTTCTTAAGGTGATGTACTTAACCTTCTAATGCATCATGTTGAAACGTTCTTCTTTGCTGCTATTAGGCGCATCTAGCCACTGTGGAGATGCATTGATATAATTTGAGTGGGGACTGGAGTTGAGGAGGTTGTCTACCACTTGCTGAGTTATATCTATAAGAAGATACTTGGGGCATTTTCACTCAGCTATTATGTATTTGTCAGTTCAACAAACTTGAATTTTTGTTCCTGATGCTAGTGGAAATTTTACTGGAAAAGTGGTTTCTCTTAGGTCAATGTGTGCATGCCAAAATCTTACATAAAACATGTGAATGCTTGGTTGTCATAACATTATAGAGAATTAATATACAATGCTGTTTGAAATCAACGTTTTTCATATGACCAGTGTGGTTTGTTGGTTAGACTGTTGGACTGGGACCTGGGAGAGGCTCTAGTCTCCGCTCAGCCACAAAGCTGAGTGACTCCACTCAGAAGGGGACTTCAGACCAGTCCCTCACTCTCAGCCTAGCCTACCTCATGGAGTTGTTGCTGTGAGGGTAAAACAGAGCTGGGTAAGCTGCCTTGAGATCCTCCCAAGAGGAAAAAAGGCAGGATATGAATGCAGTATAATAATATAAATGTTGATGTATTAACTCTCATAGAACAATTTTGTTGTTGGACTAACAAATACAACCATAAATCTTTTCCATCGTGTTTGATTTCTGGCAGGTGATTGAAATATTAAAAAGGGTACTGAAAGTATTCATCAGAACTAGAAATACAGAGACAGCAAAACTGTGTTCAGACTTCAGAAAACTCCTCTGTGAACCAAAGATGATTAAGAATACCACATCCTCCTTTGTAATGGATGGCAAATGCACCTTTTATTGTGTGACAGGTTGTAACATTTTGTGAAGTGTTAAGAGGCATTGACAGCAGTACGGTACATGACAGTAAACCTAATGTGTGTATAAACCCTGTTCAGACACTTGTACATGTGAAAAACCTGTGCTTATGAAAATGTGCTGTCCTTTGCTGGGATTTTATTCTACCCTTAGTACTAATGAAGTGTTGAAATAAGTTTAAAAGAGTAGATCTTGTATCCGTGTTGAGTATAAGAGAGGTTATTATTTTGTTTCCTTGATTATTCAGATGGAGCTAGATCGATCAGCTGATCCTCCTCCGGCAATTTGGGTTGCAACAACTAAGTCATCTGTGAATAAATGGGTAAGACCTGCGTGTAAATTCGTGGCGCTTCAATGCACATTTGGTTGATAAACTTGAGGAGCACACCTATGTTATTTTAATGTAGGAAGTCTCACTTGAGCAGAGTTGGGTCATCCCTTTTCTAGAGGTGTAACTTGCTATGCTACCAAAAACACACAATGAGCATGCTGACTCTTCATACACTTTATCCAGTAGAGTGTGGTGTGAGTTGCTCTCTGTTTCAGCTTTCTGGATTTGTGTTGCGCTTTTGTTCCTCATGCCCATATTTTGCACAACGTGGTCTGAAAGTTCACGAGCTGTTCAAGTAAGCAAAGCTGCTAGGAGGACTTAGCTAAAGTCTTACCTTTAAGAAGCTGGCCTGGACGGCATTCAGGTTTGTTCCTGTCTTACCACTGGCATCCTTTCACAAGGTCCACTGTGGAGATGATTGGACGTGTGGATCACAATGAATCCAAGATCTTTGGAACAACAGGGAAGAAAGAAGTGAGGGCCATGATCCTATTGTGCTGTGGGTTCTAAATATACTCCCCTTCCATCTTCTTCCCTCACTTTTCTGTTTAGACTTTGAAGGGGATTCACAATTTTAGAGCTTCAGGGGACTATGACAATGACTGTACCAATCCAATCACGCCCCTCTGTACGCAGCCGGACCAAGTTATTAAAGGTGAGGATAATTTCTGGGAAACTACTTGAGGGAATTACTTTTGAGTTGACGTAGATAGCAGAGGATGGAGAAACAAATACTACGTGATCCACGTCTTGGTTAGATTATCTTTCTGTTCCCCCAAATGCAAGAGTTTTGTCATCTAAATTCATGTTTTAGATTAAGATAACCCTATCAAGAAGCTCCAATTCACAGAGCCTTGGGTACGCTTTGGGAGAAGTCACTTGCAAATGCTTACTGTCTAACCATGACTGATAGAAGGCTTGTTTTGTTTACCCCTTAAATGAAAAAAAAACTGATCATTCAGGAATCTGTGCTGTTGCTGCTGCTTTTGCTTTCTCCTGCATTACATTTATATCCTGTCTTTTTCCCTCTTGTGATACAACACATATCATACCTTGCATAACCTATTTGTACAGAGCAAAGCATATCCAGGAGTGCAAAGTATGAACTCTTCTGTTATAACTGAGCCCTGTAAGGGAATGAATATGCAACCCTAGACTGCATTTTCCATTACCAGGGCTGCTGCATTTTCATGTATTCTTTTGCACACATTCCCAGGTTTCACATTGCTGCAGAGATTCACATGGATTGTCTGAATTGTCTAGAGCTTGCCAAGGATTATCCTCAAGCGCATAGGCTAAATCCGGTCCTCTGTATCCTGGATAGCCATTCCCCCTTTCTTTGCCCCCCCTTTCCCCTGACAACTGGTCGTTTGATAGTTTCTCATAAAGTGTGTCATTTTCCCTCCAATCTGGAAACTTGAAATGTCTCTTAACACTTAGTCACCAGCCGTAAGAGCTTTCAGCTAATGTATGTTGGCATTCGACTAGGGGTGGGGGATCCCAGCTCTTGTCCTCTGCCACGGGAATGTGGCCCCTGAAAGATTCTTCAAAATGGAATTCAGCCCTTGGGCTGAATAAGGTTCTTCAGCCTTGGTCTGACTTGTTCACGTGGTTGCTCTTTTCTGTCTCTTTCTGCCAGGGGGTGCTAGTATTATCCAATGCCACATTCTCAACGACAAAAGACACATATTAACCAAAGACACAAACAACAATGTGGCGTACTGGGACGTGTTAAAGGTAAGTGGAGATGAAATCTCAATGACTTGTAATTGAAGTGTTGTCTGTTAGTCCCTCTTCCATATGCAGTAGCTTAATACCACCTGTATAACTTAGGGCAGAAGAAAAATTTAGAATGGTATCTACTATGCCATGGGATTCTCAAGCTTTTAGAGCCATGGGCACCCATGGAATTTGTGTGGGGAGGTTGAATCTCCCTTTGACAAGCAACTTTTTCTTTTAGAATCAGTTTGCCTTCTGGGAAATGGGTGACCTGTGAGTGTGCAGTCATTTTGTGAACTGGCAAGTCTCCAGTCTCTCTGCCTCTCCTGCAGCAATTTTGTGAGGATACTCACAATCTCAGTTCCTGAGAGAAATCAGCAGGAGTGCCCCTTGTTCGTTGCGAGGGTGTGTTTTAGAGCCCTCCTTTTTCCTTCCCCTTGAAGTTCCTTTGGGTGTTTAATTAGAGAAACAGTAAGTATACGTGTCCAAAAACTTCCTCTTCAACAGGGAATGTGAATGGATGGTCTGTGTTGTTATAAGGTATTTTTACACCAAATGATTTATTTTGGTCGTCTTATATGCAGGCATGTAAAGTAGAAGACCTTGGAAAAGTGGACTTTGAGGAAGAGATTAAGAAAAGGTTTAAAATGGTCTATGTGCCAAACTGGTTTTCAGTAGACTTAAAAACTGGGGTAAGTATTTTATTTCAGGACTAAGTATTTCTAAGTAACAGCAGCAATGTGGCATTACATGATGCAGAAGTCGCTGTTTTCAATTAGATTTATATTCCAGCCTTCCCCCAAGCAGCTCAAGGCAATGTACATGGTATCCTACCTGCCCTCAGTTTTTCCTCCCAATAACTGTTGAGAAAATGGATTTGTTTTGTTTTATGATGGCAAATTCAGTGGTGTGGTGGAAGCAGTTTCAGTCTTCCTACAGTCAGACTGGCAAATATATTTGGTTAGGCACAAAGTTTTGTCTATATTTGAATGAAAAGTGTCAGTTTTGTCCTGCATTTATACTGCATTCTGCCCTGTTGCCTCCTTTTGACAGATGTTGACAATTACGTTAGATGAGAGTGACTGTTTTGCAGCCTGGGTCTCAGCAAAAGATGCTGGATTTAGCAGTCCAGATGGATCTGATCCTAAATGTGAGTGTGCTACCATTATTTCATAGAAAGACCAAATCCTTTGTCACATGGTACCATAGTGTTGGAAAGGGCACACTGTAAACTTAGGTTGCAATGCTGTGTATATCTAGACAGAAGAAAGGACCTGTGCTGAAAAATCAAACCTTTTTTCTGTCTCAACACGCACAGGTTTGCTTCCTTTCCTTTGTCAAGTGCTTGAGAATGTTCTGAATTCAGGCTTCTTGCTATGGCTTGTGTGTTGGTGTGTGCTTTCTAGAAACTTAACTTCTAGACTCAAATTGTGTAGCTTGTCTTGACCCAGAATTTTGTACTCTCCTTTGAAAGTTAATTGATAGAAACACAACTAGTTTGTCATTCTGTTGTGTGGATCATGCAGCTAGAACCATTTGCAGTGTCAGGAGTTGAGTTCCGGGCACATGTTCTTTGATAAAGTTATCTTTTGGATTAATTTGTTGAGTAATATTTACCTATTCATATTATTTCTATACAACCTGAAGCTCTGAATGGTTAGAGCAAAAATGAGTTAAGGGCTAGCTCCAGAGAGCTACTTCAGATCCACCAGCCATTTTGAAGCCTTTGTGTGCATTTGACTTTATGCTAAAGGCTTGCATACCACACTGTACATTGCTTTTGGAAAGGCCTTCAGTTTCAGAAAGAGGGTAGGGGCTGTTATTAAAGACAATCAGCCAAACTCTCTTGGTATATTCTAAATTACCTACATGTTTCTTTGGAACCCAATCAGAGCATCTGTAACTAATACCCTGAATAAAAGGTACTACTGCTTTCTAAAGCAAGCATACATCTATAAAGGTGAAGATCAGTAATACTCCTGTTTTCCTTCGTTTCTGTATTACAAACTTCAGTGAACCTTGGAGGCCTTTTACTACAGGCTCTCTTAGAGTATTGGCCTAGAACACATATCAATCCTATGGATGAAGAAGAAAATGAAATGAACCATGGTGAGTGTTTTTCTCTGTATCACGAGACTGTTACACTGTGGGGGGCGGGCGGGAGAGGAAGAGAGAGAAAATGAGAGTGAGTCTATATGGGATTTTGGCAAAATCTTCCTGCCTGTACACTAAGCTTTAATACATAAATCTAAAGAATAATCCTCATGGATCAGTCCCTGATCCTTCTAGACTTGAGTGGGTGTCAGTTTTTAGTCTCTTGAGAGCCTAACTTCATCTGAAGTAAGATGTGTGGATTTTGTTTTTTTAAGTAAAACCAAGCATGCAGGATGCCATCCGGATCAGGAGATCGGCGTTCAGGAGAGGAGGTGCAATCCCTTTGTCCCTCAGTGCAGTCCTGGCAGAAAAAGTATTTCCCCATGTTGCAAATAGCAATAAGAAAAAACTGCCCCACAGGATACCAGTTAGGGTTTTCTTCTGTTGCTATTTGCAGCACGTAGGGGGAGGCGATATTTGTCAGGATCATGTGGGGGAAGGGAAGAGCTAAATCCCCTCTCCTAGATTGTGATTCCTGTCCAAATTGGAACTGTATACCACTTCAGACTAAAAACACAAAGCCTTATATTGCCCCAAGGAATGCATTTACTATGGTATGCAGTTAGGTCCTGGTGCTACAGAGATTAATTTTTTCTGTAATGAAAAGGATTACTGTATGGTCTTAATACTGTGTGCTGTTTTTATTCCTTTACCCTGTCATAGTCAATGGTGAGCAGGAGAACAGAGTACAGAAAGGAAATGGTTATTTCCAAGTGCCACCACACACGCCAGTTATTTTTGGTGAAGCTGGAGGACGCACCTTGTTTAGGTACAAATGTTCTGGCAAGTAACATGGGGAAGGTAGTTTGGCTGTGTCGGTTGAGTTTAGGCCATTGAATGTGTAGAAATTAAAGTTAGGAGCAGTTTGATGTTTCGGTGGGTTGTGTAGTAAAGTGGCTAACAAAGCAAGCTGTGGATTTGGGAAGTCTGTGGTTCAGATTTCACATCTGTCTTGGGCTCTAGGCCACACATTGGCTTCAAAAACTTTCTCTCCATCTGCAGTATGGGGAAAATAGTCATTTATATGACAGGGCTGTTAGAAGAATTATTGAGAAAATTGTCCACCATTAGAGCTGTTTTCCTCTAAATCCTTAAATGTGGAAACTTCTAAGCTGTTGTAGTAAGGTTTGTAAAAGTAGGGTTGAACTAGCTTTTCATTGTGCATGCTGACAAAATGCTTTAGACATGTCTTTTCATAATAGCTCTCAGGAATAATGGAATGCAGACCGTGTGCCACAAATTGCTAGTGCAAATTTAGCCTAATACGTCTCAAACTCCTCAGCCATTTGAAATTAGTTCTTTGTCACTGCCTATTGTTTGTGCTTGTTTGCCTGCTCATTTCTTGTTCTTGTGAACAATCAAACTGTTAATCATTTTCTGTAATACTCAGTGGGCTGCCTCTCAAAACTCTTTTCACTCAGGTTGTTATGTCGGGATTCTGGTGGTGAAACTGAATCCATGCTCCTTAACGAAACTGTGCCACAATGGGTAATCGACATCACTGTGGATGTAAGTGTCTCCTGAGAGGACAAGATAGTTGAGTAGCATTAAATTAAACAATTGTAAATAGCCTTAATTCTGTAGCATGCGTCCCTATATTAAACAGATATTTGGAACATGACTAGCTCAGAGCTTTTAGAAGCTTTAAAAATCCTGCACCTACTTATTTTAAGATGTACAGCTTTTTGTTGTAAAATAAGGCCTCTTGTTTACACACACACACACACACACACACACACACACACACACACAGGTATATAAAAATGCACAATGGATTCAAACTGAGGTTATACTCAAGGCTATTACAGAAATTGTATTTATTTGTTTGTGGATTACCTAGATAGCTTGCTCTTGTAGGGGCAAGTGTACTATATTAAGATCAGGTTCATCCATCTTGTACCTCTTCCAGCAAGGATCTTCTTACTGCTGGACCCCCATGCTGCCAGAGAAGCTGCTCAAAAACTTTGGGAGAACATAATAGTCTTGGACACAGTGTGAGGAGTTATGACCAAATGCCCTGTTCTGATGGGGGTTTTGTGATTCCCAAACTGAGATAGCATGACTACACTTCTCTTCCTCCTCCTCCTGCTTAAGCTTGTGCAAAAGAATTTGGTTGCTAAGTAAAAAGAAGCTAGAAAAATTATCTAGAGAAACCTGTGCAGTACCATACACACTAAAAAGTTAATATTTCCAATAAGATAAGTAACTGAACTTATTGCAAGATAGAGGTGGGAAGCAAAATTTAATCGTTTCTACTATTTTTGATTTATTTTGTAGAAAAATATGCCAAAATTCAATAAGATTCCCTTCTACCTCCAACCTCATTCCTCTTCGGGAGCAAAAACATTAAAGAAGTAAGTAGAATAAACATGGACAGTAGTTTCCAGGAGCATAGAGAGGTGAACGAAACTCGAATAACTGTCAATGTCTCAACTCTGAATCCATTCCATTTCCATAGGGATCGACTGTCGGCCAGTGATATGTTGCAAGTCAGGAAGGTGATGGAACATGTTTATGAAAAAATAATAAACCTGGACAATGAATCTCAGACAACTAGCTCTTCCAATAATGAAAAAGCTGGGGAACAAGAAAAAGAGGAAGACATTGCAGTTCTAGCAGAGGAGAAAATTGAACTCTTGTGTCAGGACCAGGTATATCAATTACCTGTTTTACAGGTGGTTACGAGGATCAAGTAGAATTAAATAACTGTCTACACCAGTCTTTGGGGGGGGGGGTTTGGAAGAAGCAAAGGATATGTTGGGGAGCTCTGGGTGCTCCCCCCATTTTATTGATATACAGAAATGGATTTATATTAAATGCATACAACGTTATACCAATTGTGCATAGGCTATAGCAAAAGCAGACTAGATATCCAAATAAGTATCCATTTGAAGCTGGCATCTATATGCTACCCATTTACATACTGAAAGTGTTACAAGTTCCTTAATCCATTCCATTATAGGAAGTGAGCATTTATCCTTCCACTGTTGTAATAATCCATATTTTAGCTGTTAAAAGGGCACAGAAAATCTGAGTCCGTTTGTCAATTTCCATGTAGCAGGTAAATAATTTAAAAGAGTATGTATATCAATGTATATCACTGACTCTTAAAGACTGCTCCAGTACAGAATTTATCCATGTAATAACCTCCTTTTCAGAAGGAGCAATAACTGGACGTTGCCAAAACATACGTTTAAAATAATATTAATTGTACTACACTGCCAGAAGTTAGTCAAATTAGACAATCCCTTACCTTAGTGAAGAGATGTTGTGGTGTCAAGTAGAAACAAAACAAAAATCTTTGTGCAATAAGACAAAGATCCATGGACAGGACACAAAGGATGCCAAAGTGGCAGTCTGCTGATTAGGCATTTTGTGGTGGCGCTTACAGCCGATTTTCCACTTCCTGTCAGTGCCCACAGGCCAGAATGGTTTGGGACCCTGTCATATGAATAGCACAGTGATTCTGGAAAAGTAGAAAAGATGGAGTTGCATTAATTAATTAATTCAGTCATTTTCATACTGTCCAGTGGCTGAGGCTCTCTGGTATTTAAGCTATGAAATGCATAAAAATGCTTTTGAGAACATGAAAACGTAAGTTGGGCAGAAGCAACTTGACTGTTTTTCAGTAATCACTTTTTCCAGTGTTGAGATACGAGCTTTTTGCTCATGTTCATAGATAAGTAGAAGATGCATGCAGTAACTAGAGCAGAAACATCAGACTGCTTTTACCAGAGTGGGGACGCCGTTGCTTCCTTCACAACATCCCGTCTGAGATACTAAAGTTGTGGCTGAATATGGGATTTTTGAGTGTCCAAAATGAAATTATCTCGGTGCAATCCTTTTTACGTGACATATTGCAGGTCTGGTACATTATGTCATGTAAAAAGGATGGGGCCCAACTGTGGATTCACTGGAATGCAGGAAGACTTTGCACACAGGCCAAGTTTAGAGTAATGTGAATCTTACCAACAAAAAGTTGTTTTTGATGACAGGTTTTGGATCCAAATATGGACCTTCGAACTGTCAAGCACTTCATATGGAAGAGCGGTGGCGACTTGACTCTTCACTACCGCCAGAAGTCAACGTGAGCCAAGCATTGGACCCAACCAACCATTAACTTACTTGAGCTTCCTGTACTGGTTCCAGCTGTAATGCTCTAGAAGCCCACTGAAACCCTAAGGTAGATCTGACACTTCTAATGCCTCAGTGCGGACAGAGTCTACTTGAAGTGACTAATAAATCTGTAATATAGACAAATCTGTATGACGTAAACTAAAGTCTGTCCTTCTCAAGGTACAAGTAAGAGTGCTATGACAAGCCCTTGAGCGATTCCTGTTCTGAGGTGTACAGAGACCAGGTGATCCAGTGCAGGTGTTTGTGGGGTTATTTTTATTTCCAGGATTATCATACCTTCATCTGCTCAAGCTTGATATGTAAACACTTTCTCAGCCCTGCTGCTAACTCATTCATAGTGTAAAAACTGCATGTGCTGTACTTTGTTCATACATTCCATGTAGTAAACTTTGGCCACTCCTCAAGACAAATCTACTTCAAGAAAGAACTATCTTGTACAGTCGAGTAGAACTGTCTCTGTAACTCCAGTTGAAGGGGTTAAATTCCATCCAACAGTGATATTGTAAGAAACCATTTTGTATGTGGATTGTGACCCTAGAAAGCGTGTGATCACAGGGTCGCTGTAATGGTGCAGTGCATCATGATGGAATATTTCAACATCTTTAACTAGACTTTTAAAAAAGCTAACTTCTGTAGTCCATTTTTTCTTAAGACGGCACACTGATCACAATTCCAAGTAATTGTGCTTTACATGTAACATCTTGGCAAACTCAAGAAACTTTGCAGTAAATACCATAGTTTTGTGGTAGCAAAAAGAACTTGCAGGTTTTCCTCCAATGGTTTTTATATGCATTTTCGATATTTTTGTTGATGTTGTAAGCTGCATAAAGCTTAGATTTTCTTTTCCACTGTTTCTAAAAACATTTTACAGCTTTTTCATATTGTCATTAGAATCTAACTTATTGTGGAAGGGAGGGATGGGACCCTCGAGTGTCTGGGCAAGAAAGCCAAGCCTTGCATTCAGTGTATAACTGGAGCACACGCATCCTGATGGCAACATGGTATAAAGCAGTTCTTATTTGGAACAGAAGCACATGTCTCTAAGAGGCACTAAGGGTGATTTCTTTTCCACACCCACCCATCCAAGAGTTGATCATTTTTATCTTCCTTAGTAGGTAAATTGTGGCTTAAAGAACACCTCTGGGTTTGCTTAACTGAAGCGAGAACAGGTAAGGGCCTTGATTAAAACATTATCTTTGCAGCGTGGGAGCTGCTTCAGTAACTTGTATAGCCAGGCACCATGTGGGGAAGGGTAATTATTCAGAATCTGTTGGTACCCAGTGTAGGCAGTAGCCCAGAAAGGAGGAGTATACTAGTCAGGTCAAAGAGGACATAGTCGAAGGTGCTGTGGAAAACTAGTTTGAACCTCAAAAATAGTCTGATGCCTTTAGAGCCTTTCAGTTCCCCTTGTCCTTTAAAGAAAGCAAACTTTACCCAAAGGAAATTTCTATTTTCAAGGGGGAGTGGCTTGTTTTTTCACTGACTGATAAAGATAAAACGTGCAGCATGTCAGTGTCTTTGCGATATTTTAATTGTTTTTTTGCCTTGGCTTGGAAAGGGCAGGGTGTGTGTTCTATGCACTACTTGGATTTTTAGAGTGACTGCCATGCTGCAACCATAAAATTTGAATTGGTACTAAATCATTTAGCCACCTGTCCTCCAGATGACCTGAGTCTCACTGCATAAGCAACTAACTGAATTCTAGTTCCGAATGAAGCTCGCATTCAGTGTTCCTATCTTGAGCATCATCTGTTTGTAAATCCTGTTTGTGTGAACAGAAGTCTGGTTTGCCACAGTGCATACTTGTTGAATTCATTGGTTAAGCTGAATTGTAAATTATCCTTAATTGTATTTCTTAATAGACTATAATTCTGAATTTTGTGCTGATTCATTTCTCCATTGGAAGTCCCTTTAATTCTGCCCTGCTTCCCTTATACTTTAAATCAGCCAACATTCTAAATTTTATTTTCTACACTCCAAGAAATGCAGTTTCAGGAAAGACAGATAGAGGGCCTGCAATGCCAAAAGGACAAATACATATTTCGCAGTTGTATAGAAATAATAAAACATCTTTAGCTAATGTTTCTAAGCAAGTTTTCTTTTTTAAAAAATGTGCTATGAAATGTTAAGCAAATATGTACTGAGAATGGTGTCTACCCAGTTACAGCAGCGTCTTTCCATAGGAACAGCAGTGATGGTTGGGTTGAAAGAGGTGTGCGCACATCAGAGCAACTAAGAACTAGATTGAGAATGCAAAGTTCTGGCAAGTTCTGTTGCCAAAAGTGGAGTATTATGAACACCCCCACCCCGTTGTAGCCTGCACTGCAGAGCCTGGCTTGTTTGTGGTGAGGTGTATGCACAGCACATCCTTTTCCTTTTCCTCTGCCTTTCCACTTAATAACTCAAGGCAGGGATAAAACCTGGCCCTGCTGCCTCCTTCAACTGTAGCTTGATGGTAAAGCATCTAATTTGTATATGGAAGGTCCTAAGTTCAAGTCTTAGGGCTTGGAAGATGCTAATGAAATGCTAGAGCAAGAGTGGGTAACTTCTGGTCCTCTAGCTGTTTGAGCCTACAGCTTCTATAAGCCCTGTTGCATGGGCAGTATTTAAGGAATAGCTTAAATATTGCCAGCCCCTTGCTCTAGGCTCACCAGGGAAGAACACCCAGAGATGTAGATCACTGGTTCACAGCTCTGCCACTCTACTCATGTAAAACCCTCAAGTTCAGGCAAATATTTGAATAGGGGTAAAGTCTAATGATACTGCTCTTGACGTCAACTGAAGTGTAAAATGCTGAAGGAGAAGGAACTTAGTTTGTTTCAGCCCTTTAGCAGTTTATAGAATCCCAGAAACAGGCAATGAAGTGGGGGCAGGGATACATGCCCTGGAATTCCACTCCTGCCCTCCCCGACCCATTGCAACCAAGTGTTCAGCGCTGCTCTGTAGTGCAGCACACATTTTAAATGCTTCTCAGAAAGGGTGGTTCTGCAGGAGTAAGCATGGCCTGAAGAGAAATCAAATGCATATAGAAAATCTTCTCAGAAGTAAGAACTGGGGCTTTATGTACCTTTCAAAAGGGATTTATTTCCAGACTAAGAAAGTGATTCATAAAACCATTTCAGAAGATGAACAGGTAGCATAAACCAGAATTGCCATTACTTGTATTGAAAATGTCATCTTTTAATGGTGTTTGAGGAAGTGCCTTCTACCAGAGAGACAATCCCACTGCATTCTGGTTGCTTATTTGTTTGTCGACATATGTTTGCAATCAGAAGTTAAAATTCCATGAACTTCACCCAACACACACTTAGCATCTCAGCCTTAAATAATTTACAAATGCTTGTGAGATCATTTTGCACAAATATAAAACTAAACTGCTAGAGTTATTTCCCCCTTTAAACTACTCACCCAAGAAAGCATCCCCATTGGCTGCAGGGAACAACTAAATTATTGGATAGGAAAGGCAAACAGCTGTTTAGATTAAAAACTACAACACAGCCAGATGATGTGATTCATGTTCCCAGCAGAAGTAGTAGGCAGGATTATTCCTTTTAGTACATGTGCAAGCAATTTGTGCCCAACTCCTTTAACCCCATCCAAACCACCTTCTCAGACTCCTTACTCGAGTACCAAGTCCAGGTAACCAGCACTGAGCAGGAGAGGGAAGCTGCATGGAGGTATGGCAGATGTATTTAGGATCAAAGTTCCTATAGTGGCCTGGTACATTTGCACATGCTGTTGCCTTTATCGTGTCCTTAAAATTAAAAAAAAACATTTTACATTCTTTTTTCATAATGATCCAAATTTTACCTTGGTGCCAATGCTGTTGGATTAAGTTAAAAATGTTTATATTCATGTGAAATAACTAAAATGGTCAAGCACTATCATTTTAGACTGGGGTGGGCAGATGAAAATGAACTGCAGCTCATCAGCCACTGGCAGTCTAGCCAGCAACTGGGAACTGCAATGCAGGAGATCGCCCACCCCTGCCCTAGGACTTTGAGTGATCAACAGCCACATTTAAAACTGCAACCTGGGAAGGTGACTAAAGCATTTCACTGAAATTAGTGCTTTATGTGCTTATGAAACATTGCAGCTGATAACCCAAATGTTTATAGCACCCTTCCCCCACCTGAAACCCTCCAGATGTCAGGGAATTCCAGCAGCAGTCAGCCCAAGGTAGCATATCCAATGGTCAAAAACGTTGAGAACTGTTATCCCAAACATCTGAAGGACATCAAGTCGGAGAAGGCTGGTTTATGGCACAGCGGTAGGAAATCCTCCTACTTGTCAGCCATTGCCTTTTAAAAAATACAAATAGAATGATCAGTGTTATCACGGAGCAGCAATTAAACAGATTCAGACTTTCAGCCAACTACTGACTGTGACTCCTGGGGTGGTGCTGGTGGAGGCAGCTGGACTTTTCTGTGATGCAGCAACAGAACAAACATTTCTGGGTACCACAGAGCCAGGTGCGAAAATCCTTCAAACATGTGGCACATTCCAGAACTCCGGGGAGGAGCGGCACTTTTAGGACTAGTTCAGAACAGTTTCTTCCGTCAATTCTTGGGCTGCCCTGTCACCGTCAGATTGTAATGTTTTGGGCAATATGGGACCCTCAGTTTCATCTGAAGGCAGAACAGTTTCCTGAGCATCAACTTTAGATGTTGTGTTTAGAGATATCTCCATAGGAAGAGATGGTAAAGGTGAAACTGAAGGCATCTCTTTGTCTAGTTCTGGCTGAGGACTCAAGTCCTCCAGGTAAGATGCTGAATCTTCCGAGAATGGAATAGAGGCATGTTCTGTGGGGGGAAAGTGAAAATGTATTAAGCATAAATACAGCAAGAAGCAATGCTTTCAGTTCTCTCAGTAATCCCCTACTGATGATTCGGGAAAAACAGACTGCTGAAAAGAGTCACTTGGCTACCGTTGCAGCTGAACTTTACCTTGTCCCATTATAAGCAATGCAGTAATGACAGCCAGCCTGGGACAGCTTTAAAGGGTGCATAGATATATTCATGGAGGATAAGCCTTCTAGTCATGATGATGACTCCTACATCTGGCATCAGGGGCATTATGGGAAACATTAGCAGGCAGGTGGCCCCTTTGCCAACAGGATACCGAGCAAGACAGGACTTCCAAATGATTCAGTGCATCTTTCCTTATGTCCTCTCACATGCCTGCCCAGTTCTTCAGAATTCAGAAGCAGCCACTCTAGCAGAGTACTCGGTGACAAAATTAGTATTGCTCCTCTTTTCCATGACCAACTTCACTGAGCTGGCACACTCCAAGAGCAACTATGGTATGAACCCAATGGCTTTGGTTGTCAGGTGTTTTTTCTTTTTTTACATCTCAGCTGTTCACATCATAGTGTTCCTCTCACCAGTGGATGAGGACTATTCAAGCAGACCATACACTACAAATTCCCATAAAGTTATAGCATAATAAAATGATATTTAAAAGCCCATCCAAAGACACGAGGAAAAAGAAGCATGACTTGCTGTCACCAGCATCCTTGAAGAGACAGACTCTGGCAGGCTCTTTTACCAATAGATATCCTACATTCCCCCGTTATGTGGCTTATGGAATGTGTCCTGCTGGTGTACACACTGACAGCTTAGGGAGCTGGCCACTCTACACCTTTCTTCGGAAGACAGTGTATTTCAGCAAGCTGTGGCATACACATGTGCTAGTTATTTCCAGACGGATGGCTATGTTAGTCTGTAGCAGCAAAAACAAGGAAGAGTCTTGTGGTATTAATACCGGTCTAAGCTTTGGTAGATGAGAGTCTGTTTCATTGGTTGCATGCTGTGTTGTCCTCAGTTGCCAGGTACATATAGGCATACATGTATGTATGTATGTATTTAAAATATTTATATCCTGTCCTATATGCAAAGCATCTCAGGACAGCTTACAGAAATCAAAACAAGCAATCCATAATCAAAACAACAATTTGATTAGTTGTCTTTCTTCTGGTTGTCCTATTATAGATAGTTAGGTTACTGAATTATTGTTTGTCTGATTGTTTTGGGAACTGCTACATTTCAAATACATCAACATAGGTGTTGCTAGTGCAAAGGCAGTGCTGGAGACTGTTTATGATATGTCAAGCAACACTGACATATCATATGTACACACAGGTAGAGGGAAAAAAGTTACTAAGAACACCCTAGCAATGCAATTAGAACTTTAATGTATGTTTGTAATGACAATCTTATAATTTCTGCTCTTCTGAATAGTCAATTCTTTTAGGTGGTACTTAGGTTTTTTTTAAATCATCCCATAATAGCTTTTGGTGGTGACATGCTAAATATGACCTTAATCATAAATATGGTTGTGGTGCTTTTGTGTTATTTGCGAGACATTTTGAGTCTGCACATTGAAAGGGAAAACAGAACCCAGATCAAATCAACCAGTTTATGAAAAGCCTTGTCATTCAAACATATGTCTCCAAAAGAAAAGGAATGGCATTAGCATTTGCTTACCAAAAGATGTGCGAGTTCTGCTATTACTTAGCAAGCTATCAGTTGCTGCCAAGGTGTCTGTCAAGTTGAAGGAAGCAGAGGAAGAATGCGCATTGATTGTTTTTGCCAAGTCAATTAATTCAGGAAAAGAAGCTCCAGACATATCTACAAAACCTGAAAGAAATAAAATGAAGGCTGAATCCAATAATTCAGAAGAGAAAAAATGCACTTTTTTTGAAGCTGAAATGCCTTTGCTGTACTAAACACCAACAAAAAATGACTTGCAACTACAGAGAGCCGCCAAAGGCTCTTGGCTGCTTGTCTGATCACCATCTACATCCTCATTCAAAGATGCTGGACATCAAGGTGCTACTGGAGCCTTCTGGAAACTGGGTGTGCTGCATTAATTAGTTCCGATTTCTACAAGTGTCTTTGAGGAGGTGCTCCTAACTCCTTTCTTGTGACAGATTAACCGGGGCTGGGGGGGAGGGGGGCTCTAAAGGATCTTGTTCATACAAGCAGATGGAGAAGACAGCAAAGTATTGTATTCCCTTCAGTGTCTTACACCATTCCTGGCTCTCCACCAGGACAAACTTTTCACAACAGCCCAGTGTATTAGAGAGAGATGGAGGGAGGGAGGGAGGGAGGGAGCAACAGACAAGAGATTACCTGGATCCATAACTCGCTGCACTGGAGGCGGTGGCTGAAGAGAGTTTTCTACTGGGTACATGTCCACACTGTGATTCGTACTGTAATCTAAGCCTGAAGCATCTTCATTTTGGGAATTAGGTGCCAACAGCGGAGCCTGAAATAAATGTGAGATTAAAAAGCCACATGCTTTGGAACAAGAAACACATTATTCATCCATTAGAGAGCAACCCTATTATATGATAGGCAGGCATAATTCCCCCATTACCTGACCAGCTACCTCATAGTGGAATGTGGTCAGCCATTTACATAAGCACACGTTGGGCAAGAGGTTCTAAGTGGGGAAAGCTCCTTTTGGCACGGAGCAACCAAAGTAATAAAAGCCACCCACTCCACACTTAATCTTGCAGCTGCGGTGCAGAATGTTGTTGGGGCTCCATTTTTAAGCAGAGAGAATTTGCTGTCCCTGGACTAATAGCCACACTGAAACACACAAAGGGAAAGTAGCATACAATGATAGATGTGTGCTTTCATGCTGTTCTTTTTCCTTTTAATTGCTGCCAGATGCAGAAATTAGATGGGAAAGGCCTCTGACTGAAACCATGCAGAACTGAGGCAGACCAGCAACAAGACTTAATTTGTCCATTCCTAGTCTGTTCAAACAAGTAGTCATTCCTATCAGCCTACAGACGCAAAACTGTGAATACTACCCAGCAGGCCTCCACAGGCTTCCAGAGGTACTGGCTACAGCTCCCATCATCCCCAGCCAGCAGTGCCAGTGCTGTGAAGCACTTACCTCTGTATAGCCATTAGCTGGTGGCTCGGGAGGCATGTGCCCTGAGGGCAAAGGCGGAGGGGAACTAGCTTCGGGTTTCTTCTTTGGTAGAGTCACCTGTGTCGGAATTCTGTGCAAATAGCCAAATCCAATGCCACAGCCTAAACTGTAAAAGAAGGCAAATCCAAGAACTCGACAATAAAGAGAGATGTGTGCCCTTGTCTTTTTTACATGAGATAGGATAGCGCACACAGAAGCCCACATTCCTTACCCCGTGATCACCACAGAATACTGCATGATTTTGTATTAATATTAATGCCTAATCATTGATGCATAATTAATGCACATTAATAGTAATATATTTTGTAAGCCATCCTGAGCGCTTGGTGACAGGACAGGATATAAATGGCAATCATCATCATCATCATCATCTGGAGCCCCTGCATAGTGAAGCCTGAATGGGAAATTCCAGGTTTCCTCCTAGGCAAATTGGGTGGGTGTGGCAAAGCAGGGAGGGTCCCAGCCCAGCCCCACTTCCAGATGGCACATGCCCTCATCCTTGCTCCCAGGAGAGACACAGAAGGAAGGGATCTCCCTTCAGAGAGAAGGGTTCTGCCTCCAGTCCTCGAGGGAACTGTTGGGGGGCCCTTCACGCCTCCAAGGGTTTCACAAGTGCTCCACTCTAGCTCTTGTTTGTTTTTGAGGCTGGATCTTTGCCCCCCGACTTCTCAGGCACATTTCCATCATCCCCCATGAGGGCAAATGCTGAGTTTTTGGCATCAAAGGTACACAGCAGACAGGATCAGGGGGAGGGCGCAGCTGCTGTGAGCAGCCACTTGTAGGGCAACAAGCATGGGGAGAGCCTGTGGCTCAGCAGCGGGTTGCTCTGCATGCAGAAGGGCCGGCCCGTCTTCCGCAGGAAGGGCTGGAAAAGAGCCCTGCCTAAAATCCCGGAGAGCCTCTGCCAGTCCGTGTTGACTGCACTGGGCTAGCTGGACCTCCCCCTCTCGCGCATCACGGTGCACTTCAAGGGCAGCATTCCCCCACCTGGTGCTCTCCAGGGGCTTTGGACCCACTATTCCTAACCCCTGCTAGTGGGCTGATGGGCACCAAAGTCTCAAACATCTGGAGGGCTCTAGGTCAGAGACAGCAGTTCCTCACGGTCTGCTTCCCCCCTGCTTCATTCCTGACCCATCCATCAAGCCCCGTCTTCTACCCTCATCCGGGTCTGTTCTGCTGCGTTTGGAATGCAAATTCTCTGGGTCAGAACCATGGTGCTTCTGCATTTGACCAAGCGTACTGTGGCTTCCAAGGCCAGTGGTAGATGCTGGGAACGTCGCATTTGTACAAATCACACCACTTCACAACAATCTTGCAAGAAAGTCCATTGCAATTCACAGATTACCCGGGGAAATGTAACCCGTTCCAAACTCTAGCATCAAGTTATAATTGGTCCCAGTGTCAGTTCACCAAACAAGACTGTGATCCAAAGTGCAGCAAGCCAAAAATAACCCGGACCTCATCTACAGATCAGGCACAGTCACTCAGAGATACATACCTCCCTTCTCCACCCCAAGCACCATTGGGGGTTACAAAAACCTCACGACACGAATCCATTTCTGTGTTGTAGACCATCAGCTTCAAAGGCTTTCCCTCATGGGATTCAATCAGCGCAAAGAAATCTTCTGACTGAGCAGGAGAGACTTTGTCATCAGCACAACAGTTGCCCTCCAGCCTTCCTGACTGCACACCTGCCGGGTATCCTGTGCGTGGGGGACAAAGACTACCTAGGCTGCCTTTCCCCCGGTGAGCACACTCCAGAGCCATCAGATTGTAACTCCCATCATCCTCAGCCACCAGGGCCAATGTTTGGTGAAGGCTGGCCTAGGCAGATGATTGAGCAGCACGTTCCTTGGCTTGCCACCACGCCTGCCCTCCACAGCTGCACCAAGCACCCTCCAAGAAGCTGCCAACATATGGAAAAGCACCACGGGTGCATAGGGCGTGTGGCCTGTGTCTGCCCAGCCTCCCTGTGCAGAAAAGGGACCAGTTGTAGAGCTGGAAGGGGCTGGAGGACTTGTCCTTTCAGGTCTGGGGTGCAGAACCTCACGCTAGGGACCAGAATCAGCCCCCTGGGGCATTCCAGATGGCCTCACCTCTTTCTCCCAACTGCTATCATGGGGGGGGGGGGGGGGGGGGAGTTCGCAATTTCTGAGCACTTTCTCCTTGCATTCTCAAGGGTCGAACACTTCCCTGAAGGGTACATGGGTGGCATTAAGAGCTTTAATCTAAAGTAGGCTTACATTTATATATAGTATCCCCATACCACTCGCTCTCAGTGCGGCCTGTGACCTTTGCCGCGTGCTTACCTCTTGTAGTATCTGATCCGATCCAATAATATAGTCTGTGTGTGGTTTCAGGCCAGCTAAGGCTGCAGGGGACGCTGGTTCCACATCCTGGGGAGAGAACACCATCCTGTTAGCAGACGCCTGGTCAAAGATCAAGCCTCAATTCAATCGCCTGTAAACTCTGTTCCCAGGAAACTGGATAAGCTTATCCTGAATCAGAGACGGCTTAATGTCAGGCCACTATCCTGAAAGAAAGAATTGCGTGTCGCCAGTCCTCTCAGAAGTGTGGCTGCCCTTGAAAGTCGGGTCATGCTACAGGGGGCTCCTTCTGCGTAGGCTGCGGGTGACCAGCAACGGGATGTTTCAGCAGCAACCTCAAGGCCTGTCTTGCCTCATTCCTGCTCCTGACCACACGCCTTTCCTTTTCCAACAGGAAAAGGGCATAATCGCAAACATGAAAGGTGCATTTTCCCAAGCTCAGCCTCCAAATGCGCACTTCCTCCCACAGACGAAAGTGTAAAAATGCAGGTGTGAGGAGACGGCACTCTGCTGAAGCGCCTGAGGCCCACAGTTCACACGGCCTGTTTCATAGCCCCAGTCTAGTCAAGAGTTCTGGAGAACCTGAACACTTGCACGTCCTTGTGGAATTCCAACTGGTTGCCAGCGCAGTCCCAGCGGTAGATTTTTCCCCTCGTGGACCAACAGAGGCACCCACGCGTGTGTTGTTCTCCCTCAAGAACAACTGTTTTGCCAAGCAGGCAGGGGCTCGACCTAAATGCAGAACCACCGAATCAGGCGACACGCTGCGACGGGGCTTGCTGCTTACCAGCACGTGCCACACGTGCTCCTTGGCTCCTTGGAAACTGCAGAAGCGCACGCTGGCCCCCAGAAGGCCCTGGCCTCCCCACATGTTGCTGGGGACCACCTCCACCTCGCGCACTTTCATCGCCTTTATGTTGTAAACCTCCAGCTTCACGGGCTTCTCCACATTGGCTTTCAGCAGATCTTTCAGGGTGTCACCTTCTTTATTCTTTCAAGTAAAGCACACAGGCACACAAAGGAAAAAATCAGGACACTGCTTCCGACTCAAGAGGCCAAAATGTGCACGGGCGTTTTAAAACAGTGGACTGGAACAGGAGTGGGCCACCTGTGGCCACTGAAAGCTGGTGGCCATTTTGGCAGGTCAGTGGAGGCAAAGCCAAGCGGGTGGCAAGAGGTGGGACAGTCTTTGAACTTCCCAAGCCAGCAACCCATGAGACAAGGGAAAACTGAGGGGTGTGAACATGCAAAGGGAGGGGGTGGGGAAATCCCACAGCCACACATGGAAGGCTTGCTTCCACATTCTTCTGTTCTAGCAACAGCTGCCGCTCTAGAGAGAATTAAGGGACTAAGACCATAGTGCAGAGTGGAAGCACGAGGAGAACTTCCCTCCTCTCGGCAAGAAAGCACATTTGAGCAATTCTAGCAATTAAAGGCATGATCAACAGACTGCCCCAGCCAAAAACCATTTCCCCTATCTATGCATGCTTGCCATTGAAACAACAATAATGAATGCGCAGAATTTACTGGGGGAATGTTCTGACCATGTACGGATCTCACACATGTTCAGAATGTTACTCCAGGCTGCAACATGTAAAAGAAGGAGGAAGTCAGTGGGTTGTCCTCTCTGTTGCTCTTGCTTCCAGAGGAGCTGGAGAAGAGAGGTGGGAAGCAGGACATGGGAAGCACACCGTTGGCTATGCTGCCTGGTGCTGGTGGGAACTGGAGGCCCAAACCCCTGGAAGGCCAAAAGTCGTCCTCCCTTGGTCTAGAGCTTCACCCCATGAGCCAAGCCCAGCCCCGCTAGGATCCCAATCTACCCTTCCTCACACCCCATCCCCTTCCCTCCAAGCACCAATCATCTGGCAGTCCTCCTCAGTTTTGTGCATACCCACCCCACCCCACCCCACTTTTCTAAAAGGAAAACATGTTTGCTCTTACGCTTATTTACTGACAGTGGGAGCTTGAAGCAAAAAATATATTGATATTTCAAAATAAGGTAGTGTTTGCCCTGCTCCTTCAGCCCCAGCTGCTTCGGCCTTCAGCCCCACTCGCCACGGGAGGGCAGCCCCTAAACAGGGTAGATGCAGCGGTTAGCCAGGCTGCTGCCTCCGTCCCGTCTGTGCTGCCCGGAAACACCTGCCCAGTCAGCGTGGCAAACAGGATCTGGATCGCTTTATCTTCTTAATTCTACAAGCTGTCCATCGCCGTTAAGCACAGGAAGCCACATCATCGCATAGACCTCTCGCTGCTATTCTGTTCTCCCACTTTTCTATCTGGAAAGCCATGCTACCTACCCGGAATGTTCTCCTTTGCTTTTAAGGCATTTGTTTTGGTCGAGTTACCATTTCCACACTGATTATATTTTGAACTATTCACAGTCAGGGTTGTCAATTCAGGGAGAGGAGTGGGGAAGGCAGAAGCAACAGCAATTAATGCATATGTCCTCTGCTTCTTGCCTGGCATACTCATAGTCCCATCCAATCACAAAGAATAGCCACTGTGGCATAGTGGTTAAGAGCTGGGACTGGGACTCAGGCGATCCGGGTTCGAGTCCCCACTCAGCCATGGAGCCCACTGGGTGACCCTGGGCCAGTCACAGACTTTCAGCCCAACCTACCTCACAGAATTGTTGTGAGGATAAGATTGAGAGGAAGAGAAATGTAGTAAGCCCATTGAGTTCCTTCAACGGAAAAGGCAGGATAAACATACAGTAATAATTTGCACTGATTCAAGTAAAGCCATCTGTGGACAGGCAAGCTGCCGCTGGATTGCATATGGAGTGGTGAAACTTTTCGCAGATAAGGTGAAAAGTTTCGGGGGGGGGGGGAATAGATTGTAGCTCATTGATAGAGCCCCTGCTGTGCATACAGACGGCCCCAGCTTCAACTGCTGGCACTCCCAGAGGGCATGGGAAGAATCTTGCCTGGAATCCTATAGAACTACTGCCAGTCAGAGCTGAAAAAACTCGGCTAATGGACCAAGGGTCAAGTGCCTCTTCCTATGTTCCTGTGCGGCTCTTTCTTTTGTTAAAGTTATGCATTCACTGTGTAACAGCAAGACTGCAATCTTTCAAGTATGCTTACTTGAAAGTAAGTCCCACTGAATTAAACTGGAGTTACTTCTAGGCAAACAAGGTAAGGATAAGGTCATAAAAGCAGCACCAACATGCAGTTTGGCCTGTCTTTACCAAGCGAAGCATGACGGGCGCCTGTTGGCCCTACTGTGCATCAGTCAAGCAGCTGCCAAGCTGTTAATTATTGGCACAGTCCTACCTGAACAGGCGTCCCACATGAGGGTTGTTTTTTTTTAACTTAACTGACCACACCTTCCCCATACTTCCTTCAGCTCCTACCAGAAGTACCTGTTCTCATGAACTAGGGACAGTGGACAGAAATACAGCTCTGTGTGACTCTACAGAAAAAAGGCTGTCCTCCGCCATGTGGAATGGCAACCCATTAATGGCTGGGAATGATGGGAGCTGCAATCCCACTCAGCTGGAGACCCCCCGGGTTGGGAACAGACACATCTGACGTCGGGAGAAAATGCTCCTTCTTCCTCCACCCACCACCCCACGGCTCACAGAAGCAACTCCCAAATCCTTCAAAGACTGAGATGGGTAAGGTACTTAAAAGCTGCAAACTGGACTCTTGCTCCGGCAGAATGCTTACAACCAGCCAGGCCCGATCTCACAAGGCGTCTACAGCTTCCATGGCCATCCGAAGGGAAGAGCGTCACCTTGCCATTCTAGGTCACAGGTGTGAGGTGGGCTGCTGGAACAATATCACCAGGGCTCTTTAGGGCTGTGTGGGGACCAGCTGCCAGGCCTCTGGGGTCCCATTCCAACACTCTAGCCCAGGGGTCCTCAAACGTTTTGAATAGGGGGCCAGTTGAAAGGTGCCAGCGATGGGCAGGGGGAGGGCACGGGGCAGGGGGGCGCATGCACAGAGATGCTTTTCTCCGAGCAACTCCAAACAATCTCCTCACGAGCAAGCCGTGCCTCGCTGTGTGCGCATGCACATGCATGCGCGGTGAGCTATGGCGGGCCAGATAAATGGGCATGGTGGGCCGGACCCGGTCTGCAGGCCACAGTTTGAGGACCCATGCTCTAGCCACTATACCACTCTTCCACCATATAATTCAAGGCAGCATACATGGTGTTCCAGGGAGGGTGAACTTGTTTCCCACCCGTGCACTTTCCATATGCTCACGTGCTTGGCTTCACCAACAATGGCTGCATCATGTGCCTACAGACTATTCTTCAGGACATACCACAAGTAAACCACCACCACCACCAATCCTTGCAAGAACAGATAAGTTATTTTAATTGTTTTAGTTAAAGATTTATTTTAATTACTTACCAGCCGGGTGTGACCTATTGTGAGGATGAAATCAAAGAATGGCTCCAAGCCGGCCCTCTGAGCAGGAGAGTTTTCCTGAACCTGTGAAATTGCAGAGTTTAAGAACTGGAAAGAGGATTGTAGGTATAAGTGAGCACATTCTAAATTACGTTGGCAGCTTAATGTGTCCATGTGGGGAGGGGTCCACCCCAAGCCAACTTATGAGCAAGCAAGAAGAAAGATTAAGAGGAGAATTATGTAAGCTACCTTGAGGTCCTTGAAAGGAAAAAGGGTGGAATATAAACAAAACGAACAGTGAAACAGTTCTCCACTAAACACTGTTCTAAAGTATAACATCAGTGCCAGGGTACCAACCAGATGTGGTCATCGGTTAACTGGCTGCTGGGTGAGGAATTTGTAGCCCAACACATCTGAAGTGTTCTAGGTTGCAGGTGGCAGTGACACATCATTAAAGCCACTGCCCTTAATCCAGCCTCTGAATCATGCTTACGGTATTTCTTTTCTTCTGGCCCTTCCTCATTCATTTTCTTTTATTTCAAGAGTACCAGTCTGACAAGCAGGTGTGGAGCCCCGGGGCCACCACAGCCTCTGCTGCAAGGCCACCTGCATCAGGCCCCTCCCTTTCCCAATGGTCACCTGCCAGCACCCATGACCTCATTCATCAAACAGTGTCAGCTGCTGCCACAGCAGCAGCGGGGAAGGCTTTTTTTGCCATCCTCCTTCAGCATTTCTCAGTCTTTGCCAATGGTGCCCAGTAAAACCACCAGCCAGTGGCTGAGAAAACCTGAAAATGGCTAGGGCTTCCGATCCAGACTATCAATTCTGGACTCACCACAGGAGGCCAGAAATCTTGTCCAGCACCAGGAACTACTGACGCCCAGGGAAGAACTTTTACTGCTTTCTCCACTTCTCCCTGGTTTCCCTATGGCCGTGGGGAAGATCATCAGTTTCTACCAGCCACCCTCTGTGTAGGCTTTTACCAGGCCTGTAATTGTGTTTCAACGTATTTTATAACCCTGCAAGCCACCTTGTGAGAGCATTGTGTCCCCAAACAAGATGCCGGACCCCAACTCCCATCAGCTCCCAGTGGCCGGTGATTAGGAACAATGGGAGTTGAAGTCCAACAGCACCTGGAAGGTGAGAGGCTCCCCACTCCTGGCCTTAAAGGTGGGATCAAAATCTTTAAAAGAAAGAAGCAGCAGCAGCAACATACCTTGTCACAAGAGAGACCTCACCCTCACAACTTGTTTAAAAAATAGCTGGAGGCAATTTCCACTACTATGATTCATAGCTACTACACCCACTGCTAAAGGATAAAAGACCATTTTACACAGCCAATGTGCACAGACCATTCTGAGCCAAGGCTGTGAACTGTCTTTACCCACAGGGACACTCTGCAGAAATGGCATGTTCAGAATAGCCTTCTGGTGTATAATCCACAGGGCAGGCATACTGATAGAATAAGGACAAGGGGGGAAATGCATGCGGTTTCTTTTTGGCAACAGCAGATATGCGACACAGCGTATGCAGAAAACAGCTGCACTAACAAAACACGATGACTCACATTAGGCTCTTCCTTTTCCAATAGGAGGTTTCTCCAAACACCATCCAAAAATGGATTTGATTTGGCATGTATAAAGTAAAAACATAGGACAAGCCCTGCTGGATCATGCCAAGGGTCCGTCTGGTCCAACAGTCTGTTCTGTACTGGCCAACCAGCTGCTTGTGGAAACCCCATTAGCAGAACATGAGCGGATGAGCATCGTTCCACAAGCTGGTGGTGACAGCCGCTGCTTCAGCATTTTAGGGATAATCTTAGGTAAATGGCCCATAAGAAGCATTCCCAACTGTTCCATGTTACAGCTCATGTCAAGATTTGGAGCAAATAAAATATTTAGGATTCAACCTCACACGCAGCACACAAAAATACACATATTTGAATACCCAAGAATCAATATATCAGATTTAAAGCAGATTGCGTTTTTGCGATAAAAAAGGAAGCACTGCCTTGCCTGGATGCACCTCAGAAGCAGACAACCAGGCACCCTACAAATGTTTTGGACTACAGCTCCCACAATGCCTTGTTTCTGGAGCTGCTGGCTGGGGCTGATGGGAGCTGCGGTCCAAAACAGCTGGAGGATGACGCCGGCTTGCCTCCACCTATCTAACTCTGGCGTTCAGCCTAGATGCAGCCCGTTATGGTCGGTCTGCCACCAAGTCCCTTAGGCGCCGAGGAGGTGAGATGCGCCTCGAGGAACACCAGCCCCCTCTGGGCCCCTCTGCCATCCCGCCAAGGGACGTCGTCCTTACCCCGTGCACATGATAGCCCTCGGAGCCCCCGTCGGGAACCTCGGAACTCGAGCCCAGCCCCATGGCCACGGAGCGGGCGGCTCAGAGGCTTGGACGGGCCTCGGCCGCCGTCACAACCCTCTGCCCATGGCCAGCTCGCCAGGACCTCCGCCTGCCAAGTTCCAACACTGCAGAGCCAACTGCGCAAGCGCCACGAACCCAGCGGAGGGATGGGAGGCTCTGGCCATAGAGTCGACGACATGAGAGGGGGAGGACACCTTTCGCTTGAAATCCTAGAGAGGAAGGAGGGAACGGGAGAGCGGCGCTCTGTGGACAGACGCTTCCCTAGAGCCATGCTGGGGAGGCGGAGTCTACACGTTACAGCGAGAAGGATGACGCAGCCCCGCTTCGCGCGATACGCGCTTAGCAACGAGGAAGGGATGGGGCGTGGCCTGCTGTAACCATGCACACCGAGCGGCGATTGGGTGTTGAGGCGTTTATCATGAGTGGGGGCGGGGCTTTTTGGCTCGTGTTTCGACTGTTAAGCTGCCCCGCTGCGGCGGCTGTGGCCGTTGGGGGTGTGACTGTTGCGCGTCTCCCCGGCCGTTGCTCTCCTAATTCCTGTCAGCGCCATGGCTGACGTAGACCCGCAGGCCTTGGTATTCCCCTCCCGTTTTGTTTTGGCTACAAACATTAATTTATTATTTCGTGTTCCTTTCAAGCCGCTTATAACGCTAAAACCTTCCCCAGAGCTTGACGCTCGCTTGGTGTCAAAATAATGTTTTCCTCTCGTGTTTGTGGGATTCATAATCCTGTTCTTTGAGCATGCTCGAGGGGGCAGACAAAATTGATCTTGGGCAGGGCACTGCCTGCTCAAGCTAGCCTACCTCATAGGGTTGTTGTGTAATTGCAGGATGGATGGGGTGTGGGGAGAACCACTTCTGCACTACACTTAAGTTCCTTGGAGAAAGTTTGGGATATTAAATCAATCAGTTGCATGCAAGTCGGTATAAAATTCTATGCTATCATCATAGAGCCTTGAGTATTAGGCATTGTATTATTATCTATGCGAAATTATATATATGGAAAATGATCTCTGAGGGAAAACTTGAAGAGGTGGATGTGAGTGTTACCTCAGCTACTAAAAATTATTTTTATAATAAAGGTTTGCTGTGCAAGATTCTGAGATGCCAGATCAATTGGATTTGTATCAGCAATATATTCTTCATAAAGCATGTCAGCTTTGTTGACCAAATGGTCCATGCCCTGGAGTGCATATTACCAAAATATGCAACAGGGGAAGGTTTTATTTTAAAAGATTGATTCTTGAGAATAGCAGGCTACTAATCAATCGTTCTGGAAGGTACCACAGCAATCCTCAGTTGCCCCTTCGATAGACTGATCATTAAAGGGTTACATGTAACACAGTTAACACTTTCCAGTAGGTTATGGAAGTGAAAAATTACAATGGTTTGATCTTTCCTGCCTGCATACTAAAGCAGCAGGAAGAAGCTCTGAAGGAGGGGAGAGAAGAGGGGCTATTACATAGAAGAGAAGGAGGATGGGGTGGGTTGGTGTGAATTGCCCTTCATTTGAGCTGCTATTGTCTGTCAAGTGCCAAGTAGCTTTCTCTGGAACGGTGCCTGGTGCCTAGCTACAGAAATCAGCAAGGATGCACACATGCTGATTTCTAGAAAAGAGGGTTTTTCTCTGGCCTTGTTGTGTGTCAATGATTGCATGCTTTTACCTATGAGAGTTATACCTATTGATATGTGCATCAGCTTGAAAGCTAACTAGAAAGGGGAAGAAGAAGAAAAAAAACCTGACAACATTTGTGCTGTTATGTACACCCTGATTTGTAGAAAGTAATAGATTACCCTTGTGTAGTACAGTGATAGTCACCGGTCAATTTATACAGACAGAGCAATGCTATACATGAAGTCTGTACATACTCTGAAGTAATTCCCAATGCATTCAATGGAATTCATTTCAAGTATTTAAGATTGTTCTTAACGACGCAGTTAGGTGGCTGCTGAAAAATCTGGTAACCCTACATTTTATTCATTCATTTAATGTAGTGAATTGAACAAACATTAATTTCCACTTCTCTTTCTCACACCCTCAAGGCCAGAATTCTCTACTATGCTCAAGAAAAATACTTCAACCATGTTGTTCACGTAACAAATGTTGAATTATCAAAACATATTCATGATCCAGTGCTGCTGTTTTTCAAGGGCTTCGGAACCTTACTTCTTGGTAAATAGGAAAAAGAAAATGTCCCTTTCTATATTTTGGTTTGCAGCAGAAACCCTAGAGAACATTGCTTGTATCTCTACTGCCTTCAAACATTTGGCAATCAGCAAATATTTATAATTAGTTAAAGCTGCATAGTCAGAATGTGAAATATACCTTGAACTGAAGCTGGAAAACATGAGAACCATTGAGATGCAATGTATGCATCCCAAATGGAAATAGGAAATAAATGTGGAAGGAGTGCAGGGAGAGTTCTGGAATGTAGAACTGCTAGTTATTTTGAAATTCAAACCCTGTCTCATACCTCCAAAGAAGCCTCAGGGCAACTTATAACAAGAATCATACAACAGTAATCCAATAAACACATTAAAAATACATCCTTCTGAAAACAAATGGAGCATGGACACCTAAATGAGTAAAATTCCTCTAGTTTTTGAATGTCAGAACTCTATATATTAAGGAAACATAAGCAATAGCAACTACAATTTTTTAAAATGAACAGATCATGGGCTGAAAAGCATCACAAGTAGAAAAGTGGTTTTCATTCATTCTCATTGCTGTGATTGCATCATAAATATATGGTCACAGAGCTCTGATTTTAGCCTTTGCCATTTTTGTGGAAGGAAAACTGAAAAGTCACTGGTGCTTGCAGCTATCTCAGTGATATGTCTGACAGCACTTTGATACCCACCTAATCACAAAAATATGGCTACATTAAGATTGTAATCCCATGTAAACTGCCTTGGGAGTAGGTCCCATTGAATTCAAAGGGCTTCTGAATATTTATTTATTGATTTGATTTGTACCCCATATTTCCACCCAGAAAATAATACTTATGGCAACTAATCAACATGAAAATACAATTGCATGGCATGGAAATGATTGCACTACGTAAGATTAAGATTTCTCCAGAAGACCTGCTTTTGTGGTAGTTTCGAAGTGGTGACTGCTAAAAGCTAATGAGTTGTGTTGCATTCTTGCAGGCCGAATCCAGGAAGGCATCTCAGTACTTGAAAATGCCCGGAAGCGCCATGTTGATGTTTCCTTATGCTGCCTCCTGGGCCTCATTTATGCACACAAAAGATGTGAAAAGATTGGTGAGTTATTCTTAGCTATCAAATACATTTTGTACCATTCATCAGAAAAAGATTGAAATTAGGTTTGGCGTATATCCAAGAACGGTATTCAAATCAATTAAAATTTGAGTGGGAGTGTACTGTGAATCATCACCATCATCATCAAAAAATACGAGTGATATTGCCATTTGGATGCTGAAGGTAAGCAAAGGGAGAAATGTTTGGGAGAAAACTGATGCCATTCACTTTTAATTGGACGGTCTGTTGACCTGTGATACTTTCAATGCACAATGTTGCTAAATTCATAGGAAGCAATAGCCAAGATCCAGAGCATACTGACATGGCATGGAGAGCTGTTATTTGAGAAAAATATAAGGTTTACTCCCACCAGGTAAGTGTACCTTGCGTGCAGACACAAGTTCGAAGTCTCCTTGGGCATCCAAGCTTAGGCCTATAACATTTTTCTATTTTTTTAAATCAGTTTCCACACAGACCAGAACATAAAAGAAAATCCATAATTCAATCATTATTCTAAGGGTATCTGAAATGTTTCATCCTGTATTTTCTTTCCACTTCATGATGGAACTTATTTTCTCTGTTACTTTATTTGAATCAGATGTGATCGATTTTTGAGACTTTTATTAGTTGTCCTGATCCCATTATTAATCAGACACAAGAACATGCACAGGAACAGATTGTACATCTTCTATCATTAGTAGTTCCACTTCATTTACTGAGTCTAAGCTTGCCTAGTCATGAATCGATTTGGGAACTTGAGTTTCTTGATAATTTAAGATGATGTTTTCTTATGTTCTTAACAAGGCTTCATTGTTTATGTGATGCAGCTGTTTCTAAGTAACTTTCAGAGGGAAATTAAGCACAAATTGAGGGAGGGGGAATTCTGATTATGTAAAGTTAAAAAAAGAACACCTCAAAGACTTGTCTTAATTTATGTCCAATTTTCTGAAATAGCTGCCTGGCATAGCATATTCCAGTACATTTTCACCTGTCCACCCTCTTGCTCCTTGGCTGCTGCTCTTACACAACACAAACACCCCAGGAGTCCTGTGTTGACTCTGCATGATACGTGAAAGTAAAATAAATGGTGGAAAAGCCAAATGTGTGCTACCGTCTCTGCTGTTTACTTTCAGATTCTTCTGCTGTTTTGGACTTTGAAACCCAGTTGAAGGAAATGCGGAAAACCGCTGGGAGCAATGCATTATATTATGCTGCGATGTTTCTGTGGCTAATGAACAGAAATGATAAAGCGAAGGAGTATGTTGACAAAATGCTGAAAGTGTCTAATGGAGCAAGAGAGGTAGGGGGATCAAACAGGCTATATGCAGCACCTGAACTTTGAACTGTATATAGAATGTGGCCTCAGTCCCTTTATCTTATGTTTTGAGCGTGTAGCTGCAAATAAAAAGGTGACCACTGTGTAGACACGGCATGATGTTCACGCGGACCAGGGTTACAGCACACAGAAGGCGCTGGCACTGGAAGCCCTCCATCCGGCGCTCACGCGTGCACTCTGGCTTGGAGGGCGCACACTGCCAACAGATGGTAGGCATTCAGTGCTGACAGGCCCAGTCATCTGCTCAGGAAAGGCCAGAGACCGATTTTAGACATTTCCTTCACCCCCACCACTGTGACAGATGTGCAGTGCTGGCAAAGCTGACAGCCAACCATCTGTTCAGTGGGGGAAATGTATAGCATGTGTGAGCAGCCTTCTGGATTGGGGCCAATGCATGCTCGGACTAATCTTTATGTTCACTTGCTCCATAAAGGGAGCTATTGTTTGACAATATTGGGTTCCTCCTTACTTCCCAATGTATAGCTTTTGCTTTCAAGGTTCAATACT